AGAGAGCCCGATGTGGGGCTCGATCCCAGGACCCTGGGATAATGACCTGAGCCGAAGGCAGACGCTTAACGACTGAGCCACCCAGGCGCCCCTCACTTTTTAATAAGTAGAGAAAGCTAATCATTTCTTGAAATTTACAGTCCAGTGAAAGGAAAAGACAGATATAGAAGACATTTTTCTTAGAGCCCGAGTCTTGAGACTGCCCTTGGCTTACCAAGGGCACACGGATACCATCCCTTGCTCTTGACACGAATGGTCTTTGAAATCCCATTACTTCTTTGGACTTTGAAAATTGCATTTCTAGGGGAAACCCAGCTCATAAGCCCCCAGTAAGAGAAGCTTTAGATGAAAAAGGTGATCTCTTCGGCTCTTTGAGAGCAACAAGAGGGTGGGAGGGAAAGCAAAATGAAATCAGGTGAAGGAGGAATTGCCCTTGAAAACTCACGTTGACGGTTTTATTTGGCTTCAGCAAGTTAGAATGTGAAGGCATCGGTTTCATTCTTTTCAGGAAAAACACCTTTCAGTTCTCCCACAGTTTAGCTATAAAGTGATGTTTCTAAGATCTAAAGTTGCCACAGATTTTTTTCAAGCACATCTTTATGTTCTGCAGCTGCTGGAGTTAATGGCAACCAGCATTCTCGGGCATTTGGATCATGACAGGTGTAGAGACTTCATCTCGCCCCAGGTCTGGGCGTCACTCCTGGCTGTCCCAAGTACCTTGTGCTTCTCCCCCCATGACACTGTCACAGTACATTGTGATGTCGTCCTCCTGTCTGGATCCCACTCAACTGTCATGGCAGGATTGTGTCTGTCTTGTTCACTCTTCTGTCTCCCCTGTAGACTTGGCAAGTGTATGGTGCTCACGAAATATTTGTGGAGGGAACAGATGGATATCCAAAAGTATAATCGTTTCTTTTGATGCCAGAGACACCATTATTTCCAGAAATCCTGCTTTTATTCAGGGCTTATTCAGTTCCGTCTGTCCACTAAAAACCTAAATTCTGTTCTCTGTCCCCATGTAGCTATGAGATGTGGGGCAAGTCTCTTAGCAACTTTGTGCCCAAGTTTCTTTATTAGTTAAAAATGGTGGCAAATTAGTGTCTATTTATATTTAAGTTATTTATATATTTTTATTTATTTATAAATATAAATTAATATTCTTTCCAGCTCTAATATTCTTTTATTTCCTCTGCTGAAAATCTCATCCATTGTATTTTTAATAATTGGGTGACTTTTTTTAAGTTTTGATCTTACCATGACTATGTTAGTACGTTTTAAAAGTACCATGTAGCTTAGAAAATTTGATCCCTTTTTTTTAAAGATTTTATTTATTTATTCATAAGAGACAGAGAGAGAGGCAGGCTCCCCGCTGAGCAGGGAGCCCGATGCGGGACTCGATCCCAGGACCCTGGGATCATGACCTGAGCCAAAGGCAGACGCTTAACCATCTGAGCCACCCAGGCACCCGAAAATTTGATCCCTTTAAGACAAAGGTGGCATTAGGGTCAAACAGTAACACTAGTTGAACGGTAACACAGGAAACTTGAGATTTTTAGGAGCTGATCACCCAGGTTTGGATTAGCCAGGGTATTCTTTTTCTGGTTGCCTCTAGGATATTAGGTGTTTAATGACCTCTGTTTCAGAAGATGGTTAAGAAAAGTTAAAAGGAAAAACACCTGGGTTAGTTAACTATTTCTCATTTAAAGCTAAGTGAAGGGGCACCTGGGTGGCTCAGTCGTTAAGCGTCTGCCTTCAGCTCAGGTCATGATCCCAGGGTCCTGGGATCGAGCCCTGCATCGGGCTCCCTGCTTGGTGGGAAGCCTGCTTCTCCCTCTCCCACTCCCCCTGCTTGTGTTCCCTCTCTCGCTGTCTGTGTCAAATAAATAAAATCTTTTAAAAAATAAATAATGCTAAGTAAAGAGCTTTTGTAAGAAAGGAACTTGAGACTCTTGGCCACTTGGACAGGGCCACGACACCTGATATGGTCACAGGAACAACTCTAGTACACCTGAGCTCAAGAGCAGCTGTACTTAACCTTTTTAAAACACTGCTCTTGGGTGCCTGGGTGGCTCAGTCGGTTAAGCACCTGCCTTCGGCTCAAGTCATGATCCCTGAGTCCCAGGATCAAGTCCCACATCGGGCTCCCTGCTCGGCGGGGAGTCTGCTTCTCCCTCTGACTCTACTCCCTCTTGTGCTCCCTCTCTCTCTCTCAAATAAATAAATAAATAAAATCTAAAAAAAATAAAACACTGCTCTCGTTGGGTTATATACATTTGTTAGTTCACTCGTCTTTGAGCTCCTGAAATAGAGGTATTTTGGTCTTCTTCTCCATGTTTTTGATATCTGTCTCCCAGTGATAGAGGTAGTAATGCTACCCACTAACTAGTGATCATTTAAGACTATGGCTAACGTGACAAAGAGCTATGTGCAAAGCATTGTTCTACGTGCTTCACGTATTTTGATCCATTTAATACAACAACCCTATGAGATAGGTACTACTGTTATCCTATTTTACAACGGGCATGTAGAGAAGTAAGTAAGGTCACATAGTAAATGTTGGGACTGGGATTCCAATCCACGTAGTCACACACTGACAGCCCAATGCTTAATCACTATGCCATACTTTTTATAAGCATCGCAGTAAACATGTCCTGAGTGAATGAATAAATGAGTAAGTATGCAGTGGTATTTGGTAGCTATTAATATGAGTGGAGTCTTGTAAATTTGTGTTCTGCCTATCTCTAAACACAGACAAATTTGTCAGTCCTTCAATGGATGATATTTTCATAAAGTTTTTCTTCTCTTTAATAGGTTAAAAGACAATTTTGAGATTTTCATTCATCTTTAATTTTTCTAAGTTAGACAATTTGTTGTTTGGTGATCAAAAATACATATACTTTTGTTTCAGAGGTACAGATCTGAGATTCAACTCATGTTAAGGAAAAAAAAAAGAAGAAGAAGAAGGTAGCGGGAGGGGAAGAATGAAGCGGGGGAAATCGGAGGGGTAGACGAACCATGAGAGACGATGGACTCTGAAAAACAAACAGGGTTCTAGAGGGGAGGGGGGGTGGGAGGATGGGTTAGCCTGGTGGTGGGTATTGAGGAGGGCACATTCTGCATGGAGCACTGGGTGTTATGCACAAACAATGAATCATGGAACACTTCATCTAAAACTAATGTTGTAATGTATGGGGATTAACATAAGAATAAAAAAATGAAAAAAAAATACATATACTTTTTTAAAAAATACATACGCTTTTTAGAAACATGAATCTCCATTTTTGCTGGACTATGGATTTGTAATTCAAATAAGTGAAATTTGCCAAATTCAAACCATACCTTGTTTCCTAAATGGTACTTAAATGTGTGAATTCAAAGAGATGGCTGTAGGTGTGCTTGGGAGGCTCAGTCGGTTAAGTGTCCAGCTCTTGGTTTCAGCTCAGGGCATGATCTCAGGGTTGTAGGATCAAGCCCTGAATCAGGCTCTGCACTCGGTGCGGAGTCTGCTTGAAAATTTTCTCTCTCCGCTCCTCCCCCACTTACGCTTGCATGCGTGTGCACTTTCTCGCTGTCTCTCAAATAAATAAACAAATCTTTATAGAGATGGCAGTGGTCATTCCACTTTACCTTTCTGGTGTCTTTACCTTTCTAGGTCAAATCAAATGAAGCCTCCTTGGCTTATTGCACAACCTAAGTGCATTTTAATTCACAAGCCAAAGGTGTCATATCTGACAAAATCGATGCTGTACATTCCCTTTGTGTGTGTCTGGTTGAATGCTTAGTAGTGGTAAATGCAATAAAATTATGGACAATGCCCGCACTCAGAGCATATTAAAGGAAAAGTTGCGATGTGCTTTATGCCCAATCATTTCTTTTTACCTGACCTTCCCAGCAGTACCAGAAAACTATGAAACTGTTTACTTGTGAGTAATTGTTAGAACCTGGGTAGCTTTGATTCATTGAGTAGGTTTTACCTTCTATATTGTGAAAGAAAGTGTAACCTTATGAAAAATGTACCTAAAAGCTAGTTCAGAATTACTAGTGTGCTAAAGCCAATCTTTTTTTTTTTTTTTTAAGATTTTATTTATTTATTTGACAGAGAGAGACACAGTGAGAGAGGGAACACAAGCAGGGGGAGTGGGGGAGGGAAAAGCAGGCTCCTGGCAGAGCAGGGAACCCGATGCGGGGCTCCATCCCAGGACCCTGGGATCATGACCTGAGCCGAAGGCAGATGCTTAATGACTGAGCCACTCAGGCGCCCCCTAAAACCAATCTTTAGCAGAAGAGCAGGACAATTAGGAAATGACCTTTTGAAGATGTGGCAGTTGATCTGGGTCTTGCCACAATAGTAGGAGTTGGAGGTCCGCCTTTGGAGAGACATATATTCCTGTTGGAGGGTATGGCTCTGAGATGGAAAACACAGGTTGAATAAAAGAAGGAGCAAACAGTTGGGTGGGCTCTAGAAATATTATTTGTCAAGGTAATCCCTCCCGTAAAGGGCATCAGTCTCCTCCTTTTCTCAAAAACCTGCCAAATAAACCATGCAGTGTGTGTAAAGAGAGTGTTAGCTATGCCAAGCGCAGATGTAACACAGATGTCCCAGGCCTCCCTGGCTCCCAGTCAGATTGTCACCTCTGAAGATACTCCTCTATGGATGTGTCTTATCACTCATTTTCACACAGAGAGTTACTGGGGTGGAGGGCATCCCATTCAAACAACCATTTGAGGCTTTTTCCAGTTGTAGGGCAAATCCTTCCAGATGTCCCTTCTTAGTAAACATCTGCTTATTTGCCCTAAAGGAACTAAATATGAATGGCTATGAACTGTAGGAATTTCTGCCATTAGCACTGACTTTAATTCAAAGTATGTAGTGTTTGATCTTGGTGCCTATTGCATAGTAGATGCTCAGGAAATTGGTTTTTACTTTTCCTATTCTATTGTTCAGTTTATTGTCGTTGTTTTTAACTTTCTCATTTATTTTCCTTTGTTCTCTTTTAAAGGAGAGATTTAAGGAGGCTGAGGAGATATACCAGGCTGGAATAAAGAACTGTCCAGACAGCTCAGACTTACACAACAACTATGGGGTTTTCTTAGTTGATACTGGTGAGTGAAATTGAAGAGAACCTGTTCCATTGAGATGAGATAATACTATCCACCAAGTAAAATGGCAGCTACCCAAATGATGTCTCAGAAAGTAACATTCAGTGGGCTTGGCAGGAAACACACCATTGACCATCACATTGTATGGTGGGGCTGTCATTTCTCTAAGTCTTCAAGCTCAGCTCAGTAAAATCCACCCAGTTCGTATAGCACTAAGGAAAACTCTCCAGATATCAGGATGCTTGCTGATTTAACAAGTAGCAGGCCTTTGAGTGTCATTTAGACAAGTCCATAAATCTATGATGATGAAACAGTCCTCGGCCATGATGCAGGGCTTGCCTCTGAATCTAGTTACCAGCAGATGGCAAATACTTCTTTATGTCTGATTAAAAAAAAGCCTCCAGAATTGTTCCATCATTCTTTACTTGATGTACATTACAGAAACTATATTATTAAAATTGATAGAGTACTCTTATATGAGAGGGGCTAATAAATAAAATATACTTACTCCATCTTATTTAATGTAAAACTTTACTGGGCAGGGATTCTTTTTTCTTTATGATTTGTGTCCCATCTACTGTTGGCATTCTATGAATACTTATAAAGAATCAAAAGGTAGTTGAATTTAATGCAAAAGCACCATTCTGTTCTCGATGACTTTTAGACTGTCTGGCTTGTGATAAAATTCTGTTTTAATTATTTTGTAAATGTGAATGCTCAAAGGGGTTTTTATTTTCTAGCATATCTGAAACTTTTCTGTTTTATAGAATGTAAATTTACATTCCGAAACTCCTAAGAAATGCCCCTTATTTTTGCATGTAAAATTGTTTTCTAGTGCCACCTGCTGGTTTATTAGCAACACACTAATACATGAGGTGCCATAAAGATCTAAAAACTGGAAGAGACCCCCTGTTGGTCTAGTCTTCCCTCTTCCTTCTACTTCAACAACAAACAATGCTACTCCCCTAAAAATCTCACTGGCCACCCTGTATATCTTCCCACCACTCCCTTTGTATTCATGTATTTTATACTGGTGGAAATTCTCCCTAGTACCAGTGACCTGTACATAGATCTATACAGACATAAAATCTATTTTGGTGCAGACATGCATTCAGAGAAGGTGTCTGCAGGTCATAAATATTCCATTTCATCTAGAACTTCAGACTGTTCTACAGTTCAGCCACTTAGATATAATTTCACTAGGAAGCTTCTTTGGGGATCTCATCAGATGCTTGATTCTACTTCTGGTCTTCATCCTCAGTTGCCCTGGGATTTTTGTCAGGTCTCTTAAGTGCGCTTTGCACTTTAGTGTCTATAGCTCTAAAGTAATACTTTTATTTATTTTTTAATAGCTCTTAAATCCCAAAACACAGCTAAAAGGTATCAAAAGGCAGCTAAATAGGGGCCCCTGGGTGGCCCAGTCAGTTAAGCGGCCGACTCTTGATTTCGGCTCAGGTCATGGTATCAGGGTCCTGAGATCGAGCCCCACATTGGGCTCCATGCTCAGCACAGAGTCTGCTTCTCCCTCTCCCTCTGCTCTTCACCCCCCCCCACCCGACAAGCTCGCTCTCTCTCTCATAAATAAATAAATCTTTTTTAAAAGGTAGCTAAATAGTATCAAAAATACCTGTAAAGATCATTTAATTAAAATATCTTAAGATGTATAATGCATTGGACAAATGCAAGGTGGCATTACTATTATTTTTTAAAGTTCCATTACATAAATACCATTTAACAAAAATGTATGATTTTAAAAAAAGATTTTCAAGATCTAGCTGATACATGCTTCTTTAAAGCAGTGCCTCAGTTATGTTGCAGTAGAGTAATTGAGACCAACCCTTAGAAATTGTTTCAGGACAGTTTTCTTTCTATAACAGCCTATTCTATATTTTCGTATAATGAAAAGTAACAGTATCTTGTATAAATAACAATCACTGATGATCTCAAAACATAATATTAGCTAGGGCAATTGCCAGAAAACACTTTGGCTAAAATGCTATACATAATAAAAGAAATAGATTTTAGTTTTTATTGCTTTTTTATTATTCATTTCCTTGGAAGTGGGAACGAATAGTAAAATGGTCCAAGGTTACACAGTGGCAAGGAGATGAAGCCAGAATGCAAGCTCATTTACAAACTGAATAATTGATGGTATGACTCAGTGATATGAAGAAGAATGATATACATCAGAAGAGAAATTGAAGAGCCTCGTGTATTGTATAATTAAAGCATGCTCTGGTCTCACCAACCATCCCTGGTTACAGGCTCTCCAGAGAAGGCAGTGGCCCATTACCAACAGGCCATCACACTCAGCCCAAGTCATCACGTGGCCATGGTGAATCTGGGGAGGCTCTACAGGTCCTTGGGAGACAACAGTGTGGCTGAAGAATGGTACAAACGGTAAAGCTCCTTTTCTTCACTTTGTAAGTTGCCCAAAGACCTTAATAGTCACCCTTCCAATTTTTATGTAATCGGAACAGACATGCTCTTAGAATATTAACCAGTTTTGCCAATTCAGGTAATACAGATTCTCCCCTCCAAAGAATAATACCAAACACTAAATGGTATCCTAAGGAATGGCTTGAAAAAGTCCTGCTGGTTAGAACATGGTGCTAAGCCAAGGTTGGAATTGTTTTCTGAGGCTGTAGACTACAGCCCAAACTTCAAATAGTAGTTTTGAAAATGGATGCGGGGGACAGACTGTGCATGCATGGGAAGCAGCCTATCACCATCAATGGAAAAGATCCTTGGAGCTCAGTTTCCATATTGATAGGTCACTCTAGACATTCTTGTAGTCAGAGGGTGGCATCGGGATCTTTTTAAAAACATTCTTCTTGATTATAAAAACAGACCGTGTTGGAGCAGAGTCTCAAACCACAGACTGGCCTCTCTAAACCTGCGTTTCGAGCTTTCAAAATGTACCTATGAGAATTTCAGTTCACCTTTCTCAAAACTCAGGGCCCTGCAGGTGGCACGCAAAGCTGAGCTGTTATCACCTCTGGGAGCGCTCTATTATAACACGGGCCGCTATGACGAGGCCCTGCAGGTTTACCGGGAAGCTGCAGCACTTCAGCCTTCTCAAAGGGAGCTCCGCCTGGCCCTGGTGAGTGCGTTGGCTAAGGAAAATGAGGCAGGACGTGCAGTGTGCAGTGCAGGGAGCTGGGTCACAAGCCTCAGAATTGCAACTAGAGCACTACGATAGATCCATTTTCTGAGTATCCGTATAACCAGGGTGGGAGCCATTCACCAAAGACATAGACACGAAAAAACTTTTAAGTTTGTGGTTTGAAATAATTTCAAACTTACAAAAATTTGCAGGAATACTAAATAGCTCCCATATCCCCTTTCACCCAGATCCATCCATTTTTAGAATTTTGATGAATTTATTTATCATGGATGTATATGTACATATGTGCATATTTATGTATGTGTGCAAATGTGTATTATTAATACATTTATTTTTTCATGAGCCATGTAAAAGTTATAGCTCTCATGCCCTTTATTTCATTTTTTTTAAAAGATTTTATTTATTTATTTGACAGAGAGAGAGAGCACAAGCAGGGGGAGAAGCACCTTCCCACTGAGCAGGGAGCCCAATATGAGGCTCGATCCCAGGACCCCAGGATTATGACCTGAGTGGAAGGCAGACGCTTAACTGACTGAGCCACCCAGGCGCCCTGCCCTTTATTTCTAAATACTTCAGCATACAAGGACGTTCTCTAACATAACTATAGTATGGTTCTCAAGTTTAAGAAATTAATAATCAGCGATATTTTTAGTTTCAATTTTTGGAAGTTTGCATTTTTGCTACTCTTCTTTAGATCTGCAATAAATCAAACTTGTTATCTTGTTTTAAACACAGCATCCTGTTGAAACCATAAGAAATCATTTCTTTCCCAACCACAACCAGTGATGCGTATTAAGGAGGGCACGTATTGCATGGAGCACTGGGTGTTATACGCAAACAACGAATCATGGCACATTGCATCAAAAACTAATGATGTACTGTGTGGTGACTAACATAATAAAACAAAATTTTTTAAAAAATCATTTGTTTTTTTAAAAAAACAATCATTTGTTTTTGAAATATTTAGTCAACTTTTTAAAAAAGTCACAAGTCATTTCGTTGATATCTTTGGTGTCCCTGCTATTCACACGCAATGCATGCACATACCTAAAGAAATAAACAGAAACAAACAACAAAAATTTAAACCTATAAACTCTGGGAATTCTGCTCCCTCTGAGTTGCAAATAGACGTTAAGCATTTTTTTCTGGAGTGTTTCTGGAAAGCCTCTATTCAGAGATGCTTTATATGATGAGGTGATAACAGTGTCTCCTAAGCCAATTCAGTGTGCTTTTGCAGGCTCAGGTTTTGGCTGTGATGGGTCAGACAAAAGAAGCTGAGAAGATGACCAACCACATTGTGTCAGAAGAGACCGGATGCCTTGAATGCTACCGCCTGTTGTCAGCAATCTACAGCAAGCAGGAGCACCACGACAAGGTGGAGAGCACACTGGAGTTGTTTGGATTCACAGGGGGAAAGTGGGGTGCGCCCGAATGATTCCTCAGTCTGCGCATTTACACAGCTGAGCAGTCTTGAATATCATCCATTGGCATAGCCTATCTTACAGATGCTTTTCACAGATATCTCCTTAACTGTAATATGTCCCCTTGAAATAATACTTTCTTGGCTCATCCTTGGTCTAAAGATTTTATGTGACAGTATCTCAATTTGTTTTCACCTAACTAGATAAAGACTGACATTTGTATGCTTTACCATTTTCCATGTTCCTTCAAATACATTATTTATGGAATCCTTATAACAGTCTTTATACAGGTCAGTGATCCTGTTTTGCAACTATTATTGTTTATCTCCATTTGAAAAGTCATATAGCCAGTAAATCTATGAACTGACTCAACAAAATACTTATTGAATGCCTGCTATATGCCAGGCACTGTTGTAGGTACCAGGAATAAAGTGGTATAAGAAAAACAAAAAAAATCACCTTTGTCTCAAGGAGTTTATAGAAGAAGAGGAAACCAAGATTAAATAAGCAATCACAAAACAAGTGTAGAATTATAGCTGTGCTCAGTGATGTCATGAAGAGTGACATGGTCCTAACAAGCATATAATCAAGGACCTGAGTGATCTGGGAGGTTAGTTTCCCTGCGGAGTGATATGAAGGTGAATGTTGAATGATAAATAGGAGTGATTAGATGAAGGGGGGCAGTGAAAAGCATTCCAGGCAGGATAAAGTACGTGCAAAGGTCCTGTGGCAGCAGCAAGTAGCAAGTCTGAGGAATGGGCATGAAGGGAGCGTGGCACTGTGTAAGGTAATGGCCACAGAGGTTGCAGGAGACAACACACCACAGGGCTTGGGACCAGGGCAAAGGTTTTGTTTGTTATCCTTGGGGGAGCTTTGGGGTTTTAAGGAGAAGAGCGACATGGTGAGATTTGTGCTGTGAAGGGATCTCTGGCTGCAGGGGCTGGGACAGTGGGTGCTGGGAGCAGAGTGGGCACCAGGGACCTAAGGGGAGGCTGTGTTTGGAGTGGTCCAGATGGACCCAGGCAGGGCAAAACACCTAACCCCAGATCTTGTTTTCTTTTATCTTTATCACTGACCTCCCTGTGGACTGGTCAGGGACATGTCATTGTCACAATATAAATGGAAACCCTGGAGTATAGGAAAATTATTTTGTCAGGGCCACATTATTTCTCAATGAGAACATCAGAGAGAATGAAGAATGTGTTTTGATGGTCATTTCCACACCAGCTAATACATAAGGACAAAAGGTATAAATTTTATCATTTAAGTTAGTTTTTCTTCATCTCATCTACATTTGGTCTTTCAAACCTGTTGCAGGCACTCGATGCTATAGACAAGGCTCTCCAGCTGAAACCAAAGGACCCAAAAGTCATATCTGAACTTTTTTTCACAAAAGGAAACCAACTAAGAGAGCAGAATCTTCTGGATAAAGCTTTTGAGGTATAAACACTTAATTATATTATTAAATTAAGGGACTAAAATTCGTACTCTCAATCTTTACTGAAGCACATACAGTAAAATTTAAGATCACTGGCATATTTGTGGAGTGAACTTTCTCATTAATGGCCATGATGTTATACATTTAATTTTTATAATTGACTATTTTTTAACTATTCAGAGTTCTGCAGTACCTCTGCATTATTTTCTGAATTATCACCTTTAACTTGATGTTTGAAACAATTCCCTCAAACTAGTTTCTATTCTCTGCCTCTCTCACTCTCTCTGTTGGCTGGCAGTAACCCTCTAGTCCATCTGGACTAGTGTCTGAATAGCTTTGGCATTTCCACACATCCTTATAACACCCTTCCACCCACCCCCCAATTCTTCACAGATTCCCTCTCATCTATTAACACATAGCCTTTGTTCTCCTCCCTCTGGAAGCCCATCTGGACCGTACTTTCTCCCAGTGCCCTTGTTTCCTGTGGACTTTTACAACATTTACTGTCTCTTCAAGTCATTTGAAAGTATCATATATTGCATTGTATTGTTAGGCCTCTTTTTCCTCTCGCCCTGTCCTCTCCTCCTCCCCCTACTCCCACCCCCACTTCTCTGTGCCCAATGCCTGCTCCCCAGTTAGATTGGACTTCTCCTTGTAAAAAGAGACAGCTTCCTTCCATGTTCTAAAACATAATGCCTTGCATCTTAGAGGCATTCAATATCTACAGCTCTCAAAATTTATACAGTTTGAAATCAAAAAGATATTCCAAGCAAATAGAAATGTTCTAGAAATACCGCTGTGGTAAAGCCACAAGTTGGAATTAATGAAATCATAAAATTACACTAAATATAATATGAGAAGAGTAAAATTTTAAATGATATTATTGTTTTTGAAAACAGTGAGTGACTTAAAATATTCAAAAACATGGGTAAAGATATTTGGGAAAACTAACTTGAACATGAACTCTTAAAATAAACTGGCATAATCAAAAGGAATGAGATCTTGCCATTTGCAACGACGTGGCTGGAACTGGAGGGTATTATGTTGAGTGAAATAAGTCAAACAGAGAAAGACATGTATCATATGATCTCACTGATATGAGGAATTCTTAATCGCAGGAAACAAACTGAGTGTTGTTGGAGTGGGGGTTGGGGTGGGAGGGATGGGGGGACTGGGTGATAGACACTGGGGAGGGTATGTGCTCTGGTAAGCGCTGTGAATTGTGCAAGACTGTTGAATCTCAGATCTGTACCTCTGAAACAAATAATGCAATATATGTTAAGAAACAAAAAAGAAGAAGAAGAAGAAGAAGGTAGCGGGAGGGGAAGAATGAAGCGGGGGAAATCGGAGGGGTAGACGAACCATGAGAGACGATGGACTCTGAAAAACAAACAGGGTTCTAGAGGGGAGGGGGGTGGGAGGATGGGTTAGCCTGGTGGTGGGTATTGAGGAGGGCACATTCTGCATGGAGCACTGGGTGTTGTGCACAAACAATGAATCATGGAACACTTCATCTAAAACTAATGTTGTAATGTATGGGGATTAACATAAGAATAAAAAAATAATAAAAAAAATAAACTGGCATATTTGAAGCAGAAATTTTGTATTTTTCTCTGCCCTGTGAACATTTTTTTAAAAGATTTATTTATGTATTTTAGAGAGAGAGAGGGCTCAAGCAGGCTGAGGGGCAGAGAGAGAGGGAGAAGCGGTCTCCCGCTGAGCACAGAGGCTCCATCTCAAGACCCTGAGATCATGACCTGAGCTGAAATCAGGAGTCAAAGGACACCTAACCGACTGAGGCGCCCAGGCCCCCTTGCACTGTGAACATTTTTAATACCTTAACATGTGAACATTTTTTAATACCTAATGTGACAATTTAATGAATGTATAATTTAATTTTGAAGTTATTTGGTATCTATATCTATCTGTATCTTATCCATTGTATTGAAAACAAAAGTATTTTCTAGTTGCTTTAACTATAGATCAAATAATCATTTTAAAGTGACATTTGGGGTGCCTGGGTGGCTCAGTCAGTTAAGTGTCCGACTCTTGATCTCAGCTCAGGTCTTGATCTCAGGGTTGTGAGTTAAAGCCCCACATTGGGCTCCACACTGGGTGTGAAGTCTACTTAAAATCAGTCAACCAATCAATTAATTAATAAAGTGGCTAGATCTATGATGGATAGGAGTAGGGCTGTGAGCTAATAATAGCAGCTACAATGTGTTAGCATTTTTATTTATGATTTACACATATTAAGTAATTTAATCTTCTCTGTAGTCATATAAGAAAGCTATGATCATTGTCTTCATTTTACAATTGAATAAGCTGAGACTCAGAGGTTATGCAACTTGCTCAAGGTCACAGAGGGTAAGAGATGGAGCCGGGATTTGAATCCAAGTTCTTAATTTCTACCCTACACTCTCATCTCTGTTGATATAAATTAACCCGAGAGACACATTCTTCAGGTTTATTTTAGCAGCTCTTTAAAGATATAGTTTTTATTGTTTGCTTGTTTCTCTTAAACAGAAGTGGAGGAAGGATGGACCAGATTCTGTTTACTTTATGAATCTGTTCATCAATGCAAATAGCAAAGAGCATTAAATGACACACAGATACTTAGCTTTGTAACGGAAAGCAACATTCTTAGCCGTTAGCTTCATTTAAGGTGACCACTCTTAAATTAAGACCCAGTGGTGAGCATGCCAGTGGTGATATAAAACAACATGCAAAATATTACAAATATGCCTCACAGATGTTACATTCAGTGGGACCGAATAACCAGGCCAAGGATACTGGGAAAGGGGATAATTCACTGGGACTGAGCTATATAGGAAAAGACTCTTAAGATTCTATGATTACTAAAAAAAAATATTCTTACAAACTCCATTTATAGCAAAAAAGGCCAAAGGAGTTTTCTTGCAGGTCAAAGCCAGTGAGAAAGGATGCACTACAATAAAATCACCTGGATTCCCTGCGGGCATCCTCAGTCTCTGTGAGCAAATTACACATTTCACGTTCCTCCACTTCCGAATCATCAGTTCTCAAAAATAATTGAAATAAATGGGAACACCTGTGAGCTGGTAGTGTTGGGTTTCACTGTGTTAACCATCTATATTCTCACGTATGAAGAAAGTGGTTTCCACAATCCTGTAGCATTAAACGTGGGTTCTCCTTTCTCAACCTGAAGATGTTTCTTGTGTATTTAGAGCTATAAAGCCGCCGTGGAGCTAAATCCAGATCAAGCACAGGCCTGGATGAACATGGGTGGAATCCAACACATCAAGGTAGGAGAATAATTCACTCCCATGAAGACTTTGCATTTTCTCTTTCTGTCTTCTCTCAAAAGATTGAAAACATATTGTTAATTCCCTCTTTGAATTATTTAAATACCAAAAGCCATAGGTGTTTAAAAGTGAAATTAGCACAGTTTATATTCACTTTGTATTATCTAGATATTGGATATCATGAAGTCATTTGAAAACCACGTCTATACAAATTAAATTCCATGATTTTATTAAACATAAAGAAAACCATATGTACTTAAGAGAAGAATCATCGTATAGAAAATAAAATCTGCTTATGTGAACTTAGCCTTGTTAGGGCTTCCTGTAGCTCATTGTCCTACAGCTTAACTCATGGTCAAGACTACAGTGTTACTTTAAATATTACTTTATTATTTCTTGTATCTAATGTATCTTTTACTCCCTGATCATTTACTGAAACACAAGGTTGTTTGTGGGTTTATTTTTTGTTTTTCCAAAAGAAAAAGCTACCTTTGAGCGAATTATTAAAAATGACCTTTGGGGCGCCTGGGTGGCTCAGTTGGTTAAGCAACTGCCTTCGGCTCAGGTCATGATCCTGGAGTCCCGGGATCGAGTCCCGCATCGGGCTCCCTGCTCGGCAGGGTGTCTGCTTCTCCCTCTCCCACTCCCCGTTTGTGTTCTCTCTCTCGCTGTGTCTTTTTCTGTCAAATAAATAAATAAAAATCTTAAAAAAAAAAAATGACCTTTGGGAAGGCTGCTGTCTATAAGTAATGAACTCAAAGACTCACTATCATTCATTCATCTTTCATTCATTCATTCATCCATTCATTTTACAAACATTCATACAGAGCATGTTAAGTGCCAGGTACTCCTTCTTCAGGCACTGTGAATAGAACACTAAACAAGTAAGTCGGAACTTCCTGTCTTCATGGAGCTAACATTTAGTAAGGGAGATCGGCAATAAATAAATAAACACATACATGCATACATGTATACATAAAATATATCATGGTGCTATGGAGAAAAAAGAGAGAGAAAGAAGATAGGAAGTGCCATGGGGTAAGGACTGAAATTTAAAATTAAGATAGTTAAGAAAGGCCTCACTTTGAGTAGAGACCTGAAGGGAACAAGCCATGTGGCAAAATAGGGAAAGAGCATGTGCAAAGGTCCCTCAGAGAGGGAGCAAGTGAGATGAAATGGTAGAAGCTGGGATTAAAGAAGTCACAGGGCCAGATCATGCAGAGCCTTGAAGGGGAATGTAGGGTCTTTGGCTTTTATGCAATGCCAAATGAGTTGGGGTCCTTGGAGGACTTTGAGCAGAGAGATGCCATGGTCTGACATGTCTTTAAAGGATCACTCTTATTATGCTAACCTATTTTCTATCAGTCTTTATATTGATAAAACAGTAATATAGTGATTAGCATTTAAACAGAAGCCTAATAGGGTTTACTATTAAGTGGAAAATGGTCATTCTCAGAAACACAACAAAACAAAAGGTGACTTGTGATTATATAGCCAGAAGGGGATAATGGGTGAGTTATTATGTGACTGACAGCCTTGATCTAATAGAGGAACAAACATGACATTTATCAGAGCAGAATAACCTGAGCTCTGATCTTATTGATCTTCTAGGGTGTCCAGCAATATGAACTTACTTTTAAAATAGTAACATAGGGTGCCTGGGTGGCTCAGTTGGTTAAGCAACTGCCTTCAGCTCAGGTCATGATCCTGGAGTCCCGGGATCGAGTCCCACATCGGGCTCCCTGCTCAGCGGGGAGTCTGCTTCTCCCTCTGACCCTCCCCCCTCTCATGTGCTCTCTCTCATTCTCTCTCTCTCAAATAAATAAATAAATAATAAAATCTTTAAATAAAATAAAATAAAAAATAAAATAGTAACATAATTTTAAATAGTATGTTAAATAGTTATATTTTATAAAATAATACGCTCAATATGTTTTTAGATGACATGTGCCTGCCATTTAAAGAAATGGGTTCGGTTGTTAATTTAAAAAGTACAATAAATAGGGGTCCCTGGGTGGTGAAGTTGGTTAAGTGGCTGACTCTTGGTTTCATCTCAGGTCATGATCTCAGGGTCGTGAGATCGAGCCCCATGTTGGGCTCAGCACTCAGCACAGAGTCTGCTTGGGATTCTTTCTCCTTCTCCCTCTGCCCTTCCCACTCATGCTCTCCCTCTCTCAAATAAATAAATCTAAAAAAAAAAAAAAGAACAATAAGTACACCCAAGACTTTTCTAAAAAGTCTGGAAATACAAGGAAAATAGTACATTCATTGAACTCTTAGATTAACAAGTGAATCCATTGCTTTAAATTTAGAGGTACTTCCCCTGAAAAGGTGTCTGGAGATTGAAGAAGGATCTATTGAGTGTATTCTTTTAAAATGTAATGAACACACTGATTAAAAATTAGTTTGTGCAGTTTTTCATCTTTGCAAACATCATGTATTAGGCTGAAGAATTAAACGGTGAAATTGCCATGTTTGTAGTTGAAAAATCGTCTAATATCAGTAAATTCATATGATACAATCCAATATAAATATATAGACTGGGACCTGGCTTGGATGTGGTCATTTAAATGGCACCATTAGGATGCAAGATTATTACTGTGAGGTCCTAAAGAGCAGTCATTAACTTTCTGTCTTCACTTTGCCAGGTAGTGTGTGCACCAGGCAGTGTTAACCCTTTCCAGGCTTCACTCCTTCCCTGAGCCCAGGTGAAGCTTAGGAGACTGAGGGCTGTGGTACGGTTGCAAGTTGGAATAAGGCTTTGCCAGGACATGGCATGAAGAGATGAGAACAGAGTTGTCTCTTGCTTGTACTGTTTGGTAATAAAAGATAATTATTATGAAGCCTCATAAAGGCTGAAATGGATGGACCAAAAAAAGCTAACACATCTTCTTTATAATCAAAAAGTTGTGTCAACTGGGCCACACCACAAAGTCCTATTTTCAGTAGTACCCTACGTGCATTTTCTAGAATGGCTTCATGCAGTGGAACTCTCTATGGTGGCAGGAGTGTTCTGTGTCTGCACTGTCCAAGGCAATAGCCACTAGCCCATGTGGCTGTTGAGCCCTTGAACCGTGGTTGGTACAACTGAGCAACTGAATTCTTAATTTATCGTAATTGATTTCAATTTAAATGGAATTAGTGGCTATCATAGTAGATAGCACATTTCTGGAAATTAAAATACCAAATTCCCTATCTTAACATCTCAGAACTGGGGACATTGAATCAAGGGCTAAAACTTAAAAAAAAAATAAAAAATAAGGCTTTCAGTTTAATCAAGTAAAGAGCAATGTGAGGGAGAGAAAATAACTGTAGCCGTGGATTTTACGTGAAAGGACAAAGAAAGCTGGTAATCAAAGAAGGAAATGCCAAGGCACTGGGCTGAGGCCTAAATTCAGAAAAAACTCTTAGCAGAACAATTTCAAAGTCGGCTGTAACACAAACATATTTGGAGAGCACTCTAAGGGTCACAAATGTTCAGTTGTCTGCACGTGTGTGCAGACACTTGGAAGATAAATGCTGGAGTTGAAAAAAAAAATAATAACAATTGAATGAAGCAAATCCAGGTTCTCACGTGAGAACTTTATTTAGCCTCTTATGAGAATCAGTGTTCATAATCAGAAATGTTTTCATTTGTGCATGTGCCAGAGCCTGGATCCTGATGTCATTTCCCCTCTCCTTTTTACCAATATGACAAGTAAGTATAGTAATAAATGGACAGTGTTTACTCAGGCCTGGATGATCATTTAATAATGACAACAATGGGAGCATCAGATTGAGGGCTCACTATGCATCAGGCAGTGTCTGAGCTCCTAACGTGCATTAACTCGCTTGGAGGATAGTTAAGCATTTAGTGAATATCAGTTGCTAGTTGCTACATAGAACTCTCACTTAGAGAAGCTATTTTAAATTGTGATGGGAATTCAGAGAGTAACTGGTTTTTGTCCACATGGAGCTGTAATTGAGAATAAAATAAAGCAAATTGAAATTTGGGGGAATGGAGAGAACTCCAACACTCAGAGTTCTGAGACGTGGCAGGACACAGATCTGAAAGAGGGTGGACCAAATAAGGAAGGTAAAATTTAGGAGCAGAAAAGGGCCTGGAAAACAGTAATTGTGACTAATTTGCTTGGAACCATCTGGGACAGGCACACATGGTTTCCAGTTAGAAAGCCATTGAACAAAGCAGATGGGGGCCAACAGAGGGTGGTGACCGGTGTCTTTAGCAGGTCAGGGGTGACATGCCTTCCTTCCTGCTTTAAAAGGTCCAGCAGGTTCATATTGTCACACACCTTGGGTAATTTGACTCCATATTCTTATCAGTTCTTTCCAGTATATAAAAACTTATATTTACATTAAAGCCCATATTAGGCAAAAGTTGCTTTTATGTTGGTTGGATATTAAAATAACTTCCACCACTAAATAGGTCTAGTGGATTCCGAACTATTTAATCATTACTACTTTTGAATTTTCCCACAAACACCTCTCTTTCCCTCCCTCCCTCCCTCCCTCCCTCTCTCCATGTCTAGCCATGGCTCCATTTGATTACTAAGTAATAGTGGCAACCCCACGAGAGCACTATGAAATGATAATCTCATACCACTACATTAGTAGAATTGAAAATCTGTTTTTCTGCCATTTCACCTTATGGTATAACTCTTATCCTTCACATTCTCCAACTGGTCTGGTACTTAAAACAAATGGATTCTCCAAAAGCACCAACAGATAAGGATAAAATTACCCATGCAGACAGGGTTTCCTTCTGAGGACATACCCGTCAAACTGGGCCAGACAGTCTGTCTCTTAGTTTCCCCATTCTTCAAGAGTGTTCTGAGGGTCGGACTATAATTGTCATCTCTTTTTCCCCACAGGGAAACTATGTGTCCGCAAGAGCTTATTATGAGAGAGCTTTCCAGCTGGTTCCACATAGCAAACTGCTGCAGGAAAATCTCGCCAAGTTGGATCGCCTAGAGAAACGATTACAAGAAGTTCGAGAAAAGGATCAAACGTAGCAGCGTTTGACCCAGTCTTGAGGAACAGTGCTGGTGCCTCTGGAAGAGGAAGAAGAGATGGAGGCTTTCACCTCAGCAGGGGCACAACAGAGAAGCCTTCTGCTCGCTCGCTCTGAGTTCAGGGAGGCATGTTTTGGGACGCCCGCTGGTAACCCTGTGCTGAGGGACTCGCATTTCCCTGGAAGAAGAAAGAGCAAGCAAGGGCTAGGTCTGAGAGAAAGTAAAACAACTACTACACATTTTGCAGATTTTTGTTGGCTTTAATAAATAACAGGTTTCCCTTCATCTATTTCTCTGCTTTTCCAACCTAAGAATCTAATTCCATCTCTTAGTGTAGACTTTTATGTCCCAGAAATACAGAGGCTTGAAATGCTATGAAGGCAGAGTGGCTCTTCTTCATGAGATGAGATATGTCAAAGACGGAAAAAATCTCTGGGATAAACCATTTGGGTAATTCCACCAAGAGGTAGCTCATTCTCCAGAACTAGAGATGAGTAGCTGATAGTTTTTGTAGAATCTTTTGGAATATATGGGGGAAAGGGATGTTACTAAGTGGGCTTTGTCTAATATCCCCCCGAGGATATTGCTAGAGCCCGATTGAAGAGTGAATTAAATTCCACTCTGATGCAGACTTTCCCCATTGCCCAAGATACCAAAAAGGAAGCTTCTGGAATTGTGTATGGGTGTTCTTATCCCTGGGGGAAAATCAAGGATCTTGGTACCCCTAATTCTTTATGGAAATGTTTAAGATTATTTTAATTTTATTACAAGTATTACTAGAGTAGTGGTTCTGCTCTAAGATTTCAAAAGTGCTTTTAGAATCATAAATGTTTCTGACTCCACATATATTGTTACTTCGGTGGAGAAAAAAACCAGTATATTCTACATGAGAAATATTAAAGATATTAACTAAGAGAAATGTTCTACTTTGTTATCTTAACATTAGTCATCCAGAGATTTATTATTTTTTGAAAACTATATTTAACCATTGAAAAATCTGTACAGTATATCACAAAAATCTTCATAGACTATAAACAGATGGAAGAGGAGTTCTATTGATTTGTCTACTGAGGCTTAATGAGAATTCTATGCTTTAGAACATGAGTGATGGAAATCCGGAATTCTTGGTTCTGTATTTATAATTTTGGAGGTTTCATGGAGAATACTCAAAAAATCTAGGGGAGAAAAAAGTCTAAATTCGTAATTATAAAATATATATTTATACTGAAAAGATAGAGGCCAGCAAAGTTGAACTTATAATTTGACATTTGTTTTTTAGTGTTATTTATTTCATAACTTATAAAATATTTAATATATATACACACACATTTTTTTCTCTGTACATAGTGGTTTTAATAGCAGCTTTCAGAACTGATCATACAAAAACTACAAATCTGAATTACAAAGTAAAGTTTTAACAGCCCCTCAAAAAATTTGTATTGATTATTCACTTGCTAAAGCTAAAGAAATTAGGAAGCAGACGTCAGTGTTTGGGTGGTAATATATTTTGGAAGTGAAGAAGTTGGAACACCTGATTCTAATTTGGTCATCATCATAAATTTAAAAAAAAGGAAGAAGAAGAAGAACCACTCTGGGGAGTGCTGTTTGCAGGCTAAGCCAGGTGGCCTGCAGATGTAATAGCCTGAAGGCGTTCGGATTGCACGTCCTCAGGCCAGGGCAGGGTAAAAAGCTTGCTTCTTTTCAACACTGCTCCTCTGTGTTCTTTTTTTGTCAAGGTAAGTCTAGTTAAAAGAACTTCTCTAGAAAGGGATGATGCAAGGAATATTTTGAATGCAAAGGATTCCAGAATTTGAATTAGCAACATGTGTTTGTGTGCATCAATAATCCAACAATGTATGTATTGCCACTACGATCTTCTGTTTCTAATAGTCTTTTAACCGTATAGATCATAAATTTATCCAAACTTTTGCTTAAAATATTTTCATTCTCCTCAAAATTATAGTTTTATGGTCCTAAGGCCAAGAAATGTACTACAGTGTTCCTTTTAAATGATCAGTCTACCCCCAAATTGGAAAAAACAAACACACAAACATGAATCCCTAGCTAAAAACAGTATCTGAGACTTTAATCACAACTTTTTAGAATAATCTGTAACCAAAACTCCCACTTAGGAAGTTAACGGAAAAGACTAAGCCCCAAATTTTGAAAAGCAATTATGCCTTACTTGAAGTGCTGCTAAAGGTATGAGGGTACATTAGTGGGAATGGTTGAAATGGAGGTTACAGCCTAAAAGTTCCTGAGGGAAGGGGTCACATGGCCTTCAGGAGACTTGTTCTACCTTCTTTTGGGTGCTTTTCTCTCTCCCCACGTCCTTCTGTCTGTACGTCTCTCCCTCCCTCAACCTCCCTTCATTCTGACCCTCCCCCTCCCTTCTCACTGTAGCTCTAGCTCCTTCTGTGAGCCCCTGGCATCTCTTTGAACATGCAAAGTAAACACTGTTTGTTGGGTCAGATATTTTTATCCTGATTTAATAATGTCACTGAGATGTAGCCAATGAAATAGTTCTCATAGTTAAATGGTGCCTATAAGAAAATAAATCACATATTATTTTTCAAAGATATTAAGTGTATTTTATAACTTTTTATTTGGTTCTTGTAACATGAAATAATATGTGGAATTCATTCTTATCAGTAAAAACAGAGTGCCCTGGCTAGTTGTGGAGATATATCCAGATTCCCCTAATAAAAGTGTACTTGGCAAGAGAGCTGATGGCCCCTTTCTGACATGGAATCGCAGAGCCAGCTTCATGGGTTTTCAGTTCATGTGGTCCTGCACTCAGAAGCCGCCTATGCTTGGCTGAAGGCTCTGCTTGAAAGTCTTAATAATTTTTGAATGAGGGGTCCTGCAAATCTGTTTTGCACTGAATCCTTAAATATATAGGGTGTCCTCAGTACGAGGGAAGTTGGCCGAGGACAAGACAGGAGTTGCTTTAGTCTGGCTGAACCCTTGATCCAATGATCAAGAGTTTCATTTGTGACTCTCTTCCTCTGAGAACACTTGCTTTATTTTCTTGGCTACATTTAGAGTTCCTTGTGTATATATATCCCCCGCTTACTGCCAGTCTATCTAAACTGTCCTTCTGTCCTACCTAGAACCAGCCCTCCTTGCCTTTAAAATTCCCAGTAAGTGGCAGTCCTTTGACATAGGAACCATGAGATTGGCTTTACAAGTTTATTTCAACCTTAAGAATTCTTCAGGATTTTTTTTAAGTGATACAGATGTTTTCAATCTGTTAATGGTATTCACAAAACACAGTTCAGCGATGTAACATAGGTAAACTAAACCAAAGATTCAAATACCTTGGAGGAAAAGAAATTTTATTTTAGGGAATCCTGAGATATATTCTTTTGGGTCTGTCTGTTTTAAAGTTCATCACAAAACAAAGAGGATTGCCAGCACTTTAATTACAACATCCTATAGTACATCACAGCCCCTAGCAGGAGACTGTGACATTCGTCACAGGTCATACCTCACTTGATGGCAGGGGTTTGTAGTGGTTGCACAATGCTTTTCAACAAGACTAAATGAGAAAATCCAAACTGTTCTATACAAACCGACCTGCAGAAACTATCATTTTAGGGGGAATAAAAATAAATGTGTGGTTTCTTATTGTCTCTATTAAACATTCCAGGCCCCATAGATCAAAGAGCCACATTCAGCTGATAGTTGAGAACTGTTCCTTCACACACAGGGGCTCTCAAGCCTGGCTGGACTGCGTGATCCCCTGGGGCCCTTTGACAGTCTCCGAGGTGCTGGCCGCCCAGGTTCAGATGCTAATATGCAGCAAGGCTGGAGAACCACTTGCAGGCTAACAACTTCACTGGAACTTTTATGAGTTTTATAATCTTTCTTGAGTTTTACTTTTAAATCTAGACTAAAATGAGCCAGAGAATTCTAAAAAATAATTTATGGCACAGATGACTGGCTGAGACTATTGTTTCAAGAATGACAGACAGGTGGGTTGGGTGGGGTGTTTTGCACTGGTGGCAATTGGACTATAATTTGACCTTACATTTTCCGAATTCTTGGTTCTCAGAGGGAGAGGAATTACCATTTGTATACACCAGACAAGGCTCCCAGTACGTAAAACTCACAGTGTGCATGGCATAGAGTATATGCCTAAACCTTAGGTCTCTGTTTTGATGACACACATGTCAATTTTTGCTAATTATTTCTTATTGTACTCATTTTTAGAATCTGTTTTTGAGGGAGAAATGGAAACCTTTGATCTGATGTGTGAAGGATTTGCATCTTAGATTAATAAATCTATAGGGTATTAGTAACAACAATCAAAGCAAATGTAGTTATGGGTGGTTGGTTTGTTTTTAATTTTTCACCTAGTTTCCAAATCACATTTACTTTGAATAAATTGCATGTTGGTATTTCACAATAATAGGAAAACATAACTATCTGACATCTTTTGGCATTTTAAAAGAATAAATACCTGTCAAATCTTGCATTTAGGCTGCAATTGAGTGAGATAAAAGCTTACAATGCCCAATATATATATGGACACATAACTTCTTATGATTATTCTTGAAGTTTTGATGTAAAAGAAAAATACGTTGAACAGTTCTTCAAAAAATAACACTTCCTTCATTATTTTTGTTTTTAGTAGCCATTAACTTAAAGAGAATAAAATAACTGCAATCAAAGGAGTGCTTTAATATCAGCAAAATAAAGTGACAACAGAATTGATGATTTTCCTGTCTGTCAAATGGCTCATATAAAAATGTGCTATTTTGATCACCAAAGATCCTTTCAGTTAAAACCTTTTAGGGTGTGTAGCTCATAAAATCAGCATCCATGATGATAATGGTCATTATAAGTTTGTAAGTTTAGATCATCATTTACCCCAAAATGGAAAGTTATGTCAATGTCCAGAAACCCAGTAGTTTCTTCCCATTCTCGGCGGTGCAGATGGTATATGTTTATGTCACGTTTGGAAGTTTCCAATGTGCATAACATCCTTTTGGGGTTTCCTTGCTGGCCCAGAGGAGAGGTGCGCCGGTCCCAGAATCAGGAAATCTGGGTGGTAGGCCTGTTCCGCCGCGGAGGAGCCGCCTCACCCTGGGAGGGTTACCAACTGTCTCAGCCATATCTGAAACCAGATTGAAAGCCCTCTACCTCTGAAGAGGTAACTGGTTAGCGTTGCCCTTAGTTTTCCAAATTTAAGATAATCACCGCCACAAAACACATAATACAACCATAAAAGTGACTGCACTGTCCAAGTGCTTTAATATGGCAGAGAGAATTCTTATTTTGCAGTCTGTACACATAAAAACTGGTTATTTTGTTATGTGTCTGCGGGGAAAATAGTTTTTCAAATTTCCTCCGAAGGAATTAAAATATCTGTAGAAGCCATGGCTTGCTTTTATAATGTGGAAACCATCTGACTTGCTGTGACTCACGCGGATCCCTCCTTTTATCAGGGAGAAAATGACTTGCGTCGTGTTCTTTGTTCATGTTTTTATTTTCTCGTTTGACCGGTTGTATATAAATGTACGTTTTTGTTACTTTTGCTGTGCCAGTTAGAAATATATTTCCCATAAAGTATTTCTCCCATTTAAGTCTGATTATGTACGCTTTGCCTAGGTCTTTCCAAAATAAAATTTATGTAAATGTTTATTTTATATAAAATATAATGAAAATAATTATGTCTGTTTCAGTCTCTCAAGGGCTCCGTGATTAGTACCCACTGAAATCCTTGTCACTAGCTGGTGTCTGCTTTAAAAGAAAGAAAATTTCTTCCTTCTTATTCATTCATTGCATTGCATTGTTCTGTGTGTTTCATGTCTGCCGTCTTTACCATACCTTGCAGTGAGTGTTTCAGTCCTTATGCACTCCTGATCTCGTCCTCTCATCTTGCTGATTGGTGCCTTCACCTCTTTCTGCAGAGAGTAAATAAAAGGTAGAAAACAGATATTCTCTCAATAGCCTGCACTCCGTCTACAAACTTCCCTGTACCCAATTCTTCCCCCTCCTATTAACTACAATGGAAGAGTCCCTAGGCTCCAGATTTTCCCTCTTGTGAAGCTTCATTCCATCCCTTTCTCTCTCTTTTTCAACTTTAACTTCTTCCTTCTACTGGCTCTTGTGATTCCCTTCTATTTTAAAACATGTATACAGGTAACCACCATCAAAACCATTTGGAAAAAAAGTGGTAAGTCCTTCCTCTATTTCATCTCTAGCTGCTACCACATCTCTTTCTTCCTTCTCAGCTAAGCTGTTTGAGTGAATTCTCTTCACCCATTCTTTCCATCTCCGCCCTTCACATTCCCTCTGCTTCACAGTGATCTGTCCCTGCAACAAATAAGCAAATGAAACTTCTGTTTCTAAGGTCACCAAGAATTTCCTTAGTGCTGAATCTTGGGCCTTGCAGGACTTTGGAGAGGGTTCTAGAGTTTAGACCAGTAGTTTAGCAGGGATGGAAAAAGTTGTTTACACAAAACATTATTTGCCCATGATTTGCTTGTTGCTCATAGATTAGTCACTAAAGCTCCTAATTTGACAACTCTCCTTAGAATTGGGGCTTCCATTAAGAGTCTTGGAAGGCCTCCAAAAGCACATCATTATCCTGCCCTAATGAAGATATGTTCACATTAAACACAGATTTCTCATACATCACAAATCCAATCTGGGATAGTTCAGCCCACTCTGTCCCTTGACATCATTTCCTTTTAGATAGATAGATACTTATATATATGAGAATACTTCCATTTAGATGCTGCAACATCACCACAAACTCAACTTATATTTAAACCCATCATCTCCCTGGCAAATTTAAAACTAACAACGTATTGGATAGGTACACAATTCGTATTGAATGGCTTCTTTCCTATTTAATGAGAAGGCATTATTTTGTTAGGCCTAGAAGGGACCAATCCTCATAAAGGGACAAGGTCTCACCAGGCTGTGAGTTTTGAACTCTGGAAACAAAGGGAGCTGTGCTATAACAGGAAATGAGACCATGCCCAACCCCATGGAGACTTCTGGGTATGAAACGAGTGAATATCCTGCAAAACTGTGTGTGCATCACGCATTGAAGACTGCAAACTGACAGGGTCTGTGGGCCTTGTGAGAAGGTTAGCCATGAACTTGAACATTTGTCGGTCCAACTGTACTTGCACACCATGTGAACATTTTTCTTTCCCTCCCAGTTCATTTGGTAATGGCTTTGTAGTGGTTTTAATCTGACCCCCTCTTGCGAAGAAGAAGTAGGTATTTGGGTCTACCTGGAGGATCTGAGCTTATGTTGGAGAGTAGTTTGCCCCTGGGGCAAGGGATGGTTATGGTGTTCCTGGTAAGATCGCCACAGTGAAAGCAAAATGTACGGGTGAGGTGGTGAGCGCCCCGGGTCAGGTAGCTACCAGAGCTGGGGATTCCCTTTGCACTGCTCAAGCCTGGAGGTACAGGGCTTTGTTTTCACAGAAAGGCTGCTTACCTTACCAAGCCCCCTCCCAGTGTCCCCTAGACACCCAAGCTTAAAACCCAGGAGTCCTCTACTCAAACTGTTTTGCAAGGGGTCTTTATTTAAAATAAATAAGATGGTGCTTGCTATTCTCAAGAACAGTGCAGTCCGATAGAACTATTTGTGATGATGGCAGGGTCCTCTGTTCGCTCTCAACTAGCCACAGGTGGCTACTGAGCCCTTGAAATGGAGCAGGTGTGACTGAGGAACTGATGTTTTTACTGTAGTTAATAATTTGAATAACCACGTATGGCTAGTGTCCACTATAATTGGTCAGCGCCCCTCTAATGTTGCCCTCTTAATGTTGTTAGATGGGACATAAAAATCAGAGAAATACCTTTTATGTTCATGAGAGAAGTTTTGAGACTGTTTCGGGTTTCAGTGCCAATTGCATTCTTCAAGCTTTTCACCGAAAGGGGCCCCTTGATCTCCTGTTCCCTTCTGCAGTTTCAGGGTCATTGCCCCCAGCTGATTCTCACCTGCCTGTTTCTGTACCTGCATTCCCTCCACCTTGACTGTCTTCTGCTTTTCCGTCCATCTGTCTACTGCCTGCCTGTTTGCCTAATTTGTGTATCTCCCACCTTAAGGAGCTTTTATTTCTATTATACACGGAAGTAAGACAACTGGGCCTGGGAGATTGGTGTCTACCTTAGTTATATATAGAATGTCCACTGAGCTTTGCCCTAATTTTTTGATAAAACATAAATCCATTACAAAGTGTGGCTTTCTTCCTCTCCCAACCTTAAGCTATTTTTTTTTTTTTAAGATTTATTTATTTGACACAGCGAGAGAGGGAACACAAGCAGGGGGAATGGGAGAGGGAGAAGCAGGCTTCCTGCTGAGCAGCGAGCCCGATGCGGGGCTCGATCCCAGGACCCTGGGATCATGACCTGAGCCGAAGGCAGATGCTTAACGGCTGAGCCACCCAGGCGCCCCCCCCAACCTCAAGCTATCTTATGACAAAATAACGCTTATGGGAAAATATGTTGACATGATAATCTTACCAATGAATTCATTTTAATAATCTTACATGATGGATCCTACCGCTTTGGCCCATTCCCCTGAAGCTAATAACACAGCCACCCAGGAAGGGGATGGCAGCTATAAACCTGATCTTTCATACCCACTCTGAAAATTCTTGAACGTCAAGGGCTTCAACAAGCTTCTTAGAAGGTGGGGCAATCCTATTAATTCCTCAATAAGCTCCCATGAGTCTTCCTCCTTTCAGAAGTGGGCGTGCCTGTGTCTCGTATGGATGACCAGCTTCCTCGACCCTGGCTTGGGCCACCCTCCCTGGGCTGGCACCAGAATTCCCCTGTGCTGAGCGTGCCAGGCCACTGATGCCCTTGCTCCCGGGATCCCGCAGCGGAGCCCCCTGCACACCTGTAAAGGCCGGGCGCGGTGTGTGTGTGGGGGGGGTGCGCCTGTGGCCCGGGGATGATCGAGATGATGGGGATGATGGGGATGATGGGGATGATGGGGATGATGGGGATGACGGGGATGACGGGGATGATGAGGATGACGGGGATGATGGGGATGATGGGGATGACGGGATGATGGGGATGATGGGGATGACGGGGATGATGGGGATGATGGCGGGCAGCGGCAGCTGTGAGCCCAGCTGCGCGGCAGGTGCGGCCCACCGGCGCCCGCGCAGGAGTGAAGAGCGCGGCGGGCGCTTCCGGGAGCGGGGTCTGCGCCGCGGGGCTCGCGGTCCTCGCTCGGTTTCCGCAGCTGCGGAGGAGGAAGCGGGCCAGAGTCCCCCAGCCCCGGTGCCATGCGGGCGCCGGTCGGGCCGGGTCTGCTGCTCTTGCTCGCCGTGGGCCTCCCGCAAGGGCTAGGTGAGCCCGGACTCCAGGCGTCGAGGCTGCGGCCCCGGGCTGAGGGCTGGCGAGGGAGACTTCTTACTCCTTCAGCCACGGAGACGGAAGCGTGAGGGGCTAGTACAGGCCCAGAAATGCCCAAAGAAGGGCCTGAGCCAGGTTTTCTTTTGGAAATTCTTCGGATTCTGGAGTTCAGGGTTTTAGGCACTGTGCTAAGGAGCCCATTAGAAGTAATTTAAAGTCAAATATCTCTTTTCTGGAGTAGCCTATGTTGTTCTCCAGTATCTTTAATACACCCTCAATTCTATAATGCTCCCCCCCGCCCCGGAGTAAGCTCGGAATGGATCCGGGGTGGGGGTGGGGGTGGGGGGAGCTGGCTCCTCCCCGTCCCCGTCCCCACCCCCACCCCCGGGTCTTACTAAGGCAGCGCAGGCTGTAAAGGAGCAGGGGCATCCTGAAGCAAGTTCCAGTCAACAGAGGGGTAGTTGGGGGATGGTCTCAAGAATATCTTGAGAAAAGAAGGGGGCAGCCTGCTGCTGAGTGACATCAGAACTTTCGTGCCAGGCCAGGAAAATCGGAAGGTGGAATCTTGATAAAGTGAATCCTTACACTGAGGTGCGCTGGGTGTGTGCGCATGCGCGCACGCGCTCTCTCTGCCACCCAGGACTCAAGTGTGGGATCCGCGCGGTTGACGTGAAAAGTACAGAAACTGTCTTGGAAACTGGGTTCTCTCCTAGAATTGTTGGCTGGAGAAATTCTACAGTCGGTGGGCATCCGTGGCAGGTCAGTATAACAAGAGCGTTGATTTCTTAATGAGAAATGGCGAAGTTTTTCTCTTGTTTCAAATATCGCAACTCCAGGTTAACATGTAATTTTTCTCTTGACCCTGCTCAACCTCTCTGTCAGAAAGTTTACTTCACAGGAACTATCTTCCTAACCAATTATACTGGTAACTTAACAATGTTGTATAAGGAGAGTTGATTTCAAATGTTTCTAAGGAAGATGACATCTATGGGGAGACGTATATTAGTTATGTTTGTGCTTTTCTTCTTGGGCAGGTCTCCCTAAAATTAGGGGAGCACCACTGCTGTGGAGGAAGCTTGATCCAGGAGGATCTGGTTGTTACCTCAGCACACTGCCTGGTTGGCCTCAATGAGTAAGTTGTGGGTTTCCATTACTTATCAAACCTCTTTTCGTAGCAATAGAAGATTTGAGCTCTAAATTTGAGAGGAGAAGATTTGAGCTCTAAATACGATGGGAGGTTCAATCTCAGTCCCTTTCTGAATTTTTCCGCCTGGTCCACCCACTCACGGACCTTCCTGATCCCCAGAAACTTGTATCAAGATTATCTTAAGATTTCCTGTACTTCCTACTCTACTAATCAGAGACCCCAAAGATCCCAGATATCCTCGATAATTCGTGCAGTTAGTAGTGAGGTGGAGGTGATAGTTACTTGTTCTAGTGAAGTACTGACATCAACTGTTTAATGAATGTTCCAAATTTTTCATAATCTGAGTTTCAGTCATTAGGAGGGAAAAAATACTGTGGAAATAACAGATACTTAGCTAGGTTGAGAGTACTAATAATAAGGAGGAGAGTTCTAAGAACAACTTTTATATCTTATTAAAAATGATAGAGCATATACAGACTGGTACAAAAGGAAAAAAAAGGCCACACTTAAATATTTTATGCAGAAAGACAATTGATGGTAGGGGAAAGGGTTCCCAGAACGTAAACACTCTGATGGAAAATCATGACTTTTTACAGATCCCTATCATTTATGGGCAATTATGATGGTAGTAATCATTAATAAAGGTGCATCTCCTTTTAAGACTTAGAAATGCTTAAAGTTACACTAATCACTTTTCATTTAATTGTGTGAAACCAAGACAGTCTTTCCTGGGGGAAAGAGCTATACTTATTGAAACATTTTGCTTCGGTTTTAGGAAGCAAATTAAGAGTCTGACTGTGACTGCTGGGCAGTACAGCCTCTCTCAGAAGGGTGAACATGAACAGAAGAGTCCTGTCTCAAAAATTATTATCCATCCTGAGTACAATAGACTTGGATATATGAGTTCTGATATTGCACTGCTCTATCTAAAACACAAGGTTGAGTTTGGTAAGTAGGGGAGTTAGCACATGAAAAAATGTAGGAGAAATCTGTTTTGTTAATTCTGTACCAGCTTTAATTTCTGTGCATATATCTAAGTAATATTAGAATAGCTAAGTTTTGTTCCTTTTCAAAATTTTGTTTATAATTTATAAAAAGCACTGTACAGGCTATCAGTCCCAGACACAAATTATGTATGCTTAACTTAATCCACATTTTAAGCACTCTTTTGTCTTAGCTGGGCTACATTCTAGACTTAACTCTAGCCAGGGAGTTTGTGACATTTGAAAATGTTCTCAGAGACTTCTTTCTGTCATTATTGTGGACTAGATATCTGACACTCTCTCAGCACAGGTAATCTAAACATTTGGATAAGAATATTAAAAATCTTTTTTAAAAATGCAAAAAAGAAAAGTGTTCAGTGGCCCCAAACAATGAAAGAGCACAAATCTAGATGAGTTGGCCAGGTAAGGAAATAAGCCATCGCCTTTGAGGCATCAAATTGATCTTTAAGAACCTAGAGCTTTAATTGGTCAAGCAAGGAGCCTGCATGGGAGGAGGGATGGGGGATGGGAGAGTCTGGTTGGAGTCTCCTATGTAACCCTGACTTCCGGACAGGTGATGCTTTGAAAGGTAGGGGAAAAAAGAAGGGGAAATATGCCACATAAAGTGAGGGAATAAGGAAACTTACCTGTTTGATTATTGGCTCCGTAATCATGAGCAAGCCTTCATTCAAGTTTAATGCTGGCATTCCCATTGCCCGCGACCAAAAGAAACTATTGCCCCATTTTTCTGTTCCCCTTTATAGAAAAGCTATGAAGCTCCCTTTATGGTAGGGAGGCTCATTTCCTCTCCTCAGTTCTCATAATTGCATGTATTAGGTTTGAGCTATCTGTTAGACACCCAAGTCAATCAGACTCTCATGCCTACTACTCCCCCAAATTTGCTCTTGTCGCAGCCACTGACCTCCATGTTGTTAAATTCAAAGGTAAATTCTCAATCCTCAGCTTACTTGAAGGAGTTTTGACAGAGTTGCTCATACTGTCCTGGAAACATTTTCTTCACTTGAGTTCTGGGAGCCCCTTGGTTTGCCCTCCACCTCTTTTTTCACCCTTTGCTAGTCTTCTGTGATGATACCGCCTCTTCTCTGTGACCTTTTATTGTTGGTGTGCTTGTTCTCTATCTGTCCTTACTCCTTCAGTGTCCTCATTCAGGATTAAGGCTTTAAACACCATCTGTGTGAAGACAATCCCAAATATTGACTATCTAGCCCAGGTTTCTTTATATTACATACGCTGCTGGGATTACTAGGAGTTGTATAGCTAACTGCCTACTGGTCATCCACCTGGATGGCTTAATAGGCAGTTCAAACTTAGTGTGTTCAAAGCAGAATCTTGATTTTCCCCTACATCCTAAATCTGCTTTACCCATAGCCTTCCATTTTGATTAATGACAAGTCTCCCTCTCCTGTTGATTAAGCTAAACACTTTGCACTGGGTCTTGATTCCTCTTTCTCTCACACTGATTCTTCTTTCTCCCAGAAAGGTCCTGTTGCTTCTGCCTCACGCTCTCTACTCTTAGCATCCTGTTCCAGGCTACCATCCTTTATTGCCTGGGTTAATTTTCATAGTCTCTTAAATTGTCTTTGACTTCCTCTTTTACATGCCTAATGTTTGTTATTAGCCCAACAACCAGAGTAATACTTTTTGAAATAAGTTATATTATGTCACTCTGTTCAAAACACTTCAGTGGTTCTTCATTCCACTCAGATGGAAATCAGTATTCTTACCAGTTGACATCTCTGTCCTCCTGGCGCTATATCTAATCTGTGGTGTGTGTGTGTGTTTCCCACTAAACATTTTTTTGCTTGATCTGTTCCAGCCATTCTGGCCAACTGTTCCCCAAGCATATATGATATGACCCCACTGTGGGGACTTTCCATTCTTCTTCAAATGCTTTCTGCTTAGATAACTGCATGGTTCCTTCCCTTGGCTTTTCAAGGCTTTACTCAAATGTCATCTTCTCAATGAAACTTGCCATAACTATCATATTTAAAATTACATTTCCCAGGCCATCCTCCCTAACCTCCAGATTTCAGATCTTCTTTACCCTACTCAGATTTTTCCAGACTGATAGTACCTAACAACCAAATAAGTAATTTTATTTATTGTTTGCATGCCCGCTTCCCCAACACACACTCTTGTATGTAAGGGATTTATCTTTCTGCTTATTCACTGAGGTCTAGAAGAGGGCTTGCCACATAGTAGGACTCAATTACTTGCAGGGAAAACTATCCTTTAAGAACAAGGGTCTACCCTAGAATGTTAGTAGTTTGGAGGATCATGGTGGTGCATATAACACTGGATTATGTTCTTCCTTGTTTTACTTTTTCTGCATTTTTCTAAATTTCTAAAAATACAAAATAGTTTTTTATGAGAAGGGAAAACTTTTAAGATATATGTCAATATTACATTTAGGGGGAAAGTGTAGAAGCTATGAAATCAACTGGGTGCCACTTTTCCAAATATATTCAGTTTGCCTTATCTATCTATGAATCTTATAATTTTCTGTTATTGTTGTTTTTCCAGGAACTGCTGTTCAGCCAATCTGTCTTCCCCATAGAGATGATAAATTTGAAGCAGGGATTCTTTGCATGACTAGTGGATGGTGCAAGATCTCAGAGAGTAAGCAGCATCAAAAGGATATAATAATAGTTCTTCTAGGTTTCTTTGCCCATGAGAAGCAGGAATTTTACTGGCCATGAGTAATACATTTATCCTATTTTGCTTTGTTTTTTTCCCCTGAGTTATGATCCAGTGAGAATTTCTGGATGTCTTCCCCATAAAAATGACTACACTTAAGGCTCTACATAAAACTTCTCCTGCTGCCCATTTTGGTTAGGTGTGTCAGAAAAAGAAAACCAGGGGCGCCTGGGTGGCTCAGTTGGTTAAGCGACTGCCTTCGGCTCAGGTCATGATCCTGGAGTCCCAGGATCGAGTCCCACATCAGGCTCCCTGCTCGGCGGGGAGTCTGCTTCTCCCTCTGACCCTACCCCCTCTCATGCTCTCTGTCTCTCATTCTCTCTGTCTCAAATAAATAAATAAAATCTTTAAAAAAAAAAAAAAAGAAAAGAAAAAGAAAACCAGCAGTAACTATGACAAATGAAGAAGAATACAGTAAAGGGATAATCAGGAAATAGTAAAAATGGTTAAGCTTCCTTGTCTTTAATATTGTGATTTTTTTTTTTTTTTTTTTACAATAAAGAATTTCACAAATACTGCTTTATTAACTGAAGTTTTCCTTCTTGGGGAAACTTCAGTGAGGACAATGGTTGACTAACTTATCAGACTGTCTCCACAGCATCAGAATATTCAAACGTCCTACGAGAAGTAGAGCTTCCCATCATGGATGACCGAATGTGTAACAGTGTGCTCAAGGGTATGAACTTTCCTCTTCTGGGAAAGACCATGATGTGTGCCAGTTTTCCTGGTGAAGAAGAAGATGCCTGCCAGGTAAAAAGCATCAACCAGCCCAGTTATTCAGTATCATGTAGGCGATAGTGGATTCTGCCTTTCCCCATGAGCTGCTTTTGCAGAATCACTGCTTCAAAATTATTTTTTTATTCATCTTTTTACCATGCTTCTTTTTGGAGAGAGGGAGGGAAGGAAGACAGGAGCGCTGGTTTCAGCATTTCCAACCTAATGGAAGGAAGCAAAAGCACTTTGGCAAGCTAATTAGGTCTATGCGTGAATTATTTTTCATTACACCTTTTGTTAAACTTTGTGATTTTTTTTTAAAGCCTTTAATGCAGAATGCAATGCTTGCACAAAATTGACCAAAGAGGGCATAGCTATAGTAACTGTTGGATAAAACATGGGAATGACCTCCCAAGGCTGACATAGCAACTTACCAAGAAGACTGATCGTCACAAGACAGAGAGGGGAAAGGGCGACTAATTTGTGAACTCAGGCATTTTAGGTTTTAGATGGAGAAGATAATTTACTTGGAAAGACATTTAAAAAAAAACAAAACTGGAGGAGCAGGCAGTCTTTATTCTTCCCCAGCAGGCAGTTTAGAACTGCTGTGGGAAGCTCCCTAAAATTATCTGTTGGAAAAAATTTTGACTTTTGTTCTGGGGAAGAGGGGTTGCGGGTAGGAGGCGATAACAGGACAGGGACCAGGAAGAGTTTGGAAGGGAGGAGATAGAAATTTAGAATTATGCCACTTTCTAAATTGGAACACAGAGTGCTTTATCCTATCTGCATCCTTGAGAGACAATCCTTTTTTGGATTAAGCCCTCAAACAATTCTGTGCCTTTTGAAGAGGGTTTAATCTGACACAGGATTGACACGTGTTCTCAAAGCAGCACATGATTATGAAGGATTATTAAAGAAAGGATCCTAACATCATGGGTTCGGGGTACCTGAGTGCCTCAGTCGGTTAAGTGGCTGCCTTCGGCTCAGGTCATGATCCCAGGGTCCTGGGATCAAGCCCCGCATCAGGCTCCCTGCTCAGCGGGAAGCCTGCTTCTCCCTCTGCCTCTGCCTGCCACTCTGCCTGCCACTCTGCCTGCTCGTGCTCTCTCTCTCTCTCTCTCAAATAAATAAATAAAATCTTAAAAAAAAAAAAAAAATCATGGGTTCTTTATCCTCTAGTCTGAGAGCCAATAGTCCTTTACATGTAGCCTCTGGGACAAAGTTAGGCTTCTGTTCTTTTCTCAGAGCCTTCAGCCATTGCATGAACTTGGGGACTCTATTCACTGGTGCTGTAGGCTTAGATATGACCCAGTCTTTCCCAGCAATTCCAGGTGACAAACTAGAGTGGAAGACTGCACCCGTAAACTTTCCCTGCTCCTTACAGTGGTTTGGAATGTACATGGTTGTTCTCCAAACCAGTAGGGGCAAGAGAGAAATTAAGCATTAGCTTGACAAGATTGCAGGCAGTGATTGGAAGGAAGTTACATCTAGGCAAAAAGACTGTACCCTGAAACTAATGGTGAAGAGACAAAAAGATGGACCAAAAAAAAAAATTGATGGACAGTAACCAGTGAGCATCTATGCCTCTACTACTTCTCTCTTTGAGATGAGTACTGTTGTTTGTGGGCCTGCTAAAATATTTTTAACTTGTGAATATTTTCAAGTTTTTTTCTGTCCTATGAAAGGGAGACTCTGGAGGTCCGTTTGTTTGTAGAAGAGACAGTGGAATCTGGGTCCTTGCTGGGATAACTTCCTGGAGAGCTGGTTGGACTAGAGACTGGACTTCTTTAAGAACAAACCATAGAGGGGCATCATTGGGCATTTTCTCCAAGGTGTTTGTGTTGATGGATTTTATCACTCAGAACATATTCACAGGTAGGTGTAATTTCTGTGAATTCACCCTTTCATTCTAAATCAAAAATTGATCATGCTTATTTCAAGGGTAGTTACTCTGATATGTTGCAGATATAATAGAATTAGGCTCTAAAAGCACGAATATGTAGATTTTCAATTCCTAATCCGATGTATATGAACTGAAATCTCTAAGTTCTGGAGAACTGATATCTTTCAATTTAACTTGAACTAAACTTGGACATAACCTGGATCTTCAAGTTTATGTTCATGTAAATTTTTATGAAATGTGGGTCCTTTTTTTGAATTTATAAGATTTAAAAAATAACCATTGAGAAAGGGCTCTTTCTTCATTTATCCAGTTGACATATCTTTTTCCTCTAAACTAGTTTAGAGCACTAAAAATACATTTCTTCTCTCCCATTTCTCCCATTCACCTTTGTTAATTTTACTTGGCAACAGTGGGGAAAATAAGGGAGGCTTTGGAGAGTTATTTTTGTTTTGCAGCACTAAAATCTAGATTAGGAAAACAAATGTGGGTCGAGAGATGCCAAACCTGTCCACAAGGAACTTTCCTGTTCTTTGGGAAGACAACGGAGTAAATTGACTGATGTGACAAAAGGTAAAGTGTGGATAAGCTCCAAGAGCTGTCAAAGCACTGAGGAGAGATCTGAGGAGCTCAGTCCCAAGGGACCAGAAGGTGTGCCATGCAAAGGGGCAGCATCTATGCAAGGAATGCCCAGGGGGCAGCCTCTGCAGAGTAGAGAGGTGTGAGGATACGTAACTTACAAGAACAAGCAGTTTAGTACAAGAACCAGAGCATCAGAACCTAGTGTTCTCTCCATCCCACCAGCACTCCCTCACTGTAGTCCACGATCAGCCACCTCGCCGATGATTTGAGAAGCACCACCATGACTGGTCCAGCTGAACACCAGAGCTACCTCTGACTAGAGCAGGCTCACCACTCACTCTCATTTGGGCATCAGAGTGAAAGTGTTCTGTTCCATTGTCATTACTGCACAGGGAAATTCTCTCCTGGTAGCTATTCTATTCAGTTTTCATCACCTGGAAGAGAAGGTTAAAAAGATTAACACGCCCTGAACAAAGGTTAATGATAACAATATTTTAAAAAGGCAATGAAATCATCCAGTAACAGTTAATTTCACAGTCAAATGAATAGCAGAATGTGACAATTTATTTAAATAACACTTCCTTAACCTCATCTTTCTAAGCTTCTCATCCCATAAATTGCTTATTTTTTTCTAGCTTTCAACAATTAAAATGTGACACTGGAATCTGAAGTTTCTGAGTGCATGATAGAGACTTGCCACATCATTGCTAAAATTCGTGTACTTTTACTTTAGTATTTTTCTACACAGGCATTTTATTACAACCCAGGATATTCTAGTGAGAGATGGAGGAAAAAAGCCGTATTAGTTCTATATACTATAAATTTGAAGCCTCAACATGACTCAGGATTTTGAAAACTGGATAAAGAAATGTTAAATCTGAAGAACTTAGATAAAGAAAAGAACATTATGATTTAGAAATTTTCTCAGTGAAGTCTGAGGTCATAGCATCTAAAAACATGCATTCCCATAAATATAAATTATATAAATCACACAGCTTCAATCTGACTGTGTACCATATGTCTTGAAATTCTGTTCATAGCTGAGGTAAATAATCAACTTTTTTCTACATTTTGAAAGCTTGTAGATCTCAGGGAACAGTGTTATTTGGAGAAAAGGGGAAGATTCATTACCCCCATTCCAAAGAGGACAGCTGTTCTCATAATTGGTATGTATCCAAGGTAGGAATGATTCTTGTGTTCCCCCCAAAATCTTTAAGAGCTATTTTTTGGCAATTTTATCTAGTATCTCAATTTCTCAACCTGATTAACATAAAAGTCTATATATTTCATCTGATATTTTCTGGTTGGCAAGTATTTGCTGACTGACATTTCTGATACCCACTAATACAAACCGTCAACACAAGTAGTATTAAGACTGGGGCTTGCCTGAATTGATGTATTCAAATATCCAACATTAACAGCATCTGGTAGTGAGATTGTTATGGGAATTTAGTGATTAATCCTTTCCTACTTATTTCTGCAATAATGGTAATATTTTGTTAAGTGTTGCCTAGAAGATGGAAAATAACTTCAGTGTCTTTAAACTTTTTCTACATAACCTGTCCCCTTTATGTCTAAAGATATCTTTAAGCTTTAGAAATAAGTTTTGCAAGTACTTCACTTCCTCAACTGTTGTAAATTAACTTTAAATCTTGTATGAGCATTGAAAGATATGCAAAGGTTAGATCAGTTCTGTGAGTTTATAATCTGGAAAGAAGAAAGAGCTGGATAAAAAGAACTATACTGTAAAACATGATCAAATAAGCTTTATAATCCACACTACCCAGGTGTAAGGTGGTATTATAGAAAATGCAGAGACTAATTCCAATTGCAGTGGTTTGTCCAGTATATGTGTTCATACATACTATGGTTGAGAGAGAAGGGGTAGGAATGCATTAGTGAAGGGGGCGGTATTGAAACTAGGCCTTGGGGGATAGTTACAGTTTTGTAGCTCATGAAGTCTTTTGTAGCTCTAGTACCTAGGAGATTTCAACAGATCATGCCAGGCAGAGGGAATTATGTGTAAGCAATGTCAGGGAGGTGGAGATTATTACAGTTGTTTGGACAATGTGTATCACAGGGCAGATGGATAGCAATCTTAGCATAAGTAGAACTATTGTAGCAGTAGACAATGAAGATAAAAAGGCTGGTTAGGTCTTAATTGTAGATCACCTTAAATTCTATGAGAAGAAGCTTAGACTTTTTGCCATAGGCAATGGGAAGCTAAGATGGTGGCAAGATTATAATTTATAAAATGAATGTATCATGACTGTAAATACTTGTTATAAGTATAGAGAGGGAATGATATGGCTTAATTGAAGCCCATATTTAAATGGCTTAAAAGTCTAAGTTGACCTTCTGTGCATCAACCTACTAATAATATAATACCAATTAGGCCTTTGCCATCTTTTCTTAAACTTTTAGAAAAATAGCATCTAGAGTGAGAGTGAGAGTCCTATTTTATTAGAGTCCTGGGCAGGGGGTAGTCGGGAGGGGTCTCCAGGTACAATCTTTAGAGAGGGACATTGATAAGCTTGAAATTATCTGAAGGACAATGGCTAAGATGGGGAGAAATTTGAAACAATATCTTGGGAGATATGCTAGAAGGAAGCAGGAGTGGTTTTGATCCAAAGAAGACTTGAGATGAGGAAGGAACTTAATCTGAGGAGCCACTACAGATATTAGGAGGAAGCAGATTTCAATCCAAATAAAGTAGTTTCTAACTTGAGAGATCTCTGAGACTTACTGGCCTTCCTCAGGAGTAATGAGTTTCCTTTATAAGTAGGTATTTGAGAAGAGCATGGATGGCTATGGGTGAAATTCTAGAAAACACTGATACATTAGGTTAAGAGATTGCAGATGGCAGCCAGTTTACCCTCAAACACAGAGAACTTGCAGTTCAACTTAGACAATGAAGTATTGAAGAGATTTCTGCAAGAAAGACTTTCAAGGCAAAAGGGGTTATTAGTGTTAGATATTGCAGAAGTCAAAATGAGGTCAGATAAAATGCCATTGGATATGGCAGTTCAAAATTTTGGCTAATTCAGTAGGATTATAGGATCAGGAGCTATGTTCATAATTGGCTAAGCGATTGTTGAAGACTTGGTATCTTTCCTTCACCAAGTAGTCAAAACATTTTTATCAAAGCTTTAAGATGTGTCAGGCACTATTTTAGGTGCTAGAAATACAGCAGTGAATGAAATGGACAAAAATACTTCCTTTGTGGGGCAAGGTGGAAAGTGGAGAAGGGGGTAATACAAATCATGTTATAAATAAAAGTAAGTGGTAAGGGCTATGCAGAAAAACACAGGGATGGTTGTGCAATATTAGAGAAGGTAGTCAGGGAAAACCTCACTAGAAAGATGTTATTTGAACAAGGAGTTGAATAAGATGAGGGAGGGAATCATACGGGTCACCTTGGGAAGGAACATTCTTTGCAGAAGGAATGGCATGTTCGAGGGAGGGAAACTTTTGGTATGTTTGGGGAACAGTTGGATCAGAGTGCTAGAGCTAAGTGAGGGGGGAAGTGGTCGTGGTTGGCATGATCAAACTTACAGGACATACGGTCATTGGATTTTACTGTAAGATGTGTAGCCATTGGAGGATGTTGAGCAGATGAGGAACATGATCTGACATATTTAAAAAGGATCACTTTGGCTGTTGTATTGAAAATAGACATTAGATAGGAAAGACCAAGAGCTGAAAGACTAGTTACTGCAATTGTCCAAGTAAGCATGGTGGCTTGGGACCAGGTTTGTAACAGTAGAGGTGGTGAAAAGTGGTAGATCCACAGGATTTGATAGTGAGTTGAAAATGTGGGTTATAAGAGCGAGAACGTTATGATTAACGTGAGGGTTTTTGACCTGTTGGAGGGATGGAGCTGCCATTGTTTTTGATGAGAAAGACAGTTAACAGTGAAGGGAAAGAGGAAGATGGGACTGTGGTTTTTGGATAGTGGGACAGGTTTTGAGAGAAGCAGGGGTTTTTTGTTTTGTTTGGTGGAGGGACGGGTTAGGCTTAACTGTGCTCATGAGGAGAAGAGAGAGTAAGGGAGATGAGTCCAGAGAAATGTATAAAATACACGAAGGAAGTTTCATGAGAACACAACAAATAAAGAAGGTTTAGCTTTGAAAAAAAAAATGAATAATTACTTTCCTGGGAAAGCAACAAAAAAATTTCAGGTTACCTATAAGAGAGTTAAATAAATTTACACTAGATATCCTCTTAGTACTTATAAGGTTTTAGTTGCTTTAAGTTTAGAGGATGAAGTTGAGATTAAATAGTTAAGATTTGTAATAGCATGTAAGGACTAAAATAAGGAGTCAACAAGAGCTGAATAAGAAGACTTTCAGCAACTTCACAACACAGTATTAGCATGAATTTATACTGTATTTCAGTACATCTAAAACAAACTGGTTGTAGAATTCATTGTTATTTTATGTATCAATAAAGAAAGAAAAAATACCCAAGATTAGGAGATCGCCATATAAAGACAGGACACCAGGGGCGCCTGGGTGGCTCAGTCAGTTAAGGGGCTGCCTTCGGCTCAGGTCACGATCCCAGAGTCCTGGATCGAGCCCCGCATCGGGCTCCCTGCTCAGCGGAGAGCCTGCTTCTCCCTCTCCCTCTGCCTGCCGCTCCCCCTGCTTGTGCTCTCTATCTCTCTCTCTCTGTCAAATAAATAAAATCTTAAAAAAAAAAAAAAAAAAAGACAGGACACCAAAGGCTGTATCTTCAGTCTAAGGCTAAACAAGGCATAGGCACACCCACGTGAAAAGTTACATGCCTCAACCTTGACACTGGGTGTAGGGAGGGGTAAAAATCTTCTCTGAGAATCTGAATCACAGACTAATACTTATGCAGGTCTGTTGTCCAAAATGTCCACCACCAGTATAGTCTGAAACACCTCAAGCAGAAAAATTAAGTAGCATGCCGTTGATAGTGCTCCTAGGTGACTGACCAAAGATAATTTCTTTCTGGAGGAATTGTTTCCATCTAAGTCTAACAGAACTGTAAGACTCCATTGTAAGATCCTTCTGATTTTTAGAATGTTCAAATGTGGGGAAAAAATGTGCTTTAGAAATGTAATAAGATATGGAGTCAGTTTGCATACTTAGTGATTTCTCCATTATGCTAAGCAGCCTTGAGAATGGTAGAAGGATTAATTCTAGATGGAGTTAATTAAAGGTAAGGTAGAAACAGATTATGTGAAGAAGGAACAGGGAGTTAGTTTCTCCAAGCTTATCTTTATTCTGCTAGGCGGTACCTGAATTCTCTGACATGGCAGATACACGACACTCAGGTGGTCTCCCTCCTTCCAGGCCCATGAAAAACATTGCCTTTCTTAGGGCCTAGAACAGTGCCTGGCATATAATAATGCTCAGTAAATATTTGAATGGGTAAATCTATGCTTAATTTTGGTCCCCCTTTCTCACTTAGCTTGACTAGACCTCAGAATCCTAACACAGCAGTCACTAACAATAAATCAGGTGATTTGAAATCTGTTTCCTGTCTCTGAGGTAGAGGTTTTGAAGTAGAAAATTGGATGAACAGGAGAAAGTACTTGCCTTTGAAGCCATAAAACCCAAAGTGTATTTCCTACTATGTGTGAGGTGTGATGAGTCTTTTAATATCACAACAGTTTTTTTTTTTTTTTAAGATTTTATTTATTTATTTGACAGAGAGACAGCGAGAGCAGGAACACAAGCAGGGGGAGTGGGAGAGGGAGAAGCAGGCTTCCTGCAGAGCAGGGAGCCCGATGTGGGACTCGATCCCAGGACCCTGGGATCATGACCTGAGCCGAAGGCAGACCTTAACGACTGAGCCACCCAGGCGCCCCTATATTTAATTCTTAATGACCTAGCAAATACATATTTTATAAAGATAGAACCAAACAGTGGGATCTTTCTGAGCAGTTGCTTTTTAAAAATATATATTTTATTTTATTACTATTTTTTTAAGATTTTATTTATTTGAGAGAGAAGGAGGGCATGAGTTGGGGGAGCAGCAAATGGAGAGGGAGAGCAGACTCCCCACTGAGCAGGGAGCCTGATGTGGGACTCGATCCCAGGACCTGGGGACCATGACCTGAGCCGAAGGCAGACGCTTAACGACGACTGAGCCACCCAGGCGCCCCACACCAGTTTTCTTATTTGGAGGAGGGGGAGTACTTTCTCCCTGCTCACTTCAGAGGGGTATAATGAATCTCAAGAACGATGATAGGTGTGGAGTGCCTTCTCAGTTGAAGTGCCTAAAAAAAAAAAAAGGGAGCTTTATAATCTAGACAGCTTATTGCTTTCTAAATTGAAGTGCTTAAAGAGTGATTTTTAATAATATTTTAGGCAGCCTTTTTTTTTTTTTTTACATCAATGTTCAAGATGATGGACTTGAAAAAGCAAAGCAGGGAGTTTCTGGTTAGGGAGGAGATATTTAGTAAGAATTATTGCGTTTGGTCTTTAGAAACTGGGCATTAAGAAGTTGATAACTCCTGCGGTCCTAAACAGTATTCTTCGAGGGCAGTGAGACTGTTAACAGGTCTAAGGTGGTTGATAAAGACTGTCAAGTTTTAGAAGTTTGTTCTGACGTGTTAGATTCCAGGCACGATTGCTTTGCACTCAGATGAATGTGAGACATGGAAGACGCTAAGGATTTATGGTCTGCTGGGCTTTCTTTTCTTTAATAATATGAATTCATGAAGGAAAATAAAGATAGAGGATTATGTGTTAAATCATGTAAGACTACTTTCAGGATGTTTAGACATGTTTCTAAAGATGTTAATAAAAGGTCACAGCTGACCTTACCAGGAGTTAGAGAGATGACATGGCAACCGCAGGGACCGTGACCCAGGCTGACCTTGAAGGATGTGACTGGTTAGAGTTAACATATGCAGCATAGTCAATCCATAATTCATGATCCATAATTCAACTTCTGGGTGCACATTATGAATTTTCAATTAGACTATTAACTCAGAACAAAGAGATGAATCTTAGGTTTTTCAATGTATAGATCAAAATTCTAGCATTTTATAACTGAATGGAAGTTAAAGGGTGGTTTCTGGTGATTCTCTAATTAACCCCTTTATTTGTTGGATAAATGCCGGCAATTTGAGCATAAACAAATTATTCTCACATAAGGATTTCCATTGCCCTTTATCTTCTAATAGCCTTTAAAATTTTGATATTGGTGAGTTACGAGCTAAAGCCCAGATACTAGATCTTATTTGTCACACTCGACTGTGCCATTTATTATGCTTTCTCCACCCTCCCCTATCTAGCTTATGTATGTGGAGAATAATGGTACCAGAAGATAAAATTATCCTGATAAAATTTACAAGCTTAGACATACCAAATCAAGTTGGATGTGACCATGACTATGTATCTTTACAATCAAGCAATGGAGTGCTTATTAGTACGTATGTTACATTTATTTTTACTTGTCATGTTAGAGTATCTAAACAACCAAAGATGTGCAGAGGGACCTGAAGTTAGATTTCTGCCCCTAGGACATCTTCTGTACTGTCCCTTTCTGGAAGGGGTTGGGTGCGTGTGGTAGGAGAGGAACCGATGACCGGCATATTGACTGAGCTTTCTCTATTCCCTTCTCAAGTTCAATAACATTGATCTCATGACTATCCGAAACTTCCTTTCAAGGCAATATCTACTTTTTTGTTTTTTTTAATCACAAAAGTGGTTGCATGTTTGCCAAATTTGGTAAAGACAGATGAGTGAATGGAAGAAAATGTAAACTGTTAATAATCCTGTCACCTAGAGATAAGTGCTGTTACCATTTTGAGGTGCTGTGTATTCATTTATATGTATTAACTGTACACACTGAATTTCACATTGTTTTATAATGTTCTTTTCTCTCACGACAGTAGATCATTTCAGGTCATTTATGGAATACCTCTTATAAACTGTAAGCATAATTAATAACTTTAATTGAAACGTGTTAAGCATCTTGATAGAGAGTCTCTAGAGCTGATATAGACCTTGGTCTCCAGCACAGGCCAGTGGTAAGGAAAATTATTTCTTCACAAATTGACAGGATGCTATAGATAAGGTATTGTGCTAAGGGTCATAATATTCGTTGACTAAATGATTTCACACTTCAGGCCTGCTATTTACCTAGTAACCATTCTTTCAACCAGTCGTTTGTTAAGAATCAACTATGTGTCAGATACTATATCAAGCCCGACATATATAGAGAGTAAAAACAGTCTCTGCTCTAATGAAATTGCAGTTCAATGAGTTAACTAAAGGTGTACCATAAAGTGGGACATGACATAGTATAGGAAATGAACTGTGGTGGTTCAGAAAAGGTACTCTTATCTCAGTGGGTATTTGGGAAGTTTATGAGAACTGGACTTTGAGTGGGGCCCTGAAGGATGAGTAGAATTTAGGCATGGGAGATTGAGCTTGAGAAAGCAAATGGAATATAAAACCATTGACACAGAGAGTGTGGGAAAATTAAAGTAACCACTAAATAGTTCGGTGTGTTGAGAGCAGAGAGTTCCTGGAAGATAATATTAGGAAAACACATATAAATTTCTGCCATTTTAATGCTATTTCAATCCCTTTGCCTTTTAAGGTAAGGTCTGTGGAGGTCTGTTGCCTTCATCATTGCTGACAGAGACCAATGAGGCCACAGTTACATGCGTTTCTAGGACAGGAAACAGTGGCAACAGCTTTGAGCTGAACTTTACTGCTGTATGGAAGAACTCAGGAGCAGGTACCTCAGATAGCTAATTCCCTGACGTTTTTATTGGAGATGGGGGTAAGGAAGAGGGAATGCCTCTGGCCCTTCACTGTGGTGTTCCCTGACACGTCCCCAGGTTCAGGCTGTGGGAGTGTGGCTGCACCAGTGGAAGGAGGGACAATTCACTCTGTCGATTATCCTGACTTGTATCCCACGAATGTAAGGTGTCATTACTTCAGTCATTCTCCAGAGAAACCCATTATAAAGGTAAGCAACTATGGAAGCTCTATATACTTCGAGAGCTTAGCTGTGTTGGTTAGGCAGAACTTGCTTCATCTGGACTAGGAAACAGCCACTATGACTAGGAGCTTCTGTTTGCCATATATATATATATATATATATATATATATGGATGGATCTATATATGTTGTTGGAAACGTTTCAGTAGTTGAAGAGAGAATGCACTGAAAAGTATGCCCCCTTCTCTAAATCCCATCCTGCCTCCTAGTGGCGAACACTGGTTAAGTATCTCAAGTATCCCTAGAGAGAGATTCTGAGCCCTTACAAACGTGCATATATTTATATTGCTTAGCAGTGCCTTTTCTACTCCTATCCCAAAAATCTTTCCAAATGAGTCCACAGAGCTCTTTTTAACAACTGCACAAAGTTATATTGTGTGATATTCCATAATTTCTGAAGCCAGTTCCCTATTAACAGACATTTAGTGGGTTTCCAGTGTTTGTCCATACCAACAATGCTAGTACGTTCCTGTGTCAGTGTTTTGGGGCACATATGGAGGTACGTAATTCCCAGAGATGGACTTTGTGTCAAAGGGTTTGTACGTTTTAATCTCCTAGTTATTGCCAAATTGCTCTCCAAAGAGGCTGCAATGACTTACACTTCTATCAGTGGAATAGGAGGGGGTAACTGAGGACCTTTTCATGTGCAGAGGGAAGCTTTTAAAGTTTATCTCTTCTGTTCCTTGACCACTTTTCTGGTTATGTTCCCAATTTGTACAGTTGGAATTTGAGGACTTTATCACTGAATTTAGCCAAAACTGTGTTTATGATGCTGTTGTGATTTATGGTGATCCTGAAGAGGAGCACGAGTTAGGTGGGTAATGTTCCATCTAAAAAGCATGAGAGTGGTTGCAACACTGATTGGCCTCCTTGGGTGCCACAAAGTCAAATGGGAACAGGGATTTCTTATTCTGGAAGCTCATGTGTCAGAAAACCTTAGCTTTAACCCATGAGCCAACAATGGATTCACCAGTAAGGTTTTTTAACAGAAACATGCAAAATGCAGAGAATGTTTCAGAATATTTGGAAGGTGAACTTTTCCCACAGTAACACTGAGTACATTTTTGGCAGTTATTGAAGGTAATTTTTTAAACTCCTTTCTGTGTAAATCTCTTCAATTGCTGATATTTTTATGTCCAAGAAAAGTAACTAAAAGAAGTAACCAAAGCTATAATTTCTGCTTGAGTCTTAAAAGTTCATTTTTGGAACCAAAACTTCAAATATACTTTCATTTCTGACCTACCAGTGTACTGAGTCTAAAAAATGTTCCCTTCTCATTGTGCAGCCATTTACTTGATGCCTACTATCTGTCCCTTAGCTAAGTGTTGGTGTGGGTTGGAGAGCAGGAATATAGGTGGGTTGGGAATGTTTGTTTGGATATTCAGGGCAGGTGAGTGAAGGCACAGTCCCCTCATCCAGCAGAACGGGACCTGTATAGGGTGGGCTTTGGGTGCAGCAGATCACAGGTGTTACTTATTCACATAAAGCGCAGCCATGTTCTGTTTGGAAAGAGGAATACCAAGTTTGGGATTTTAACTTGCCTCTTCTCATTGTGTACATTAATCAGTTGAAGTTTCTATACATACTAAAAATCAGATGTTTTACCCTATCTATAGAGTGTTCTTCTGTGAGATAAAATTAGAATACATAGTTATCTTGAAACTAGTGTTCAATTCCCACATGAAATGGAAAGGTGTGCCTAAAACCAAAGTTGAAGAAAACCAGAATTGCTGGGAAAAAATTAATCAGATAATGTTTTACCCCTGTTCTGATTTTTTTTTTAATTATAACTGTAAATCAAACTTCCCTAAAACTTTGACAGATAAGCTTTGTGGAATCTTGAACCCTACTCCAGTATTCAGTTCTAATTACATGCTGGTGATTCATTTTAAAAGTGATGGTGAAAATACCTTCCAGGGCTTCAAGGCTAGATTCACCTTTGTGCTCTCAGGTGAGTATAAGTGCTTGCACAGTAGTGATTTTTGCTTGTGAAAACAGTTATACAGAAGATCGCTTAGCAATGTGTACCTAAAATTAGGGTGCTTTAATCACCTTGGTGGCAAAGTAAAAATACAGTTTCCTGTGCCCACCTCTGAAGATTTAGATTCTATAGATTGTGATAGGGCCCAGGAATCTGTGCTTTCCCAAGAACCTCAGATGAAGCCAAGAAACTACATCCACTAAATGATCAAAAGAGACTCTAAGCTCCTAATATGAAAAGTAGATAATTTAGATGAAAGAATGGAATTCAGAAATGAGATCGGCTAGTTCTGTTTGGGGATGTTTCAGGGTTTTGAAGGACTAATAGTTTTCCAGTCATTCTAGAAAACAAAGCAGCATTTACCTAGACAAAAGGAATATAATCTGCAAAGACCCTACTGTGGAAGAGAATGGGTGATGTACAAACAGCTGCAAATCGACATTGTTCAAGTTTTGGAGAGAATGGTAGAAAAGGCAAGAGTTAGATCATGATGGATTCAGGGCATTCAATGTTAGATACTAGCTAACATTTATTGATTACTTGCTCTCTACCAGGTATCAGCTAAACATTTCTCATGCATTATGACCTTTATTCCTCCTTACAAATGTAAGAGGTTTATACATTGCTCTCCTTTTCACAGATGAGGGACAAGAGGTTCAGAGAAGTTGAGTAGCCTTTCTCAAAGATGCATAGCTGCCAAGAGGTGGAGCCAGAATTCAAACCTTGGTAGTAATATGGAAGACTGAGATTGGGGTAAATTTACATGCAAGGAGACTAGTGAAGAAGTCATTGTAAGAATTTATTCTAGATCTATTCCCTGATTAGATATATTGTGCAAAGGTAATATATGAAGCAGAAACATTCCAGCATGATTTTTAGGATTCTAGCTTTAGAGGAAAGATGGATGGTAGAGCCACTAAATGATACAGAGAAGCATAACAAGACCATGTTCACTGTTGAAATCAATTGGTTCCTTTTGAGACAAGTGGATTTTTATGAGCTTGTGGGAGATCCAGATGCAGAAAGCTAGCAGTCCTAGCTCTAGAATTCAGAAAAATAGACTTAGATTGAAGAGAGAAATGTGGAAGTCATATGTAAGCAAATGAATAGTAATAGGGTTATAAATGTACCTTGTGGAATATCTTTCAGCTGAAGGATAGGATCTTGAAAAAAAAAGTCTGAAATTGAGAAGAGATGGCCATAGATGTATCAAGAAGATCAAGAGAGTGATTTCATGAAGCCAAGGAAGGAAGAAATGCTTAAGAGTCAGATACAAGAGGAATGTTAAGAAATATATAATAAATCACATGTATGGGATCTGGCATTTAGCACTGGAAAGGTAGTATTAGTGAGATCAACATGAGAGTGGTTTTATGATTGACTCCAGGGTAAGCAAGTAGGGTCAACGGGTATAGACTACTTTAAATATTTTCAATTGAAAAAATCTTTCCTCTATAGACTCTTTAAACCAAGTTGGATCAACATCAACCCCCAAAATCAATCCCGTATCTTCTGCAAAAGCTATTCCATATGATGAGTTGATGGTCATGTGGTTACTATGTGTTTAATCTTTCTTCTCTGGAAAGCCTCATTTTACATTGCTATAATTCCTCAGTGAAGAAGAATGAATTTTAGGTCCATGAAACTTCCAGAATCTTGTTTGGGTTTGAATATAGAATCATAAATAGAGGGAAGACGAAATAAGCTTTATGATTGGAAGAAAGGGGTACAGAGAGCAATCCTTTGTCCTCATCTATTCCTGTGCAAACTTAATATTTAAAATATTTTCCTAGACTCTGTATTTAATATGATTATGCATTTTTGGGCAAAGGGAGAAAACAAAAGTTTTTGTTTTATTTCATTTTAGCACACTCTGGCAAATTTTAACTTGTAATCCGAAGTATCTGGTCAAAAATTATGATCTTTCATTGTTCTATATGCATGTATTGAATATGGTCTAGTTGATGGGCTATAATAGAAAGTAGTACAGGGAGCTGTAATAGGAGAGAATGTCTGCCTCTTATGGGTAAGTCAGAGGAGGCTCCACGGAGAAAGAGCACTTGAGCTAAGTCCAGCAGTATTACACACAAGAGACAGGCATTTGGATGTCTGAGTGCATTTGGCATGTTTGAGGACTAAATGGTTTCATACCATGAGAGCGAGGGAAGAAAGATATATAATGAAGAGCCTTGCATGCTCTGTTAACTAACAAAAATTTCCTACTAGGATATAAGTTCCATGAAGGCCAAGATTTTTGTCTGTTCTGTTGACTGATAGATCACCAATATCTAGAACACCAATATCTAGAACAGTGCCTGGCAATACAAAGCACTAAAATATTTATTAAATGCATGACTAAATATTATTCTGTAGACCAATAACTAAAAACCCAATTGCTTAGGAGAGTCACCTAGGTAAGCTTTTAAAATCCAGTTCCTCAGATGTGGGGTCTTGGGAGTTGACATTTTTATAAAGCTCATCTGGTATTTCTGAATTACTTCTGTTGGCTATTGCAAGGCATTGGAGGGAGGTGTTTGTTCTTCATTATTTCAATTGGATGGGTCATTAGTTTCATCTTCTTTGCTGTAGGCATCTGTGGCATCCCTCCATTTAGTCTCCAGTGGCTTTCCAGAGGAATTGTAGAGGGCGAAGAAGCCTGCCCCCACTGCTGGCCATGGCAGGTGGGTGTGAGGTTTCTAGGTAGTCACCAGTGTGGAGGGGCCATCCTCAACCCCACTTGGATTCTGACTGCAGCCCACTGTGTGCAATCGTGAGTGAAACTGATGATATTTTAATAATGTAGTTCATACATGTATTTATAGACCGTGCCTAGGATATAAGTATAATTGTCTAACTACTAAAGTCATCTGGACTAATTTTAAAGCAGGAATCTTTCGGTGATTTTCTACATAGCAATCTAGCCTCTATTTAAACAATGTCAGCGTGGAAAATGTTAATCAAACCTTGAAATTGCTCATCCCATTTATGGCAATCTCTGATTATTATGTTGATCACAAGTCTGCTTCTCTGTAGCAGAAAGCTATTGTTCTAAATTTACTGGAGTTCCAGAACACCAGAACTAAGTCTGTTTCTTCTTTCACATACAGTGCTTCCTATACCTGAAGACTTCTCTCACATTGTCCTTTAATTTCATCTTTAAGCTAAATGCTCACCGTTATATTGTTTGTCAGTAATTCCAGGTGCCTCACCATGCAGTGCAACTTCCTCTGGATTGATTTAGTGTTGTCTTTCTTAAAATGTGGTTCACAACCGTGGAGAGCACAGTAGGATAATCTACCACCTTGGTCAGTGGACTACTAGTGAACTAAAATTTTGGTTAACTTTTTTCAATGTTTTCAAATTATGAATTATGCCATGATATGAAAAAATGTACATAATATATGTAGTCTAAAGAATAGTAAATGTACATATGTATCCTTGCCATTCAGTTTAGGAAGAATCTTTACACTTAAGACCCTTTTAGTGCCCCTACCAAGAGGTACACACTATGCTAAATTTTGTATTTATGATGCCTTTCCTTTTTTTTTAACATCTGTGAATCCCTAAAACGAGCATATTGTTTGATGTTTCTTGGTTTTGATAATGTAAAAGAATTGTAGTTTATATTTTTTGTGTGTTGCTCTTATCTTCATGTTATATAGATAAGCCATGTGACTGTGTAACTGTAATTAATTCATTTTCAGTCCAGACTACCTAAGTCAGTCACCTGTTGGTGAGTTCTGGATGCTGGTATTTTTTTTTTTTTTTTAACTCCTCAGATGATTCCAAAGTACAGCCATGATCAAGAACCACTTCCTGTCTATCTGACTCCAACAGGACCACTGCTGTGCTTGCTCACGGTGGACCAGCCCCGTTCTTCAAACACACTATACTTGCTCCTGTCTCCAGATGTTGTTGTGGTTGCTGTTTTCTTTGCCAGTCAGGATAGCATATTACATTTAGTCAGCATGTCACATAAGGCTCCTCTTGGCTCTGAGTATCACAGACTTGCCTTGTTTTTGATGATCTTCCCAGTTTTGAGGAGTACTCATCTGTTATTTTGTAGAAGGTCCCTCAATTGGAGTTTGTCTGATATTTCCCCATGGTTTTACTGGGATTATGGTTTTGGAGGAGGAAAACCTAATCGGTAATATGCCATTTTTTTTTTTTTTTTTGCAAGCAGACAGCAACTTTACTATTTTTCACAGCTTTTGCTTTATTTTTTTTTATTTATTTTTTATCCCCATACATTACATCATTAGTTCTAGATGAAGTGTTCCATGATTCATTGTTTGTGCATAACACCCAGTGCTCCATGCAGAATGTGCCCTCCTCAATACCCACCACCAGGCTAACCCATCCTCCCACCCCCCTCCCCTCTAGAACCCTGTTTGTTTTTCAGAGTCCATCGTCTCTCATGGTTCGTCTACCCCTCCGATTTCCCCCGCTTCATTCTTCCCCTCCCGCTACCTTCTTCTTCTTTTTTTTTTTTCTTAACATATATTGCATTATTTGTTTCAGAGGTACAGATCTGAGATTCAACAGTCTTGCACAATTCACAGCGCTTACCAGAGCACATACCCTCCCCAGTGTCTATCACCCAGTCACCCCATCCCTCCCACTCCACCCCCCACTCCAGCAACCCTCAGTTTGTTTCCTACAATTAAGAATTCCTCATATCAGTGAGATCATATGATACATGTCTTTCTCTGTTTGACTTATTTCACTCAACATAATACCCTCCAGTTCCATCCACGTCGTTGCAAATGGCAAGATCTCATTCCTTTTGATGGCTGCATAATATTCCACTGTATATATATACCACATCTTATTATATCATTTTAAGGTTATGTATTATCAACATGACTTATCACTGATGATGTTAACCTTGAGTACTGGCTGAGGTGGTATTTGCCAAATGTCTCCATCATAAAGTTACATTTTTCTTCTTTCCACCCTTACCCTTTGGAAGCAAGTCACTTAGTGTGGACGACACTTGAGACGTTGGGTATAAGCTCCACCTCCTTGAGTGGAGAGTATTTATGTAAATTGTTGGAAATTTTTCTGTATGGAAGATGTCTCTTCTCTATTTGTTAAATAATTTGTTTATACCCGTATGGACTCTGGCATATTTATTTTAAAATACTACATAATACTACATAAAATACTAACATTCTGTTGCTCAAATTGTTCCAGGTTTGACCAGTGTCCGTTCTTTCAGTGTCTTGTGTGTGTGTCCATTTGTGACACTAAAGAATGATCCAGGTTTATCTTACATGTTCTCTGCTCAGTCCTGGAATCAGTCATTTCTCCAATGAGCCCTGGTTTATTTTATTGGAGAATGGTATGAGAAATTAAGATCTCAGTGGCCGGTGTACTAGTTGGTCCTAGGGTGTTATTGTACTAGGTCCTCTCAGCGGACAGAACTAGAAAATATAGCCATGCACATGAATTCATTTTATAAACCTTCTTTCTGTATCTACAATAGGCTAAACATGAGTTCATGTGGATATTTCCAACTCAGTCTAATATCATATCATTCACTCTAGGCCTTCCCTCCCTTGGAGATGCCCACTTTATAGTAATTCTATCAGAATTCATTTTTATGTATCATGGAAAAGAAGCCTCAATAGTAGCTGATTAATTAGTAAAAAAATAATATATTAGAGAAGACAAATATTAGTATTGAAGCTTGAGACACAGAAGTAGTTTTGGCAGATTCCCTTGTCAAATAGAATCGTCTATTCTTATCATAAGGTGGATATTCAACTTGATGAGTCAGTTGAGATTATTAAATACAATCAGCTGTAAATGTTTGTGAACTATTTAAGTTGACCACAAAAGGAATTTGTATGCAATTTCATCAGTGATTTCTTGATTTCTTTAAAAAAAAAATTTTTTTATGGGGTGCCCGGGGGGCTCAGTCAGTTAAGTGTCTGTCTTTGGCTCAGGTCATGATCTCAGGGTCCTGAGATAGAGCTCCGCATTGGGCTCCCTCCTCAGTGGGGAGTCTGCTTCTCCCTCTCCCTCTGCCTCTCCCCCTGCTTGTGCTCCCTCACTCTCTCTGTCAAATAAATAAAAAGGTTAAAAAAAAAAGATTTTTATAAAAGTAGTGCTTGCGGGAATAAACAGTTAAGAAAGTTACCAAGAAAAATCTAAACTGTCTCCATTTCATGAATCCATTCCTCCTCTTTAGAAGTGATCAATATTAAGAATGTCTTATCAGATTTTCCACTAACATTTAAGCACACAGGCATATAGTTTATAGTATTTTTATATACCACATATATTTTTTAATGATTTTTTTTTTGCACAAGACATTGTGCTTTCTATTTACAGTGATATGGAAAATGTCTTTGGGACTCATTTTTTAACTCTTCTTTGTAGTTGCCTAACTTCTTTCACCAAAAGAAATGTCTTTTTGAAGACTTTCCTTGCAGTGTATGGCTCTTTACACCAGAAGTGTTTGATAGGCCAGAGTAACAAAAGCAGGATGTTCCACTCATGCCCTGCCTTTGTGGGAACTCTGCAACTGCTTCCTTCATGGATTTGTTTCTCCCGGCCTCTTCTTCATCGACCTGGTAGACATCAGGCCTCCATCCTCCATTGAAAGGGGCTTCCACGTATCCAAATCCATTGATAAGGGAAGTTCGCCACGTGGGATAAACCAGCTGGGGAGACATGCGAGGTCTGGGAGCTGAGGTATACCTCATTTTTGCTGAAGGTCACTAGGTGCCAGGCTATCTGACCTCGTTGGGTAGCACTCCAAAGACATAAAGGATACCCAACAGCAACATCGTACCACCTCCCATGACTTGCCTGGGACTGGTCACTCTTAATATTAGTTCTCAAACTTTAGCATATACCAGAATCACCTGGAAGTTTTCTGAATCTGTAAGTCTGACATGGGGCCTGAGGATTTTGTGTTTGTAATCAGTTCCCAGATAATGTTGTCCCAAATTTAGGGAAAACTGGTGGTGTTCTTTTGCTGTTCCATGCTGGTCGTTGTGCTCATTTGGGATTTTTAACTCCCTTCAGAGGACTAAATTCACTTTGCAGTTATACATTGGAATCTTTGTCTCAAACCTAATTTTTTTTCCATTTCAGCTACTTTTTTCCTGTAGTTCAGCAGTGATCCTTTCTTCTCCCAAAGCAGAAGTGTCGCATGTTGCATGTCCCATTGTTGGATGGGGGGATAAGACCCTAAGGATATAAGAAATGAAACTTGGTTGCAAGCAAGGGGCCAGATAGGATGGAGAAAACTACCACTTGCTACTTTGAGCTATCATCCCATTATTGGAAAAACTCGGGCTTTGTTGCCTCATAACATGTGTGTTGCTCTGTCATATGCTTTTTACACAGTGCTCTCTACCAAATTAAAGGATATTTGATGACTGTGCACCTATAATTTCACTAGAAGTTGTGATCTGCATTATCAACTATACCATGATTTTTATTATTTCAATTTATTGTGCACACCATCCTCTATATAAAGGAGTAGAGTGGCTTTAAGAAATAAGTTTCTTTACTACCAAGTAATAATTTAGAGGGTGACTTTGAAAATAAAGTTTAATCCTTCTGTTAGGGTGCATGGCAGGTAATAACAGCAATAATGGCTACCATTACGGAGTCATTATCATCTGCAAGGTACTTGACAAGTACTTTACCTGAGTAGGCTCCCTTAATAAAGGCATATTGAAACACATGAATAAGTCAGACTCCTCACGCAAGGAATTGAAATGAGCATGTTTATGACTAAAGAGAAGAAGCCTACGTGTATTAAGAAACTTCTATGAATAAAGTGCACTGAAAAATAATTTCAGTAACTTTATTTTTTCTAAGGAAACAGGTTTGAAAAATTAAAGAATCTCCAAGCTGAGGTCACAGAGTATCTCTGACAATTGAGGGACTCTTTCCTCAGATATTTCTTCAGCTGGAAATCTTGATGTGGTAGATTAATGGATGTTGATTTCAGGTTTTTTTTTTTTTTTTTTTTAACATCCATTTGAAGTACATCAAAAGTGTGCAAATCTCAGGTTTATAGTTAGAAGAATTTGCACACAGGGAGCACCCCTGGAACCAGTGCCCACATCACGAAATGAAATACTGCCAACACCCAGCAGCCTCCTTATACCTCTTGCAATCATCAGCACCCCCCACTCCCAAGGTAACACCATGGGTGAGTTTTACCTGTTTTGTTAACTGATACATTTTTTTTAACCTCCGTTCCATTAATTATGGTGGTTTGATAAAAGATAACAACTTGAGATGTATCCCTCTAAGATAATGTTTGGATACTTTGAACAGTAAAACATAGGCCAGAAGCTACCTCATTTTGAATGTAGGGGTTTTTTCATATATTCTTTAAGATTTTATTTATTTGAGAGAAGGAGAGAGAGAGAGGGCATGAGTTGGTGGAGGAGAGCGAGAAGGATAAGAAGTCTCCCCACTGAGTGGGGAGCCCAATGTGGGGCTCAATCCTAGGACCCTGAGATCATAACTTGAGCTGAAGTTGGATGCTTAACTGACTGAGCCACCCAGGCACCCCTTTTTTTTCGTGTGTTCTTAACATCACTGTGAAATTAAAGTAAGGTGTACTTTCTTTTTTCCTTCTCAACCTAAAACTAGCCTTTGGTGATATTTGGTAGGGGCTCCAAAGACCTTTTATGGCCAAAAGAAGGTGGCAGGATACATAACTAAGAACTCTTCAGGTAGCTCAGGAGGTGTGTACCTTCCCAGCGAGGAGATCACACAAAGGTACCGACAGGGGAGTGGGTAAGACATCTGGCTGAACTAAACTCGGTGCCTGTTGGTAGAGCCACATGGGGTTAGATCAAATGCTGAAAAATGTCTCTTCATGTCAAACTCTTGTCCTTGTTCTTTCTCCAGGAAAAATAATCCTCTCTTCTGGACCATTGTTGCTGGGGACCATGACAGAACCCTGAAGGAACCAACAGAGCAGGTGAGAAATGTTTCTAAGGACAATTCTGCTGGTGTTCTAAGTGTTACCACATGCCGGGGAATGCCTTTAGCTAAAATATATAATTAAGTATTGATCTCCTAGTGCCCCTTTACACTAACTATTTATACCAACATTTAAAGATACAATCTGAGATCACAGTTTAATCAGAGCATTAAGGGAGGGAGGTCAGGATGTGCCAATTCAGGTCTGTGTACACAGGTGCACTAACCTGGTTTCTCCAGAACTGCCAGTCCTCAGAGAGCGGTTTGTGGCCTCCTGAAAATTATCAACAGAGATTGCCCTTTTAAATTCAGTACAGAGTCTGAATTTCTCATGTATGGAAATGTAGAGATTTAAGGTTTATTTTGGAAGTAGTTTGACTCATTGACGCAATCTCGTAATTGGCTGGCTCGCCACTGATACAGGTGAGGAGGGTAAAACACATGGTGGTGCACGAAGACTTCGATAGACGGAGCTCCGACTCGGACATCGCCCTGATACAGCTGAGCTCTCCTCTGAAGTTCAACTCCGTCGTGAGGCCGGTGTGTCTCCCGCAAAGCACGGAGCCGCTCCTGTCCTCGGAGATCTGTGCTGTGACTGGATTGGGAAGCATTAGTGAAGGTAAACGTTTTTGCTTTTGCCCACACATGACGGCCAGTTGTTAATTTTGCAAATTTGGCACGGAGATGATATCCGGCAGTATCTGCTTTAGCCCTTCTTCCTTCTGAAAGCTAGAACCCATGTTTGATTTAGTTGTAAGTGATCAGCCTATAATTAGGGTGACTAATTATAGGTAGGTTAGATCTGGGAAGGGCCAAGTCATAAGTCTTGTCGTCTTTGCGGGCCATATGTTCTCTGTCTCGACTATTCAGCTCTGCCGTTATAGTGCAAATCAGCCACAGACCTACGAATGTAACAGAAGGGATTGTGTTCCAGTAGTTTATTTATGAAATTTAAATTTCATATATTGTTCATGTGTCAAAAAATATTCTTTTGGATTAAAAAAAAAAACAAAACATTTAAAAGTGTACAGACCAGGGGCGCCTGGCTGGCTCAGTCAGTTAAACGTCTGCCTTCGGCTCAGGTCATGATCTCAGGGTCCTGGGGTCGAGCCCCTCATTGGGCTCTCCGCTCAGCGGGAAGCCTGCTTCTCCCTCCCCTCTGCCACTCCCCCTGCTTGTGCGCTCGCTCTCTCTCTCTGTCAAATAAATAAAATTAAAAAAAAAAATAAAGTGTACAAACCAAACGAGTTCCCAGATTGTACTAAATAAGCCCAGGGATGGCACAGAACTGGCCCACTGGTTGTGGTTTGCTGACCCCTGGCCTAGGTGGTAGGGTTCTTAGAGCCATAGCAACATACTGACAGATCTGAGTGGGTTCATGTTTGCGTTTTGCCTCTTTTCCCTGTATAAGATCATTTTCTCTTTTGTCTTCCTTCTGTTTCTGTGTTCTTTATTTGGAATCTGCGAGCTTGGGGAGAGGAGAATTTATCTTTGTGTACAGTGTACATGATCATAGCTTCCTGTATGACCTGTGGCCGAATTGCATTTCTTTTTTTTTTTTTTTAAGATTTTATTTATTTGTTTGACAGAGAGAGAGAGCGAGAGCAGGAACACAAGCAGGGGGAGTGGGAGAAGAAGAAGCAAACTCCCCGCCGAGCAGGAAGCCCGATGCAGGACTCGATCCCACGACTCCAGGATCATGACCTGAGCCAAAGGCAGACGCTTTATGACTGAGCCACCCAGGCGCCCCAAACTGCATTTTCCTAAAATGTGCACAACACCATATGAGGAGATTTTATTATCCCCATGTTGTAAATGAGGACATTATGGCTCAAAGATTTAAGTAACTTGCCAAGATCCCATAACTAATAAATATCAAAGCTAGGATTTAAAATTAGCCTGGTTTTCTGCTGATAATCTTCGAATGGCTTTTTTTTTTTTTTTTTTTTTTTAACGTTTAGAATAAAATCTGAACTGTTAGTCTGGCTTGGAAAACTCTATGTGATTTGGCCTCCACTTACCTCTCCAAATTCTTTTCCTCCCTTTGTCCCCTTCAGGCATTGTGGTCTTCTTTCTTTCTCTTAAACACAAGATCTGTTCTGCTTTCTGAAGCTTGGAACACATTTGCTCTTCTCGCAGCTGCCTCTTCCTCATTCTGTTCGCAGCTCAAACAGCATTCCCTCTTCCATCACTTTGCTGCTTCAGGACTGCCCTTCCATCACTCTCTGCATGACCCAGTTTTATCATCTCCTCACGCACAAATGTACTTGACATGCCCCAGGGTGCCTGGGTGGCGCAGTTGATGAAGTGGCTGACTCTTGGTTTTGGCTCAGGTCATGATCTCAGGGTCCTGGGATCGAGCCCCATATTGAGCTCTGCACTCGGTGGGGAGTCTGCTTGAGATTCTCTCTCTCTATCGCTCTGCCCTGCCACCCCCACTCACACACTCTTGCTCACACACTCTCTCAAATAAATACATTTTAAAAATCTTTAAAAAAGAAAAAACATCATTCTCCAGGTCTCATGCATTAAAGCGGAAACCTCGTGGCAGCAGGTCTCTAATTCACCACTCTGCCCCAGAGCTATAGGTTTACCTGGCATAGAATAAACACTCAGCAAATATTTTCTTACTGGCTTCCAAGCCCTTGAATAAATGTACCCATTCTCTGATACCCTCAATCACCACCTCCATGACCACCAGACAACGGAGAGGCAGTTACAGTCTTGTGAAAGACGAATTCATTCTTCCAATCTGAGAGAAAATGAGTTCTCAATTTTAAGACACGGTAAAGAATGGGGGTGGAGATGGTCCCTAAAAAGAGGATTTTAAATACCTTAAATGTATTTATGTATTAGATGGGTACATTAAAACGAGCACAAACTTTAGAGTCCGATCTCAGCTTAATGGCTAGTTCTGTCCCATGGGTGCTGTGAGATCAGATTTTGGGAGCTCCGACTTTTTCGTGAGTGAGTTCTGTGTGATCATGTATGCGAGCAACCCACCTCACGATGTTGTATTATTGGGTTGGAGTCCTATGAAAGTACTATATAAATGTAAGGTAATTTCTAGTACTAATCTTAGCTTTTTTTTTTTTAATTAGTCAGGAATCCAAAATGATAGAATAAGTTGTGCAGAATACATGTTAACATGGGCCTGCCTGAGGGTCCGTTATGAGTGTTTTAGTGCTCATTGTTAGCCTTACAGCCTTCACTGTTAGTCCTTGTAAATTGGAGTTGAGATTAGTCTCAGTGACGATTAAGGAAAAAGGAATATGATTTTGGTTTATATTAGGAAATCATATAAACATGTCACATTTATAATATATTTTATTTATAAATATACTATGTAAAAACATATAATCACATAAATCCTGTACAATACCAATTCATATCTTGCTGAATTTTTCTTTCTGAATTCTCATGTAGCAATATTTGAAACACTAAATTTTGAATAAAAAATAAGCTAGAAAAAAAATGTTTCTGGTGTTGTTCTCCTGACAATGTATTCCTTTATGAAGATGCCACACTTGAAAATGAAGACATCCCGTATGAGACACTTACATTGTTTGGTTCAGTATTCCACATCAGCTCAGGCAAACCTGAGTGAAGGCAAATATAGTAGTGCAGAGCAAGTCTGAACTTAAATATGTTTTTTCACATAGTTTGTTATTTACTTCATTATGAAGCTGTCTTTCTGGATCTGTTTCTTCAGCAGATGGCGGCTTAACAAGGCGCTTCCAGCAGATTCGGGTGTCCATGTTGGAAAGCGAGGGGAGCGAACGTACTTACTCCTCTCACCCAGGAGGGCTCACGGAGAAGATGATGGGTGCTGGCTTTGCAGACTCTGGAGGGAAAGATTTCTGTCAGGTGAGAAGACTCTGATTTTGCAGAGGAAGATCCAAGGTCGTCATCTGCTGGAGATTCTCCTTAGACAGGAGGAGACGCTCAGAGGCACAGGTAACCTGGTAGCCCCACAGCACGCCCTTCCTGGAAGGCCAGTGGGACAACAGGAAGAGTGAATGCCTTACTCCAAACCCACTGAGAGGGCGGGAACAGCCTAGGGGCAGAAGAGCAGGTGGGGACTAGGTGCCCATGAGCACATAGGGCCTCAGAGAGAGGCAAGGTTTTGGGAAAAGAGGAACAAGCAAAGAAGGATTCTAAGTAGGTGTATTCTACTGATGACTTAAGGTTTTTATTGTTTTAAAATTAATATTAATCTCCTATGTGCTCACATTTAATTTTCTACCACAGATTAAAATAAAATAATCATGAAAAAAATGAGAAACTTTGAAAAACTGGTTTGCATATGCAGTGGAAAACAAATCCCAAAACAGTAGTTTAATTTCAGATATTTAGAGGCAAAGTGGTATAGTTATATTCACGTGTCAGTTGGACAAATGTGCTATTAACAAGTTCAGATCAGCCAAGAGGAAGACCATGTGGACGAATGGATCGTAAAACACCAGCTTTCATATCCACGAAGCCAAGTGAGGAATGTGACCTTAGATAGACAACCAAAAAGGGTCCCTGATGCTCTGTAACCCTCTTTCAATAGTTAGTTTGGATTTGAGGCAGCCTACTGATGGAAACGTTTGGGTCTTCGGGGCAGATATACTTCTCTGAGTTTATCATTTCATACCGGTCTGGAATACAGAGGGAAGAAAGGATGAATCAAGTCTGTGCAGCTTTTTGATCGTTTTTCCCTTAATCAAGAAATAAGAACCCATGGGAGAAAACTGGGTGTTAATCTAGGTAGAAGTCCTTCCATGTGAACATGTGAGGAGAGAAGGAGGGAGGTCCCCTCTTAACACTGAGTATCTGTTTATGGTGGTTAAACCCTTCCCTGGTGTCAAGCACTAATCAAATTCTGTTTTCTTTATTTGAATTTGCATTCCCCAGAAGCTGACCTTGAGACAAAGATTCAAGTACAATGGTCTGCTTAGGAAGTGCAGACATCACTGGTAGGGAAGTCAGGAGGGTGGTCTAGGGAAGGGAAGGCAGGAAATGCAAGATGTGCTATGAAGTCAGCTACCACAGTCGGGGGACTGAGCTGAATCTGGCAGCAATGCAAAATATATGCAACGTATTTGTCCCATCCCAGGGGTGAGGGAGCTGGGATATTTATATACTACTTCCCCAAAGTCATGGTTCGAGGGCTACTGGAGGAGAGGGGTCTGTTGGTCCCTTTGCACTTTCCACTCTTCTGGTGTGCCTCGTGGATGGGGTGGAGGAGGGGAAGAGCCCTCAGGCACAGAGCCAGGATGTGGCCTGGAAGACTTGAGGAATCTAGGAAGGGTGCTCACACCATCTGCTAAAGGACATAAATGCTATACTATAAATATCAAATAGAAAAGTGCTCTGAATTAATGTGGTCATTCCTCCTCTTTTGAGGGATGGTTTTTCTCTCTGCTTCGAATCAAGGAAATCACAAATGGCTCTGTTGTCTCTGTCATGTTTGACAGCATCTGATATTAAGGGAACACCTTACTGTGTATGAAGAGAGCAGAGGAGAATTAGGGAAGGAATTAGGTCCATGACAGAGGTGTGATCTTGGTGAGCATTTATTTCAGCTACATCCCTTGCAGCATGACCAAATTTGCTGCCCATACAAAGGGAGGAAAATAGGAGTTGAGATTCTGGCTAATAAATGTGTCTAGCTAAAGAATACTGAATTACTAACAAGGTGACTTCAGAAACTTTGATAAAGTGGACTCTAGTATTTCTATCCGGTAGTTGATTTCTACCCTCCTTTGTGTGCTCAGAAGTAATGGACCTGCTAATGTAATTTCTCACCCAGGAAGGTGAAGTAGAATGTTGGAATGAAGAGATGGAGTTTCAGAGATGCAGTACAGAATCCTATGCTGCTTTGCTCACAACACATCCTAGATTGTTTTTAAAATGTCAAATTCTTTGACCTACAGGGTGATCTCTGTCTTCCCAGAGTAGTGTATGTCCTGTTCGTGCTGACTTTTGCAATCTATTTCATACTTCTCTTGCTTATATATTTCAGCCACAATGATTATTTTCTCACCATACAAGTCACTACATCCTGCCTAATTTGGGGCCTTAGCCCAGATATCAATTCTGCATAAAATGTTATTCCTCCTGGCTTTAGAAAACCCAGCTCCTTCTCGTCTTTCATGTATCAGATCAAGTGTTATTGAAACTACATACACTTACAGAAGCATGTAAGCACACACAACTACCTCACTTTATTCTCTGCTTTTCGCTCTAAATATTTTCTTTAGAGCTATTATCACCATCTAATTTGTTTATACTTTGTCTTGCTCAAAATGCCTAGCTCACAGTAGGCACTGAATAATTCTTTAAAAATAAATAGGTACCATTTGCTTATTGACTATTTACCACATGCTAGGCCCTGTGATAGACCCTGACAATAGCAGATGAATTAGACAGGCTGTTTCTGAATCATGAAATGTTTGTAATTGCAAGAAAAATTCTTTATTTGGTACGTGTTCATACTGAATGAATAAGTAATTTAAAGAAAAAACAAACCTGACTTGACACATCAGACCACTTACGAACTGGAAAGAGGTCTTAAAGTATAACCTTATTTCATATGGGAAAAAAAAATAGGCCCAGAGAAAATGTTAATTGTTCTACATTACAGACAAGGGAATCTATCTCCCTATTCCCACTTCAGGATTTCTTCTGTGAAATTCTTCATATAAAATAAACAGCCACATCAAATATATTATAAGCTCAGTTTATTTTATCAGAAGACAAAGGATTTAGTTTGATTCTAAGTACATTTCTGTCAAAGAAAAAAGGGGCTGATTGAAAATCAGAAAGGCTACTTTAAAAGGCAAATCCTATGCTTTAAGGCTTTTTTTTTTTAATTTTTTTTTTTAAAGATTTTATTTATTTATTTGAGAGAGAGAGAATGAGATAGAGCATGAGAGGGGGGAGGGTCAGAGGGAGAAGCAGACTCCCTGCCGAGCAGGGAGCCCGATGCGGGACTCGATCCCGGGACTCCAGGATCATGACCTGAGCCGAAGGCAGTCGCTTAACCAACTGAGCCACCCAGGCGCCCAAGGCTTTTTTTAAACAGGCTTATTGAGCTATAATTGACATATAACATTGTGTAAGTTTCAGATGTACAATGTAATGATTTGGTGCACTTGTATATTGTGAAATGCTTACCACAGTAGAGTTAGTCAACACCTCCATCACCTCATATAATTACCATTTCTTTCTTGTGCTAAGAGCACTTAAGATTACTTTCTTAGCAACTTTTAAATATCGAATATAGTATTGTTGACCATAGTAACTATGTTGTACATTAGATCCCCAGAATTGTCCACATTATAACTGGAAATTTGTACCTTTTGACCAAGATCTCCCCCATTTTCCCCACCCTCCCCCAGCCTCTGATAACTATCCTTCTACTCTGTTTCTTTGAGTTCAGCTTTTTTAGATTCCATGAATAAGTGATATCCTACAATATTTGTCTTTTGCTGTCTGACTTTTCACTTAGCACAATGTCCTCAAGACCATCCATGTTGTCGCAAATGGAAGGATTCTTTTTATTCTCATGGCTGAGTAATATATATTTGCCATATTTTTTATCCATTCATCCCGTGGCAGAAAAAATAGGTTGTTTTCATATCTCTGCTATAGTGAATAAAGCTGCAATGTATGGGAGTGCAGATACCTCTTTGATAACCTGTTTTTATTCCCTTTGGGTATATACCCAGAATTGGATCAAATAGTAGTCAATTTTTAATTTTTTAAGGAACGTTTATTTTCCATAGTGATGCACCAGTTTACATTCCTACCAACAGTGCAAAAGGGTTCCCCTTTTTCCACATTCCTTGCCAACATTTTTTATGTCTTTCTGATACCTATTCTAACAAGTGTGAAGTGGTATCTCGTTATAGTTTTGATTTGTATTTCCCTGATGATCAGTGAAGTTGAGCATCTTTTCATGTACCTGTTACCCATCTGTATGTCTTCTTTGGAAAAATGTCTATTCAGATCCTCTGCCCATTTTTTAGGTTGCATCATTTTTGTTATCGATTTGTATGAGTTGTTTATATATTTTGGATATTAACCCTTTATCAGATATGTGGTTTGCAAACATTTTCTCCCATCCCATAGCTTGCCTTTCCATTTTGCTGATTGTTTCTTATGATGTGTAGAAGCATTTTAGTTTCATGTAGTTCCGCTTAATTGATTCTTTTGTTGCTTGTGCTTTTGGTTTCATATCCCCCCCCCAAAAAAAATTGTTGCCAGGACCAATCAATGTCAAGGAGCTTTTTCCCTGTTTTCTTTTTTTCCCCCCTGTGTTTTCTTCTAGGAGTTCTACAGTTTGTAGCCTTATATTTAAACCTTTAATCCGTTTCAAGTTAATTTTTTTTGTGAGTGTTATGAAATAGGGTTCAATTCCATTCTTCTGCTTATAGTTGTCCAGTTTTCCCAACATCATTTGTTGAAGAGATTATCCTTTCCCCATTGAGTATTCTTTGCTCCTTTGTCAAATATTAGTTGACTGTATATGTGAGGGTTTTTCTGGGCTCATGATTCTAGCCCTGTTGTCTATGTGTCTGTTTTTATGCCAGTACCATGCTGTGTTGACTATTATAGATTTATAACATATTTTGCAATCAGGAAATGTGATGCCTCCAGCTTTGTTCTTTCTCAGGATTGCTTTGGCTATTTAGGGTCTTTGGGGGGCCCTTATGAATGTTAGGACTGTTTTTCCTATTTCTATGAAAAATGCAATTGGAATTTTGAAATGGACTGCCTTGAATCTATAGGTGGCTTTGTGGAGTATGGACACAATATTGATTCTTTTGATCTGTGAAGATGGGATTATGTTTTCCATTTGTGTCTTCATCAATTTCTTTCATCAAAGTCTTACAGTTTTTAGTGTAGAGATCATTCACCTTTTTGGTTAACTTTATTCCTAAGTATTTTATTTTTTGGTGCTTTTGTATATAGGATTGTTTTCTTTATTTTTTATTCTTTTTTTCAAGTTTTTATCTAAATTCCAGTTAACCTACAGTGTGATATTAGTATCGGGTATAAAATTTAGTGATTCAGTACTTACAACACCTGTGCTCATCACAAATGCCTTCCTTAATCCTGTTTATTTCTTTTTCATATATTTTTTTGTTAGTGTATAGAGACACAACTGGCTTCTGTATGTTTGCTTTGTATCCTGAAGCTTAACAGTACTCATTGATTAGTTCTAATAGCTTATTTGTTTTGTTTTTAGTTCTAACAGTTTTTTGATGGAGTCTTTAGGATTTTCTTAGACCATATCATCTACAAATGAAGACAGTTTTATTTCTCCCTTCTTGATTTACTACTCCTTCTTTCTTTTTATTTCTTTTTCTTGCCTGATTGCCCTGGCTAAGACTTCCAATACTATATTGAATAGGAATGGTGAGAGTGGGCACCCTTGTTTTGTTTCTGATCTTACTGGAAAAGCTTTCAACTTGTCACTATTGAGTATGATGTTAGCTATGGGTTTGTTAGATATGACCTTTCTTATGTTGAGATATGTTCTGTCTATATCCAATTTGTTAAGAGTTTTTATCATGAAAGGATGCTGTACTTTGTCAAATACATTTACTATTCAGATAATATGATTTTTAAACTTTCATTCCATTAGTGTGGTATATCACATTCATTGATCTGTGTATGTTGAACTATCCTTGTATCACTGGAATAAATCCCACTTGATCATAGCGTATGATCCTTTTAATGTGCTGTTGAATTCAGTTTGCTAGTATTTTGTTGAGGATTTTTGCATCTATGTTCAGGGATATTGGCCTCTAGTTTTCTTTTCTTGTGGTGTCCTTATTTGGCTTTTTTATCAGGGTAATTCTGACCTTATCTAATGAGTTTTAGAGTGTTCCCTCCTCTTCAGTTTTTGGGAAGAGTTTGAGGAATGAAGTTAATTCTTTAAATGTTTAGTAGAATTCACCAGTGAAGCCATCTGGTCCTGAGCTTTTCTTTATTGAGATGTTTTTGAATAGTGATTCAATCTCCTTGCTCATATTGGTCTGTTCTGATTTTCTATTTCCTCATGATTTGGTCTTGGTAGTTTGTATGTTTCTAGGAATTTATCTATTTCTTCCAGGTTATCCAATTTTTTGGTGTATAATTATTCATAGTAGTCTAATGATTCTTTGTATTTCTGTGGTATCAGTTGTAATATCTTTGTGATTTTATTTATTTGAGTTTAAGTACTCTAAGGTATATGAATTGACAAAGTATTAATATTTTTAAATTAAAGAAGTGTGTTATGAATAAATTATTGATTATTCCTGTTCCAAAATTGAAAGCAGGAGCTCTGATTAAAGTAAATTTTTAGAACACATTTTCTTGGTCTTTCAGGGAGACTCTGGTGGCTCATTAGTATGTAGACATGAAACTGGTCCCTTTGTCCTGTATGGCATTGCTGGCTGGGGAGCTGGCTGTGCCCAGCCAAGGAAGCCAGGTGTATTTGCCAAGGCGAGTGTCTTCTTGGACTGGATCCAATCCAAAATCAAAGGTAAATATTTTTCAGATATTATTATTCTTAGAGTAGGTTTGCGAGAAGTGAGTGTGGTAGAAATCAGCATTATGAAAGAAAAAAAACATAGAGTAGTATTTCATTTATTTTAGTTTCTAAAACATTAAAAGGCACATTAAAATTCTGTAAGAATATGTTCTCCCTTGGGCAGAGTGGGAGTAAAACTGACTTTTCCTGGGGCTCCTGTAATCCTAGATTTGCATTTTCTTTTGACAAAAGCTGTTTTGGTATAGACTACATTTTGTTTCGAGGTTTTCATCTTTATTTATTTTTAGTATGTTCTCTCCAGGTGCAGGTCCTGCTTCACTTCAGATAAATAATGAAAGCAAAACCTTACCAAGACAACAGTTGCCACCACCCCCACCCTCAACAGACAATGCATCTGGACCAGGTAATAGATGTTCATGTTATCCGCTTAATGCAGCTAGTAAGAATTTAGCAAAAAGCGTGGCACGTCTGGGTTTGCTAATTTTCTTTGGAACAGGATAAGCCCTGTGTTTTCATTCTGGCTGGTAGTTTAAACTGAAGAAGGAGAGTGTTGTTACTGTGACCGTCTGGGTTTCTTTTCTACCCCCACAGATATAGCCATTGTAGGTCAAAAAAAAAATCTTGTGGTTGTGAACAAATGCTTGAATTTTGAAGGAGTGAATAGAAAGAATTATTCTGACCTCTGATCCATTTATTCCTACATAAACAAAGGTCCTTAGATTTTCAGATATCTCGCTAGGTGAGGACTCTGGATATGAGAGCGAACCACAATCAGCGTCAGTGTTAGTCACTCGTGATTCCCCCACAAGTGTCAGTGTCTGTTTGCTAATGGGATTTTTATTTTTTGTTAAAATCAGACTGCAACTGGAGAATTAGAAGTCTGTAATAGACCTGTAGGGAGATGAAAGTTCTATGATGCCATCATTCTTGGTTTCCAGGTGGTCACAGTCTCTTCGTTCTCACCCATCTCTGCCCCCATCCATCCCACATACAGTCAAGGCCAGTAGACAACTAGAAAGGGGGGGGGAAGATTGAAGAGGATACAAGAGACAGGGTGAATTGCTAGAGTGATGACCTTCAGTAGGAGAGAAGGGATGAGATCTTGTGCTCAGCAGGAGGGGTTGGTCTCAGAAAGGAGCAAAGTGCATATATCCATAGTTGCTGGATGGGAGGCAGAATATTTTTGCTGGCATATGAGTACATGTGGGGAAGGGAGTTTCTGGCAATTTTCTAGTTGCTTCTATGTACTTAGCGGATGAAGCAGGGTTGAGGAAGAGGGCTTGGGGGTTTTAAGAAAAAAAGAAAGTATGAAATAGTTCTCTAAAAAAGTGACAAAGTGCATGGACTAGTAAAATGTAGTAGGATTGCTGGGCAACATAAAAGCTTCTGAGATTAATGATCACGAATTTAGAGGGAGACTGACCAGTTAGCTTAGTTGTATGTATTCTTCTGGAGACACTGAGGGGTAGCACATAGTTGCAGAACAGATGGAAGGTAGATTCAATCAGAATAGGATTTCCCAAGTATGCAAGATTATAAGGGTATTGAAAGCATGTAAGAGGAAGGGATTAAAATGATGTATTATTGGAATTTAAGCTAGGAAAAGAGTGAATGAGGGTGAGAGATGAGTTAGGGACAAAGAACAGGTGGTTGGATAGATGAATAGCAAGTCTCAAAAGGTGAAAGGAGCATTGGAGGGAGCTGAGAAGATGGAAGATTGTGGATGGAGACAGCAGTGCTTGAAACAGAGCTATGGAAGGCTTGGTGTTATTGCTGGGGGCCAGGTCCTGAGGGGCTCACTGCGGGGGTGGGTGGCTGAAGTCGGGTGGAGAACAAGATCATTGGAAGGAAGTTGAGAAATTGAGAAGCCTCAGTGATGGGCTCATCATCTATATGGCTACTGAAATCAGCAGGATTTGTGGCAGAAATAGTGTTGGAGAAAATGACTGCTAAAATCTTCTAGGAATAAGAAGGGGTAATTCGGGGGCCATTTGTGGGTGGTATGGTCTGACAACATAAGAATCAAAGGGTCCTATTTAGAATAAAAGTGAATCTGGAATTGGGGTTGAGATGGAGCACAGACTTAGGCCCAAGATCCTAAAACCTAAGGATTTCGATGGTTTGAATTAAATGAACAATTTTAATTAGTGCATAAGTAAGTGAATTCATGTCAAGCACTTAAAATAGAGATGGCATGATAAATGACAATAGTCAACAAGTGGTGGCCCATATTGACCAACTAATGTATTCATTGAATTGCTGTCCCATTCGGGCTATAAAAAATGAACACCATTTTAATAGTGTAACTAGAGATGTTTCTCATTTGTGTATGTTCAGAAATACATGTGCATGCCAAAGACCTTTGCAAGTTTCACATGGGAAAGGGTATTGTTTTGTTTTAATTCTGTGAATATTCTATAAGAGAAAATGTTGGGACTATCCTATCTTTAGCATCCACCCACTCCCATTACTGGCTTTTTACACATGAGGATTGTTAGCCCATTTATAAAAAGAAGTGACTGGTTGGGAGTTCATGACTTTACATGATTTGGTTCATTTTCTAGGCAGATTTGTCATAGAGGATTCATGGGGACAGGAAAAAAATGATTGAAAAGACATTTGGGCCCAGACTCACAATTTCAGTTGTTTTGAGCAAGGGAAGAACTTAATTCTCTTGTTTCATATGCTATCCCAGATTGGAGGGCACAGGGTGGGGGAAGATTAGAGATTGGGAAATCAGTTAGGTTACTGTTAAATCAAAGTAGATATATAAATATTTAAATTAGATTATAGTAGCCATCTAAAAGAAAGAATTTACAAAGAGGTAACAGGACTAGGGAATTGAATAGAATCCTGAATTCTTACAACATTTCATCTCCCTTCTTCACCTTCTGCCACTCTTCATTTCTATTCTTCATGAAAGTATATTTATGTATGTGTCACCTGAGGTCGTTAATTGCTCTATGGCAAAGCATATATAATCATGTATTAATTCATACTCAGACATTAAAATGTGTTCATTTGAATACAGAGTATTTCAATTTGTAATTGCTCGGAGGATTTTTGTCGAGGGAATACACAGAGGGGAAGGAGGAGGAGTTGAGGGTGTAAGCTGAAGGAACAGCAGCTGACTGCAGGGCCAGTGGGCCAGAGAGCCCCTGGCATCTGAAGCTCTGCAGGTAGCCTTGCAGGTCCAAGGGTGCCTTTGGACTTCAGAGCAAGTGGAAGAAGTGCGAGACATTCAAATGTCTGCAGCACATCCTCCTTTTTTTGATCTCAGTCACGAATTCCACGAATGTAATCATTTGTCCCAGCAAGATAAATGCTCAGTGAAATTAGTGAAGCTTTTAGGAACAGACCTTCAGTAGCATCTCAAAGAAGGAAGGAAATGAAAGCATGCGGGAAGTAGAGAGTACATACCCACTGTGCATCTCCTAAGGCATTTAGAAGATTCAGTGAAAAGAAATTTTAAATAATGATAATTTAAATTCTACTCCTACAACCTCATTTCAAGAAAATAGAACACATTAAATGGGATGATCATTTTTACCCAAGGACATGTAACAGAGAGTAATAAAGTTTTAATTTTCTTCTTGCAAGCCTAAATTTTTCAAGTTTGTCATAGATCCACGCTTTGCTTTGTTCATGTTGGTCCCTGGTGTGTGTGTGCTCTGAATTGTAGGTTGTTACTCTGAGGTGGAACTAGAAGAACCCAGAGGCTTTTTCTCAACTCCAGGATATCCACTGGATTATAGAGGAGAACTGGAATGTTCTTGGGTGCTCAGAGTGTCCCCGAACAGTATGGCAAAATTGACGGTTGAGTACCTGTCACTGCCTTGGTCTCCTGTGTGTCCAGATTCAGTTATGACTATTTACGAAGAAAGCCATGATGAGAGAAGGGTGTCAGGTAATCCTTGCTGGCATTTCAACCCTGTGCTGGGAGCCTTTTCTGTATATGCTGCTTACAATCACGAGAGAGCTTGACTTGGGTACCACTATCACCAAAGTGTTGATTCATGTAATAGGCATGCCTTTCTTTTTTTTTTTTTTTAAGGCACACTTAATATTTTCAAAACTTGAATTTACAAAACAGGTGTACTAGAGGTTGAGTGTGAGTGTGTGAGAGCTCAAGTTCTTCAAGCACACCAGAACCATGCCAGGATGCCCGAAATATATCCAATAGAGGAGTTAAGATGGTTAAAAATCAGATGCGGGGTGGGTGTTGGATTTTAAAATAAAGCAAAATATATTAAAGGCTTTTACAATGGAAGAATTAAAAATATTTGCTGATAACATGCCAGCGTGCGTGTGCTGGATTCGGGAGTATATGGAGGCCAGGGAGGTGCTCTTAAGGGAGAGATTGTGTTCTTGGGATAAATTATGAGATTAAAGCATTGAGTTAGAGGGCATAAACATTTATTTAAAGAATCTTTATAAATACTGTCTCATTTAGGGGCACCTGGGTGGCTCAGTTGGTTAAGCATCTGCCTTGTCATGATCCCAGGGTCCCGGGATTGAGTCCCGGGCTCCCTGCTCAGAGGGAAATCTGCTTCTCTGTCTGCCCCTCCACCTGCTCTCATGCTCTCTCTCTCTCTCTCTCTCTCAAATAAATAAAATCTTTTAAAAAAATACCGTCTCACTTAGACTATGGAACAAAGCTATTAATAATCTGGCTTATCCACTTTGTACATTTTTCTCCTGTGATCAGATGGCCTTCCCCATCCACCTTGATTAAAATAGCTCCAGATCTTCTTGTAGCTGGAATAAAATCAAAATCCCTAGCACGACCTTCGGTCTCCCTCCCTGACTCACATGATCAGGTGCTGTCATTCTCACCTCAGGGCCCTTGTCCCGCTCCTTGTCCTAGCTCTTCAGAGAGCTCCTTCCTGACCTGTCCCTCACCTCCCTCAAGGCTTGACTAGATGTCACCTTCTTAACGAGGCCTACCTTAATTGCTGTCAACTGCATCACCTCCTGCCTGGGTAGTTCTTTGTGCCTCCCCCTTTTCTTTAGCACTTACTATTTTCCAACATTATGATTTTTTTTCTTTCATGTTTGTGGTTTGTGTTTTCTCTATTGAATGTGAGCTTTTGGAGGGCTAAAACTTTCATCTCCTCATTTGAAGACTCTCCAGGGTCTAGAACAGTATGTGAGACTTAGAAGGCACTCAGTGAGTGAGTGAATGAATGAATGATAGGTCACCTCCTCAAAGAGGACTTCTCAGTCTAAAATAGCACCATTCATTCCCTCCCAAAGTCCTTTTCATCATATTATGTGGATCATTTCACTTGTAGCCTTGATCTCTATTTGAAATCATCTTCTTTATTTACCTGCTAAAATAAAAGATTCATGAAAGCAGGATCTTGCTATTTTGTTCCTTACTGTATCTTCCCAAATTAGAATTATGCCTGGAGACATAGCATAATTTTTTTCACAAGTGTGTACTGATAAATTACTCTTCAGAAAAGCTGAATCAGTTTTCACTGCCATCAGCAAAAATGGGAGCCTCTTGCACCATGAGTATAACTGAATAATATCAGTTTGACAGGCACTTTTACTTTTTTTTTTTTTAAAGATTTTATTTATTTATTTGAGACAGAGAGAATGAGAGACAGAGAGCATGAGAGGGAGGAGGGTCAGAGGGAGAAGCAGACTCCCTGCCGAGCAGGGAGCCCGATGCAGGACTCGATCCCGGGACTCCAGGATCATGACCTGAGTCAAAGGCAGTCGCCTAACCAACTGAGCCACCCAGGCGCCCCTACGTTTTTTAATCATTAATGATTTTTTTTTTATTATGTTTGTTAGCTATTTGTATTTTTTATTTCTTGTCATTACCATCCATTTTCTGAGTATTTTTATTGGTTTATAAAAGCTGTTATACATATATTTTTCCTTTGTCATAAGTTGCAAGTATTTATTCATAAGGTTGTTATTTTCCTTTCATTTTTTTAAAAGATTTTATTTATTTATTTATTTATTTGAGAGTGAGAGTGCTCGTGAGTGAGGGGCAAGGCAGAGAGGAAGGGAAAGGGAGAGAGAAAGGAGACTCCCCGCTGAGCATGGAGCTTGACACAGGGCTTGATTTCATGACCCTGAGATCATGACCTAAACCGAAACCAACAATCAGACACTTAACTGACTGAGCCACTCAGGCGCATCTTTAATTTTTATTATATGTTGATGTAAACATTTAAAAACTTGTTTAAATCTGTCTATAAACATCTTTGATCTTTGATCTATCTTCACTGCTTTTTAAATATTTACTGTTCAATCTGAGTTCAGAAAAAAATTTAATTATAAACTTCTTTAATCCTGCTGAAATGTTTTTTCTCATATGGTAAAGTGATGCTGTATCTTTTGCTTTAAGAAAAAAATGATTTTCTTTCCAACTTGTAGCACTGTATTATATACTAGATTCTCATCTAAAAAGAAACATTTTCTGGGAAAACTTACCTTTATCTTTATAACCTATTGAAAACCCATGCTTGGCGATGTTGTGGATTAACTGAAGAATCCCTATAATTTTCCAATGTAGCATTTATTTGATTTGAAATTGTCAGCTTGAACCTTGTAGAATGGTTCTATCTCTTCAGATGATAGCTAGCAGAACTGCAAGACTATAATGGAGGTATTACCCCTTATTCAAGCCAGATAGTAGTCTTCTATACTGTAAAATGCTATCTTTTTCCCTGTGGGAGCCAGCAGCTCACTCATTCAACAGCTGCATTGATCTATACTTGTTACAAGTAAGTATTTGATCAGTTTTCAAATAATATTTTGGGGTGCCTGGGTCAGTCATTAAGCATCTGCCTTTGGCTCAGGTCATGATCCCAGGGTCCTGGGATCGAGCCTCACATCGGGCTCCCTCTTTGATGGGAAGCCTGCTTCTCCCTTTCCCGCTCCCCCTGCTTGTGTTCCTGCTCTCGCTATCTCTCTCTCTCTGTCAAAAAATAAATAAAATCTTTAAAAAATAATAATATTTCAACAGCATTTACCCTAATGTGTTATGCCATCTAATATGTTTTGTTCTTTTCTCCTTCTCAGATATAATCTCTTCCTTTTCTTGCTCCACAAATACTTGTAAGGAGGATCTACTGGGGACTAGAGACCCAGTCTTCTTGTTTGTTGGGATTCAGTAGTGAGCAAAATGGACAAAAGAAATCCCTGCCCTTATCAAGCTTATATTCCACTGGGGAGTGGACACATAATAAGAAAATAAAATATGCAGTGTATTAGGTAGATGAGCTATGGGGAAAATGAAGTGGGAAGAAAGAGAAGAATCTGGGATGTAGGTGTCATACGGTCATATGCAGTATAACCAGCAAATGTCTTTCTGAGCAGGTGATATTTAAATAAATGTAGGATGATACTGACTTAGTAGTAGTAGAGGAGTTTGATCCTAAGAAGATCACAGGTTCTTTTTACACCTTCTTAATCAGCCCTCTGAATTGTTTTAGAATTATGGTTATAATTTTCCCTTTCAGCTTTGACTCAGGTCCTCAACCTAAAGCAATCAACAGAAGATTGACTGTAGAGAAAGAATAAATTTTCAGATAGAAGTTTTTCCACCATAGATTTTTCATAGTGAGATATTTTTAATAAGTAGGTTACTTTACTAGAAGAAAAATGGCATATCAGCATCATTTTAAAGATGAAATCATTTACTTCCTACTGTCCTTCAAGGGATCAATAGGACATAGTAGACTATGATGAGTACTGGATTCATGGGCCTGGATTTAGATCCTGAGTCCCCACGCTACCAGTCTGACTTTGGGTGAGTCACTTGAGTTCTGGAGCCCTGTTTCCATCATTTTGCAGAGTGAAATAAATTCCTCCCTCATGGGTATAAACTTTTAACTAGTAGACAAGTCCTGGAGATCCAATGCACACTATAGTGAATATAGTCAACATTTGTATTATAATTATCAAACTTGCTGAGGGACTAGATCTTAATTATTTTCACTACAAAAAGAAATGGTAATTATGAGAGGTGATAGAAGCTAACTATCACTAGAATGGCAGTCCTATTACAATACATAAATGTATCAAATCAACATGGTGTACACTCTAAATTTATACAATGTTACATGTCAAATATATTTCACTAAAAATAATTGTTATACCTAAAGTAGAGAAACTGCTAAAACTTTTTTTTTTTTAATTCTTGTGTTTTACTAGATTTCATTTTTTAAACCTAGGTGAATTATGTGGAAGAGGGCTTTACCCAATGATTTTCATGAGCTCCGGACCGCTGGTGAGAGTGGCATTTCATTCCCTTGTGCAAGGTGCTTTGGGCATAAGTTATATTGTCTTTAGAGTCCAAGGTATGCTTCGTCCTTTTATAAACTCATAAAGTTAAAAATCAATGTTTTTCTTTTTAGAGCTGTTTCAAAACGTATACATTGTTTTGTAAGAAATGGTGTTTCCGTGGGGAGTTTATGTAGAAAGGAAAATCTATTTAAGGGATCTGAGATTGGTCAGATTCAAAAGAGAAACTGCTCAGTGGAGAGCTTGATTGACTTGTAAATCATCCAGAATTGTGATTTCTGGATGTGGCTCCGACATGTTGATTTCAAGACAACATTTTTTATTGTGATGTGATTTTATGCCACAGACGGCCTTTTCTGTGGATTAATGTAAGAGTTCTAACTATTAGCTGGTTGACTAGTTATGGATAATTTATTATCTCTGTATTAGTTTTCTTTATAGTGATATTATAATAATAAAAGGTTAGAATGAGTTTTTAAGTTAAACTACACAAATATTAGATGCTACCATTGTAAATGTAAATGCTATGCAATTCAGACTTATCAGATTGCATTTTAGAACAAGTAATTAATAAGGCTTTTTATAAGATTTTATGTATTTATTTATCAGAGAGAGCACACAGCAGGGGGGAGCAGGCAGAGGGTGAAGCAGGCTCCCTGCTGAGCAAGCAGCCTGATGCAGGACTCGATCCCAGGACCCTGGGGTCATCATGACCTGAGCCAAAGGCAGACACTTAACCGACTGAGCCACCCAGGCGTTCCTTAATAAGGCTTTTTGACTTTCATAAGTATAGGTAACTAAAAGCTAATTTCTCTCCTTGGCACCAAAAAGCATTGCAGAGATATACTTGGGGAAAAAAGTTCAGTGAGTAATAAAGAGAAGCGTGCATATCATATGAAAGTGTTTTCCTAAAAGAACTGTAAGAATGTTGCTTTTAGATTAAGTTGTGCAGAGAACTGGCATTATCTGTAGTTTTTCCACATTATCTTCCGTCGACTTGAGGCTGTGCCAAAGACAATTCTGAGAGAAGTGCTGTTCTCTGTATCTTTGAATGATTCAGATAGAGACTTTTCAGTGAAAATAACCACTTCTGTTAACCTTTTTCTAAAACAGGGAGGGAAAGTGACTTCTCTGATAAAAGGCATATAATAAGCCTCTCAAAAATTAATTTTATTTTCATTGCCTTTTTTTTTCTTTATTTTTAGGTCCAAAGGGCAGCAAAACTACCAAACTTCTCCAGAGTTCAAACCAAGAACAGACAGCCACTTGGGAGGATGTTATCCTGACTAAACCAGGAGGAATCATACAGATCCCAAGATACTCTCACAGAACCATTATGAGGTGAGGAAGGAATGTTTATTATGATGAAAGAAGTTTGTGAATGATCCCTTGACAAGCAGCAACCCTTGCTTCAGGCATTATTTTCCACCTCCTCTCCTTGAAGAATAGACTTTGGGGTGAATCCCTGGTCTGAGGCCTTCAGTATACAAAAACTGAATGTAAGATTGTCCCTGTTGATAAATTGTGTACTTCCTCCACAAAAGAGATCATTTATTAGGTAAAGTAGAAAGTCAGATCTCTATCAAACAGTTTTGGAGTTTGAAATAATGTATGTAGATGGTCTTCTGGCACATATTAGGTACTCAATTAATTGTTCTTGAATTGACAAAATAGAGAACTTTCCTCGAATTAAACAACAGAATAAATTTGAAGTGTGAAGTGAAAAGTGAAGATTTGTATAATATCAATCCTGAGTAGACTTATGTGATTTGAGGGAGTTTGGGGCAAATTCAGACAAATTGCCAACCAGAATTTAGAAGACTATGCGTGATTGACCAGCCATTCACCAGGACAGGTGAACTTAATTAAAACTCTTAACAAATTATTAGAAATATTTTTAATTGTTACAATTTAAAGTAAAAAAATCTTTCACCCTAGCACAAAGAAGCAGATAGCGTCAATAACAGTGATGCATAATATTCTGAACGAAGTCAATCACAGTCTATGCTATTTGGAAATCATTCCGGACTTTCTTTTATCTGTGTTGTAGTTGCCACTGGAAGTTATCAGCCCCTTTACAGCACGTCATTCGCCTTGATATTATCAACTCCCAGATGAAGCCGACGCCCTTGGCCTGTCAGGGTCACATGTGGGTTTATGAAGGATTTGGATCAGGCAAAAAATTAATAGGTAACTAATATCCCATGAAGAACTATGCTCTTGATTTTTTTTTTTTAAAGATTTTATTTATTTATTTGACAGAGAGACACAGTGAGAGAGGGAACACAAGCAGGGGGAGTGGGAGAGAGAGAAGCAGGCTTCCTGCGGAGCAGGGAGCCCGATGCGGGGCTCGATCCCAGGACCCTGGGATCATGACCTGAGCCGAAGGCAGACGCTTAATGACTGAGCCACCCAGGTGCCCCTGCTCTTGATTTTTTAATGAAATATTCCCAGATTGTTTTGCATTCAGTGTGACTTACAGATGATGTAAATTATGTGACACTGAAATAGCCTTACTATTTTTTAGATTTGTATTTGAGATTAAGCTAACACTCTCTCAGACTGAGTTAAAAACAATACCCAACTATGTGCTGCTTACTTGGGTTATACCTAGATTAAACTTGCCGAGAAATACTAAAAATAAAGAATGGATAAAGCAGTTTTAGACAAATGTAACACACAAAAAAATTGGGACTATAATATTAATCAGGCAAAATAATATCCACCAGAAAACGCGTTAAATGGGCTAATTAATTAGATAGTAGCTGGAAACCTCATTACATTGACTTACATTGATTTTTATGAAAGAAAGAAAAATCCAGAGTTTTCCAGATGTGCCACAAACTCAGTAGTTCAACTCTGTCAAGATGAAGGTGTGGCAGTTCTCTTGGCCTTTCCCTAATGTTTCCATAATGGCTATTTCAGTTCTTGGCATTCCATAGAGGAAAAAGGAAGAAGGCACACAGAGAAGGAGTACACCATCGAGAAAACACATTTCCAAGAATCCTATAGCAGATTTCAGTCTCTTTGGCCCGACTGGGAAATGACTAAGGACAAAGCGAATGAAATGGGGCTTGAGCTGGCTGACCAATGTTACCCAATGTGATGTGATAATAGCAGTCCAGATGGAAACCTGATGGCGCTGGATCCAGATCTCAGTTCTACCACATAGTTAAATGATTTGGGGAAGGTTCCCAAAGCTTTCTCAGACTCTGTTTCCTGAATTGTGACAAGAGAATAATAAGATCTATCTTAGCTTTTTATGTAATTTATAAGAATAGACACCCCCATCACTACCACCACACACATGTGTGTGTGCTATAAATTTTTTTTTTAAAGATTTTATTTATTTATTTGAGAGAGAGAGAATGAGAGACAGAGAGCATGAGAGGGAGGAGGGTCAGAGGGAGAAGCAGACTCCCTGCCGAGCAGGGAGCCTGATGCGGGACTCGATCCTGGGACTCCAGGATCATGACCTGAGCCGAAGGCAGTTGCTTAACCAACTGAGCCACCCAGGCGCCCTGTGTGTGCTATAAATTCTTAATTTACTTAGTCAAGGACACCTACGCCTGATGAAACCAGGTGGCTGCCCATAGGGAGAGGATGTGTGGCATGATGCTGACCTTTGACTCCCTAAGAGAGACCCAGATGCCAATGTCCCTCTTCCTTCTGGCAGATAGGATCCTGCCAGAGTTGATCAAACAGCCAATTGCCAAACCACCACCCTTTTATTCTTTGGACTTACATTACCATCCTAGAAGTAGACGCACTAAAAATCTCCATGTTTCTACTTAAGGAAATGTTAATGAACACTGATAGTTCCTGGTTCCTGAGCCCACATACTATCAATGAAGCCACAGCTTCTTGTGGAGAGAATGCAGAATCTGCCCCCAGCATCCTTGGAAATTATCTACACTTCTTCCTTTCTTGCCAGGATGTCTGTTACTGGTACTGCCAATGAGATTGTTTTGAGAATTAGATGAGAGAATGCATGGTAATATAAAAGAAAGCAAACTTCTGTCATGTTTGAATTAGAAATATATGTTTTTATTCCTATTCTTAAAATTGTGTTGCTTAGAAGAAAAGGTTAGACTGTGGTTTCCCTAGTGCCTCTCCATCAATGGGGTGTCAGAGTACACAAAGTTTGGAAGAACAAAGAAATAAAGAAAGAAGGGGAAAGAGTTTGTTAGTTGTATTAGTTACACTTTCTAATGTTAATGAACTATATACCTGTTTTTCTTAGAATATGTTCATAAAACATGTGCTATTTCCTATCTCCTTCCTAAAATTTCAGTTTTTGCAAGTGAAGTATACAAGTTCCAGGGGTTGATTCAATGCGTGAGGTCGATAGGTTACTCAATATTAAACATAACCAAATATAATTTCTCTCAAGAATGCAAGGATAGTTTAATATTGTAAAATGTACTGCATATAATAAAACTACCATGTGAGGAAAAATAGATATAAGTTAAGTATACAGCAATCACATCCTTAAAACCATACAGTAAAATAATAAAAGATGTAATAGAAAACTAATTTTATTTATAATTAGCGATGAAAAACCTACAACTAGGAATAACTGTTAAACAAAACTCAACCAAATAAATTTGAAGGTCTAATTGGCTTTATTAAGGGACTTCAGCATTGAGCAGCATGCCATCTGGCAAGTAGAGGGATGCTCTGAGGAGCTGTACAAAATGAAAGGATTTTACAGAAAGAGGGCAGGACGGTTAGCAGAAGAAAAGAAAGGGGCTCTTATACAAATTACCTCCTCTTCCTTTGGGGAATGGAGAGGGCCCATGTGACACTGTATCTCATTGGTACTGACCAGAAAATTCCCCACTGACTGGTTAAGACTGCATTTCTGGGGGAGGTTGAAACTGCAATTAGGTTAGGTATTAAGCCCCACTAACTCATGTAAGTGACTCCATTTTGGGCCCGTGGTTTTCTTTTCAATATAACCCTAAAATTAAATATGAGATTTATTGTGCAGATATAAAACTTGACACACATACACCCAAGCATAAAGATATGAACAGAGAAATGTACCATGTTCTAAAACTGGAAGACAGAATTAACATTAATTCACCAAATTAATGTATAAGCGTAGTGTAGTTCCCAGCAAAATCCCATGGGAATTTTTCTTTTCAGAGAGTGAGATAGAAACTAATAATAACTATTTACCTTTAAAATAAATAGGACTAACTGAAAATGTTTTGGGAGACTCAGCCCTGATTAAATTTCAAGTTAAAACCAGAGTCCCCAAAGGTTTTTTGTTTTTGTTTTTGTTTTTGTTTTGTGATGAGACAAATTATCAGGTATTAAAACATACTTTAAAACAATAAAATTAAAACAGTAGTACATACACATAGAGACACACATGAGTAGAAATAAATAGAATAAAAGGGAAAGTATAAGATATTTATAGATGATAAATTTGGCATTACAAATCAGAGAGGAAAATATAAATTATATTTTTCATAACTTTGTACAAGAGCCAATTAAAGAGTGAGGCATTTTTCTTACAAAGTAGAAAAAAATGGGTAATTAACTTTTGATGCAGAAGGACCTTCTCATATAAAAGCAATAGGAGAAATAGGAAATTATCAATAAATTCCTATGTAATTAAAAACTTTTCTGCCTCAATAGAAACAAAATTTAAAAACAAGTAACAAACTTGGGATTTTTAACAGGTCTGAGAAAGGTTTAAGGTAAATAACATAGGGAATGTTTACAAATCAGTATTAGAAAAGTTCAAATCTGTAAAAATAAGTTTATAGGCCCCAGTATCTTTGATGCAGCTGTGATTACATTTCAAATTAAAACCAGAGTCTCCAAAGCTTTTGATTTTTATTTTGTTCATTTCCCAAGAGATGACAAACTATTGACCCACATGATTTTGAGAACCTAAAGCCCTGGATTAACCATTAGCCTCTTTTCACAGATAAGAAATGTTAGTGAGTATTCACCTGTCGGTTCCTGTACAATCTAAATTAAATCTCTTTGTTTCTTGTCACAATGAAGTTGATCCTCTGGACGTCTGTTTACTAAAGAAAGCAGAGTTTTTCCTGTAAGAGAGAAAAGCTTAATTCTTAGGATTGTTGACTTGAAACCTTGATCCTATTGGATGTTAGAGCAAACTACCTTTGTTAGAATGTTTATTTCAGAAAAATACTATGTATGATCACTTAAAGCTAGAAATGGTTTGTCATAGAAAGCATGCCAATTGCCACACCTTGCCTCTTATTCATTTGGCTATGCCGTGGATAAATGAAGATTGTATGTAGCTGAGGCTCAAGTATGCTCCCTATATATGATTATTTTATTTCAGTGTGGTGACAAGAATAATTGTTTAGTTCTCTGAGGACCTAGCTAGACCATGTCATCTTCTTTTATAATACATCACTTTAAAGAGATCTACCTAGGTTATTCTAGCCATTGTAGGAACTGGGTCCTGTGCTCTAGTTGGTTTAGAGCCCTGTCCTTAGAAATGCTTAGATTTAGGAGTCTGGAATATCTTTCTCTCTATTCTAATTGGGTTTTCTTCTGCTTAATTTTCTCATTTTTGTATTCTTGGGAGTGGATATGGTATAAATTCGTAATTTCAAAAATAAGATTTTTTTTCTCTTACTTTGCTCAATAACCTTTGCTTTGATAAGTGGTAAGTTTGTGTATGCTTGTTTTTTCTTTATTTTGGGCTAGGAAAATTGTGTGGAGGAAATTCACCTTCATTAAAATCTCATGGTCCTCTAGTCATGCTGATTTTCACATACAATGTCAGTTGGGCCATGGAAGAATTTTCTTTGAGATATTCTTTTCATATTTCTGGTAAGCCTATTGCTTTCATATGTGTTTATGTGTATGTTTTTGTTTTGCGCTTTATTAGGAAAAATCTGTCATTAAATAGATTGAATTCTCTCTTTTGTCTGCTTTAGAGGAGAAGAAAAAGAACAGTGTTTAAGGTATGACTTCTGTAATCTGTGGAGGCCCCAAGCTAAACCTCTATAAAGTAAAAGATTGATCAGATCTGTCATTTTTTCTTAAAGCACCAAAGAATTTTGTCTGTTTTTCTGGGTACTTGGATGATTATAACAATATAGGAGGAAACTTTTATCCCTAGCATAAAAGTTTCAAGTAGATTTTCTCTTCTAAAATTAATTTCCTTAATGTACTAGTATATTCTTTTTCACTTGTTTGATGGGCAGTTCATTTATATTGGTTGCAACCAGATTATTGAAAAATATGCTTTGCCCAACATTCCCGTGACTTGGGTGAAGACACTGATAGCATTATGAAAATTGAGAACTATTAATTTGCAATTGAGGTTTAATTCTGAACAGTTATTAGAATTGCTTTTGTCCTTAAGATTAATCAATTTATACTCATTAAAAATGTTAACTGGAATACAATTGGAGAGGCATTTCTACTAAAAGTATTTAATTTAGTCTGGTAACAGTCTCTGCCCTAGTAGAGTTTATAATCTAGTGGGAGAGATAGTCAATAATCAAATAATCACATAGAAAAAATATAGAGTAAAAAAAACTATTGTTTTGAAGGAAAAATACAGTGTACAGTAAAAATATACAGTGGAGGGATCTTAGTTTGGTAAAGGATGACAATGGAATTGTAGGAAAACTTTAGTTTCTTTGTTTTCTTATCACAGAACTCCATGAGATTTATTTCTACTCCTCTTTTGCCCTCATTTTTTTCTTAGATCCATTCCCATAGGGGATGTCTTTGTTACCATTCCACAGGCATTGGTCTTACCAAAGTTACCAATGACTTCCCCCACCCCCCCAAGCCCAGATCCAAGAGATCCTTCTCAGCCCTAACAACGTTTGGCACAGAAGAGCTCTCCTTACTTCTAGAATCTACTTGTCTTGGCCTCCAGGAAACCATTCTCCTTAGCTGTCCTCTTACTTCACTGATCTCTTTTAGAGCCTCTTGATTGGTGGCTCTTCATTTTCTCTACCACTAAAGGTAGAGGTGTCTCTGGACCCAGTCTTTGACTCTCATTTCTTCTTTACCTGTACTCACTCTTTAGTGACCTTACCCAATCCCTAGCTTTCACTACCATCGATATGCAAATAACTCCCAGCTTCTTTTTTATTTTTGACCTCCAGCTCTGTATCACCAGTTGCCTTCCCCTCCACTTGGATATCTGATCGGCATCTCAAACTTAATGCTGTTATCTCCAAAACCTGCCACTGTGCCTCGTAAATAGCTGGTGCACAATAACTGTTTGAATAAAGGCAATTACATTTCAGCTGGGGCAGATTAGGGAAAAGAAGGTGAGGAGGTAGCTCCTTATCCAGTAAATGGGTAAGAAATAGATCCATTTGCTTATGGGAATCCTGCTGGCTGAGAGCCGATGTATGCACAGGAGTCAACTCAGGAGGCTGTTATTATACATACTCAATTTCTGTGTTCAGATAAACATAGAAAACCATTAGTGCAGCTATTTTACAATGACAGCAAAATTTATAACCCATGTGTGTAGTTTTTTAAAGATCTGACTCCCATCATTCATATTTTTGAGATTACAAATTAAAATATATCAACATGAATTATGTTATATCTATGTGAATCAAAAATATAGAATCATTAAAATTTATGTGAAATATTGAGTAGTATGAAAAATGGTCACAATAAATTAAATGGAGGAAAAAAATTTTAATTGTGTAAAATGGCATACAAATTTTTTAAAAATGTATGCATAGCATAGGAAAAGACCTGGCCAAGTTTATGTTAAAATACGAATATTGGTTATTTACAGGCTGGGACTACTGGAGACTATTTTCTTTGAACTCTCTGTAGTTTGAAATTCTTTTATAAGTTGCATATATCACTTTTATAATCAGAAGAATAAAGAAATACAAAGTATTTAGTTGGATGTATTGACACTGAATATTCTCTTATTCTAGATTCCAGGAGAGGAAAAAACAAAGTTAATGATAAAGGTAAGACTATAATGGAGGTAAGGAATCCAACTGGCTTGACTTTGGTTATATGATATTATGAAAATAGAGTAGAAAATGCCCTTGCTGCTAAACACTGTGTAGTAAGAAGTGCACTCTGACTTCTGTTAAAAACGTTCAGGTGTTTGTGGTCTGATTCTAGTCACTTTATGGTAAAATGTGTATTTGTATTGATTGCCTTAATGTCAAACTTTGCGGGTAGTGGAGACCTGGGCCCATTAAGGAATAGAGAATGAGGAGGTAGCACCTTAATTACTGGGTGAGAAACACATCTGTTTTGTTAATGGAATCCTTGTAGCTACGTGAAGTCTATCTTTTTTTTTTTTTTACGTGAAGTCTATTCATTGCCATTCTTTCTGTATACTTTTTGTCTTTTGGATTACATATATATTTTTTGTTTTCTTCGCTGGACCATTGCATAGTGAAACTAAGGTGATAAGATTATTGATGAAGTAAATCAATTTTTGGATGACATTGCTTTCAGGTTGGATGATACCTAGGACTTTTGGTGTAGGCCCAAATCTACTCCAAAATTGAATTCTTCAATTCTCTTTTTTGGTGTAGCCCCTTAGCTCTTGTGAATCTTAATGTCTATGTTTCAACTATCTGAGAGCTATCCAAATTTCCCTAACTGATAAATGTTTGCAATTTGAATTGTATGTGCCATGAGGCTGAACTTGAGGAGCACATAATTTATTCAGAAATTCAGTCTAATGAGGACCCAGGTCTCCTTCTCAACCTGCTTGCCCTGTTCTCTGCTCACATTTTAATGGTGTCAAAGTTCTCTTTTTCTGCACTGTATGGGAAATAAATATTATTGTGGCATTTGCAAATTTGGGGAAGTCCTAAAAGTCTTAGGACATACCTGTTGAAGATCAAAGTGATAGATCACTATCATCTGTGGACTGAAGATGATAAAATCTATTTCTCATGATCATGAACATTAAGATTGTATATTAATTAAATATAAGCAACAAACTACACTGAAATGTGTATGTGGGTGATTTAGCAGTTCACAGTTTGTGAAATGAAATCAAAGAACTTCAGTCTGTCTTCTTTAGGAGGGGTCAGTTTTTCAAAACAAAAGTCATTTAAATCCTGTGTCAGTATACATAAGGAACTATGGATATGAAGAAAGAGTGACAGATTAATAAAATTACACTACATTTAGGTTGTAATGACATAGTTGCAGATATTAAAACTAGATTCAGAAAGTAACTCAGCTCCTGGATTATTGTGTTAAATAATTTTTTTCTTTTTTGCTTCAAGGATGTCCAGTATTGGATTTGATTCCAGTTAGTTCTACTGAGATCACATCTCCCAATTATCCTAACATTTATCCCAACATGCTGAACTGCACTTGGACTTTTTATTCCAAGTCAGGAAATAAAATGAAGGCAGTGATGAAAGACTTTACAACAGAAGCATCTTGGAACTGTGAATGGGATTATTTCAGTATTTATGATGGACCAGATCAGCAATCGAGATTACTTGGTAAACTGATCTTTCTTAACTGGCCTACATTACGTGGCACTTATATAAGCATTTATACAATGCATATATGTGGAAAATATGACCTACACTTGCCTTGGGAAACATAATTTGTTATCAGTGATTTTTCATGAGATCCTTCATCAGAATCACAGAGCTTTATTGAGCACAGTGGGATGAGTTTGTGCCCACACTCACTGGATCTTCACCTGTAAGTCTAGCTCTTCCTGATTTTAGCCTGATTCCTATCTCATTTTGCCATTAGGGGGCACCCTAATTTTGTTTTTCTAAGGAAGTCCTATATTTTAAGAGGTTTCAATTTCTGAACTGCATTTTTAGGTAACTTTTTGAAAATTTGTTTACTCAAATTTCATCTTCACCGTAAAAGTGACCCTTTTTAGACCCAGGGTAAATTTAAGAGGAGAAAAAAGCCGATTAGTTTGAATAATCTTTAGAGATTTATTGGCCACATGGTGTCTATCACACTTGACTGTCAGGCAATATCCTTTCTCAGAGTGACTCATAGAAGAAAACTTTTCCAAAGATTTTTTAATCTAATACTGCATCACCTTCTTCAGTCTCCAACGAGTTCTGCTCCTCAGGACGCCATTAAAATCCACCTATTCCAAAGAGCAAGAGGAGAGTTTTGATACTATCTTTTTCCAGGACCTTGACCTCTCCTGTCATATTATAAGATATATAACACCAATAAGCTCAGCAATTTGCTTTGAAATTCTAAGGGTACCTAACTTTTTCCCATCAGTGAATTTGGTTCCCGTCAAGGAATCTCAAGCAATTAGTGTTGGGTAGGGGGACAGATGGAACATTTCAAGCTATTAGTTCTCCTTAAGATTAATATGAGTATCAGACCCTGTAATCCTCTTGCCAGTGCCCTTCAGCCAAAGATGCCAGGATCACAGCATGGGGTATCTCAGTAAGGGGGGTTGAACTATTATAGGACTTGGGCTTTGGTTAGGTAATTTTGGAGAGGGTCTAAGGAAGTGGACTTGGCTCTAGATTGGTTGCTGTTAGGAAGTGGAGCAATTTTATGATTGGGATCTCAATCATAGGGAGGCCTGACTTGAATAAGGGTAAGACTGCATTTGGTAAAGAAGTGGCAAGCCCTTATTTTAAGAGAGGTCGAAGTTTGGTATTTTGGTGGTTGCACATGACCTTGTTTTGGTCTCACCTTATCATAGGTTCAAAGAGTCCTTTCTGATGTTGCTGTTCTGTGAGATTGTTTATGTCCAGTAGGAGAACAACATGGTCTAGCTGTGCGTGCCAAACCTGTTTCTGAATGTCAGGGGCTACTTTTCTCTTTCTTACTCTTTAGTATTCTTCCATCTAGCAACATTCAGAAGTGTCAAACGATTATAAATAAGACTAGTCATATTTTTATAATCAGCTTATATAAATCTCTATAAGAAGGAAGCTATCATTAGTTTGATAGTTTATACAATTTTATATATATAATTTCATTTCAGTGAAACATGCAATTTATATAAGCATTTTTAAACCATGGAACATGGATTCTCATTGCTAATCTCCCAGCTAGTGAAACAGGCTATCCCATATATGGAACCACATTAACCTTTCTTAATAAATGTTTTTATTCATGTAAGTAGAATTCATTAGTTTTTAAGTAGTTTTTAATTATTTGTGTATATGTAAATGAAGTGGTCCCTAACACCCAAATAGTTTCCATTGCAACGCTTTTACAGTATTTTAATGAAAATAAATTCATGGCCTTCTTTCATTTGCCCCATGAATGTAAGACATCAGTAACCAGTAAACACTATATTAAATGTACAGTTTGAATTCATTCATTACCGAGCATGACCTAATGAGTTGGGCACACTGGAGACACAATGGTGAACAAGTCAGAAATGATCTCTGCCATCTTCTCTTGGAAAGACAGACAATAAATAAGAAAATGATAATATTATATAACGATAAATAATCAAATTATTCCTGCTTGTCAAAAGTAATCTGAAGGAGGTAAGTTGCAGAGGAAGGGTACATTTCCTCAGTTCATTCAGGTGTCTGTTCAAATGTTGCATCTAAGGCCTGTATCACATGATGTAAACAGGTCTCTGCCATCTTTTCTTTTCGGCATTTATCATGACCTGACAGAGTATGTAATTGTCTATAATCTGTCTCCCTCCACCGGAATGAAAATTTCCTGAGAGCAGGACTTGATCTTGTATTCATTGCTGTATCTCCAGCACGTGGGTAGAACACTTCCTAACACTTTGTTAATATTCGGTGAAAAAATAGGTGAGAAAATGGCCTTGAATGTGGAAAAAGCTTGGTAAGTTGGAGTAGTGTCAGGGGTCAGAGTGATTGGAGACTGAGCAAGGACAGACTGGAGCGAGGTGAGATGGAGGCTTTGCCCCTGTGCAGCTCGGGCTGTGGTAATGAGTTTGAATTTTGTTCCAATCCACTGGGAGGCTGTAAAAGGTGTTTGACAAGGGAGTAATTTGAAAGATGCTCTAGCTGCTGTGTCAGGAGTGAGTTTTTGGGTGGCAGGGTGAAGTCACAAGGCTCTTGTGTTATTCTAGACCTGCACTGTCCAGTCCAGGTTGTTGTTTAAATTTAAATTAGTTAAAATGCAATAGGTGGTATTGGCCATATTTAAGTGCTCAATTTGCTGCATGTGGTGAGTGACTCCTATAGCGGGCAGCCCTCATACAGAATGTTCCATCCTTGCAGAATGTTCGGTTAGTACTGTTTTCAACAATAGATATTGCCTTATAAGAGGATGGCACCAATGGTGTGCAAGTGAAGTGGACAGATCTGGAGAGAGAACTAATAGGGTTTCCGGGAAGATTGCATATGGGATTAAATATGCAAATCAAGGATGACTGTGGTGTGAGAGGTTAGCATCTACAGAGATGGGGAATACCGGAGGGAGAGATAGATTTGCGGGGAGAGATCTGTTTGGGCCACTTTAAATTCTTAATGCTATGATACATCCAGGTTGAGTTGGCAGTAGGTAGCTACATGTTGAACTCTTGAGCTAGAGGAAAAGTTTGGGCTGGAGATAAAAATTTGAGGATTATCAGCTGCATACAGATTTCCTCTAGTTATCCTCTCTTGGACATCATCGAGATCCACTATCACTCTCATCAGTTTCAAACATGTTCTAGTCTTACCCATCATTTAAAACAAAATAGAACAAGAAATGTAGCTATTGCTCCATTTCTCTGCCTCCCTTTACAGCGAAATCTCTCACTTTCTTAGAAACTGCTGGATTTAGAAAGTTTATGGGATTGAGACTAGAAGGTCATGATGAGACCAAACAATTATAGTAGAGAAACACTAATGAGTTGGAGAGATAAGAGGTGGTGATTTAAAAAGCAGGATGTTTGCAATTGAAATTTCAGAGGTATCAAATGACAACATTTCAGAGCTCTGTTTGTAAAGAATTACAAGGAAAAGGAACCCGTTCCCTTGCATCAGATTTAGTGTTGGCACTTCGAGGGCATGCGCTAGCTCAGTCTCGCAGATCTTCAGTCACTGTCTACTCTGCTGGCTGTAGCTCCTGCCCTACTGGTTATTAAATACTAACCTTGGTGTAAAGCAACCCTTTTAAGGAACCCTGACGCAAACATAGAGCACAATGACCAGGATGCTGAAGGGCCTGGGCACTTGGAAGTGTTTACCTTGGAGAATAGAAAAGACAGAAGGACCATAATTCTTCCTTTCAAGTATTTATGGAATTCTCAGAGACTCTCAGGCCAAATATGAAATTTGTTCTGCCTAATAATATCTAATAGTTATTGAATATTTACCATTATTCAGGCACAGTCCTAAGAATGTATAACTCCCTTAATTTTCTTAACTATCCTGTAGAGGTAGGTTACATTTATCCTCATTTTACTTATTTTTTTAAATTTTCTTAAAAGATTTTATTTATTTATTTGACAGAGAGAACACAAACAGGGGGAGTGGCAGGCAGAGGGAGAGGGAGAGGCAGACTCTCCACTGAGCAGGGAGCCGGACGGACGCGGGGCTCCATCCCAGGACCCTGGGATCATGACCTGAGCCGAAGGCGGACGCTTAACCGACTGAGCCACCCAGGCGTCCCTCTCATTTTAAATATAAAGAAACCAAGTCACAAAAAGATTGAGCAACTTGTTCCCAGGGACATAACTAATAAGTAGAGAAAGTGGGTTCAACTACACCAACCATGTGACAGTCGTTCCATTGATACTTTTTGATTCAACGTGAAGAACAGTCTAGCAACTAGAACTGTTCAAAAAGAGAAAATGCTCGTAAGTTCCATGTCATATCTTCAACACTATGTCCAGGGTTATTTTAGAACAAACTCAGTGTCAGATGAAAGATGGAACTAAATGATCTCTAAGATCCTATAATGGCACTATTCCCAGGCACCCATTTTAAACCTACACATTTTGTAAATGTGTTGTCTGTATTTCTAAGTTCTAAATAGAAATGCCGTATTTGACAGAACCAAGGATAAAACTGTTTTCATACCATTAAGACCTTCCCTCCAGCTTAATATTGTATGATTATTTAATCAGCTGTGTAACTTCCTAGCCACTTAATTATCCACTTACATTTTATATCTGTTCACAGGATATTGTAAGATACTTTATTAAGTGCTTCATTGTAATCACGATTCATTAAGTTTATCTCCTTCCCCCTAGCCACCACCTAATTAGCTCTTTCAACAAAAATTAATTAGGTTACTTGAATGTGACACGTTAAGGATCCCATGCTGGCTTCTTGTGACCATTGATTCTTCAAGTGTTCAAAAACTGTCCAGTAATTTGCCGAAGTTTCTTTTTTATTTAACACACACTTATAATAATTCACAAATACCAATTTATAAAATCCTATTTGAACATAATTTTTATCTCCATTATACAGATGAGAAAATTGAGGCAGAGTGAGACAGATTAAACGAATTGCCCAGGGCCACATAGTAAATTGCAGAGCTAGTGGAACCTGCAGTTTGGATATAGAACCTGATAGAATCTGCGCCTGTAAGCATGAAGCTATGATCTTTCACTGACGTACAATCTTGGAAATCCTCTACTTTCTTTGTTTTCTCTGACTTCTACCCATCTTCCCTCACCCCCAAATCTTTTTTAAAAATTTTCTAAGCAGTAACCTATTCCCATTTACATTATTTTAAAACTTCTGGCATGTTTGTTGACTGTATCCAGAGTCCTTTTCCTTGACATGGTGCATCCCAGTTCCCCATCATATCCAGTTCACCAGACAGATTCTTCAAAGATAAGAAGGATGTAGAGGTTCACTCTTCCCCGTTCCCTATCTTTCTGTGTCAGATTGTTGAGATAACATATCTTTAAGACAAATCAATAATGTATCACTGTTTTGAGAGAACTGAAATTACAGCATGTACAGGTAAATTACAGCAGATATCCTATCACTGTCAGGACCACCTTTTTTTTTTTTAAGATTTTATTTCTTTGACAGAGAGACAGTGAGAGCAGGAACACAAGCAGGGGGAGTGGGAGAGGGAGAAGCAGGCTCCCCGCCGAGCAGGGAGCCCGATGTGGGGCTTGATCCCAGGACCCTGGGATCATGACCTGAGCTGAAGGCAGATGCTTAACGACTGAGCCACCCAGGCGCCCTCAGGACCACCTTTGAACAACTTGTATTTCTGAATTAGGAAAGGATCATCATTAGTCTGCATTTGGGCAGCCTGAGTGTCTTAGCCAGTTTGGGCCGCTATAACAAAAATACTAGACACAGGTGGCTTAAACAGCAAGCATTTATTTCTCACGGCTCTGGAGGCTTAGAAGTCCAAGACTTGGTGTCTGGTAAGAGCTCAATTCTGATTCATAGTTGTCTTTTTTGCTCTGTCCTCACATGGCAAAAAAGGAGTGAGAGAGTTCTCTGGGTCTCCTTTATAAGGGCACTAGTTCTTGGGGCGCCTGGGTGGCTCAGTCGTTAAGTGTCTGCCTTCGGCTCAGGTCATGATCCCAGGATCCTGGGATGAAGTCCCGCATCAGGCTCCCTGCTTGGTGGGAAGTCTGCTTCTTTCTCTCCCCTCCCTGCTGCTCCCCCTGCTTGTGCATGCTCTCTTTCTCTCTCTCTGTCAAATAAATAAATAAATAAATAAATAAATAAATAAATAAAATCTTAAAAAAAACAAAATAACTGAGGGCACTAGTTCCATTCATGAAGTCTCCACTCTTGTGACCATTTCCCAGAGGCCCCGCCTCCTAATACCATCACATTTGGGATTAGGATTTCAACCCATGAAATTGTGGGTGGGGTGGGGGTGGGGCACAAACATTCAGAACACTGTCCTATTACTTTTGTTTCTCTGCCCATTTGCCTTCACCAACAAGCCTCTCTTCTCATCCTTATGATCACAGATTGCCATAGAGTTGTATGTCATTTCATAGCAAATGCTAGTCCACTCTTTTCCCTTTAATCATTCAAAATCTGTACCCTTCCATGGTTGCAGTCAAATCATGGATGCCATTCCACAAATCTTGATTTTACATTATCGATAATCATTCCTTTGCTAATATTAACAGTTTGGAATTTAATGTCCCCTCCTAGCCCTCTTTTATCTATGTTACTGCACAGGAGAAATATTTTAATTACTATGTTTACCTCACATTGCAGCTCATTTATGTGGTTCCAAGAAAGAATTTGTCTTGATATCCAGTGGTGCTTACCTGACCATGAATTTTAAGACTGATAAGTCTGTGGGAGAAAGAGGTTTTAAACTTATTTTGGAAGATACAGTTCAGAAGCATTCACAAAAAAGTAATATGGGAACCCAACTGCCTATCAATGGTAAGTATTTTAAAATATTTATTAAAGCAGATACCATACATGTCAAAGTAGAACCTGTGGAACACTGGTTTGAGAGTCCCTGGTAGTTACCCTGCTTTAATTCTCAAAACAGGATAACTTCATTCCAGACCATTCTTTAAGGCACAAGACCTTGGTAGGTTATTTTTAAAAATTTTTTTAAGATTTTATTTATTTGAGAGAGGAGCAAGAGAGAGCATGAGCTGGGGGGAGAGGCAGAGGGAGAGGGAGAAGCAGGCTCCCCCTAAGCAGGGAGCTTGATGCAGGGCTCGATCCCAGGACTCTGAGATCATGACCTGAGCCGAAGGAAGCTACTTAACTGAGCCACCCAGGCACCCCATATTGGTAGTTTAGATGGACTATATGAGGTAATAGTTAATCGGGGTGTATGCATGTGTCTCTGTGTGTCTGTGTGTGTTATTTTACTTAAGCAATAATGATAAACATCAAAGGCAGCTGCTATTTAAAAAAAAATCTAGTGGGGACATTGAGGCTGAAACAAAGGTAGAGTTCAGTGTGTTTCCATGTCTCTGTTACCATCTCTCTTTTATTAAATAACAACTCCCAAATCCCCAAAAAGATACTCCCTCCAAAAAAGAATATTTTAGCTGAACGCATACTAACGACTCTGCATAAAATAGAAACACAGAAATAGAAAGTAATGACTTTTCTGTTTATCAAATCTACTTTAAGCCAGAACTTCATTGGTTGTGTTTATGAGTAAAAAAACAAATAAATCTGTTATTAGGAGATTCTCTTGGTTGCAGTGTAATTCTAGGAAGAATTCTAATAACATCCAATACAAAGTTCTTTTTGATGTCACTTTGTCTTTTGTAAGATGGGGGAATGAATGAGTTTTAGAAGAGTCCTTGATTTGAGCCATAGACTAATGAACCACATCATCATATAGGTGTGATTTTTTTTTTTAATTGGGTAAGGAGTGCTCAACTACTGACCCTTCTTCTGTCTCCATTGTTCTTTTTAAAAAGATATATTTATTTATTTTTTAGAGCGCATGAGCAGGGGTAGGGACAGAGGGAGAGAGAGAATCCTCAAGCAGACTCCCGCTGAGCATGGAGCCTGTTACAAGGCTCGATCCCAGGACCCTGAGATCATGACCTGAGGTGAAATCAAAAGTCAGATGCTTAACTGACTGCGCCACCCAGGCACCCCTGTTTCCATTGCTCTTATCTCTCCATCTCTGCATCTCTAAACTGACCCTTCATTTGCATGGTAAAAATATTTAGGCTGCTTCATTTCCTCTTTTAAGCATTTGTTTTTTTTTTTTTTTAGAAGTAAGTTGAAAAAAAATTGAATACTAATAAAATATTGCTGTTATGCATGTGTACGAACAGCCCACAGGTCTAAGAGTTACCACATACACAGATTAAAATGCAGTAAAAACATGCAGTAAGGCAGTAAACCTTAAAGTATAAAACATGTTGAATAGATAACTTTGTGGGGTTTTTTATTTCTATGATCTAGGATAGTCTTAATTTTGAAGAGTTCGCATATTTTTTGACATATATATCCAAAAGGAGGAGGGAATCCACGTATTATACATATCTGAAGAGAAAGTAGAAATGAATTTTGATACAAGTATTGAATAAACAAATCCACCCTACTAGAAACTTTGTTTTAAATAGATTTCTGGTGTAAAAAATCTCAAGCAAAACATTTTAAAAATGAGCATATCTTATAATTCCCAAATTATAAGCTATGAGGAAGCTTATTTAATTTTCTTCATATTTCAGGATATACTTGAATAAGTCTCTTGTTTTTAATTCCCTGGTGCAGTTCTTTCTAAATCTGAGAATGAAGTAAATACATTACTAGAAATTTTCCTTATGTTTTTCCTTTCTATATAAATTGTACTTGGAATACATGTAGTATGAAGTCTTTTGATATGTCTAGATGTGTTATACTGGGATCACACAAATAATGCCAAAGAAAGAATAATGTCCAGTAATTTCATGATTAAGTGCAATATTTTAAAAATCCATTTCTGTTCTGATTTGTCTAAAGAGGTATGTATTAATGCTTCAGGTAACTTTATTGATTTTTGTTCATTTTAAAAGCAATGGAAGAAAAGAGAAATCTCCTCTGTGGCTAAGAATCCTAGTTTTGAAACTACAAAAGAAATAAATCCCTCCATTCTGAGATTTTAATAGACTTTGATAAGTATTTCTAATGTTCTGTTGTTACTTTTCTCAGAGATAACCGTAGAAAGCAATACTGGAAAACAGCCAACCCAAGACACATGTGGAATTCCAGTTGTTGACCCATTTCTAATGCAAGGATCTGAGAGAAACACACAGGTGTTGCCAGCTGAGCGTGGGGAGCCCCGGATGGTGGGTGGCCATGTGGCACCTGCCAAGTCGTGGCCCTGGCTCGTCAGCCTGCAGCACCAAGGCCAACATTTCTGTGGAGGTGCTCTGATTGCAAAGCAGTGGGTCCTGACAGCGGCGCACTGTAACTTTAGGTGTGTGCCCGTGCGGGGTGGGGGGGGGGTGCCCGAGCTGGGTGTACTCCTGCTCTCCCCACAGCACAGGAAACCTTAAGCTCCCACCCCTACAGTCCCTACCTCGCAAATGAATGGATGTGCTCAGGCCACGACACGTCGTGCTTCTCTAACACATTTACTACTGATAACTTTTAATTTTAAAAGGTGTTAAAATTAACTTCTCAGTGTAATTTACTTAATATAAGTAACAATAGTCCCCTCTTTCCTTATCTATAAAATGGAGGTAATATCTTAACATGTTTGCATCAGTGTCTTAACCCCTTACCTAGAGCACAGGAGTTGCTCAAATGTGAATTCCTGTCCTTCTTGCTCTGCTCTACTGACTACTGATCATCCTACCCACTCTCAAAATAAGTATCCACTTTCAAAGAATTTTAAAGAATGTCCTTTAAAAGAAACACTTAAACAAATTGTATCTGAATCTTGGTCTCAATGTGATACAGAGATACCTGAAAACTCCTTACTCGGAGAAGTTTCAGGCTGGTGTTTTTAATACCGGCCTCCCAGAAGTAGCGATGGCCCATAATTAAATGAGTAGATAGAGTGTTTCAGGCTGCTAAAGTAGGCTTTCTAATAAAAGTATCTGCTCCAATAACTTGGTGGACAGGAACCTTCAAGGAATCAAAAACTCCTTTTCTCTACCATTCCCCAACTCCTTTGATATAGAGAAATCACAAGAAGTTCTCCTTACTAAGGCAGTTTTCAGACTTTCATGTTCTCAAAATTACCTGGAGAGTTTGCTATGAAATCTTAGAATCTTAATTCTGAATTTTGACTTAATGAGTTATGTCTGGGATTCTGCATTTTTAATGCACTACCAGATTTAATGCATGTAGTTCCTGGACATTTTTTTGAGAAACGCTGTATTAGGGAGTAGAGTAACTATAACTTTCAGAATAGGTTTCAGTGACTATTATATAAGTATGTCATATCATGTGTAATATTATGATTGTAATAATACATAGAATCATTACCCTGAGGCATCATGAATCTTGTTAAGAAACACTAAATCATTTTTTTTTGTTTGATGTTATGAAGGCAAGAAAGTAGATACCTTAATTTTTCTCAAGGATCAAATTAATAAGAATCCTCCATTTTCTAGAAATTCAAGATAATACAGATTTTAATGTAGATGGGAGATGTTAGAGAATGTACTTTTAGAAATTTTGAAAAAGTATGACCTCATTAAAAGTGGTATCTATCTCCCCCATTCCTTTTTCCTATGACAAGTACTATCACAGATGGCCTGGTAATAGGAAGAAGTTCCCTCTCAAACATGGGAAATAGTGATTTGATACCAGTGAAAGCTGTATACACTCACCCTGACTTTGCACAGTTCCCTCCTACTGATGATCTATCCTTGCTGCAGCTGGAGAAACCTGTCCAACTAGGTCAGTGTGGATAACTCTGCTCCTGTCCAACTAGGTCAGTGTGGATAACTCTGCTCCATATTTGCAAGCTTTGCCATGTGGTTTTTATCTCCCATCTTGCTTAGAAGTGCTGTATGTACTTTTGAAAGTCATGATTTCAAAACTTTCTGATATTCTAAGCTACTTCCCTCAAAGCTGAAGCACCTGCCCATTTTACTTTTATATGTCTTTAATTGGTGCGGTCTAGAGAAGATTTCAAAGAAATATGTTTTTAACCTTGTCCTATTTATTCTGAGACTCACTGTTAGGTGAGGTTTACCCAAATACTTAAAACAGCAGTTTGACCCATCAGATGTTCAATTGTCTGTACCTTTATGGCTTAGTAAAATCTTGTTCTTTTTTAATGTTTATTTAAACTGCAGCTGATGTGAACACATAGTGAGGAATTGTAGCCATGTGATCTTGGGCGGGTTATGTAACTTCTCTGAGCCTCAGCTTGATCATTTGTAGAAAGGGAAAAACAGTAACCCTCCTAGCTACTTAGCAGGGGTGCACTTTCAATGAGAAAGTAAATGGCGGGGGGAGAGTGGAACTAAGATCTGTGGACAGGGCCCACTTTCACACTCGCACCTTTCCATGGATTCCTAGGGCTCTGGGACAGTGTCCCTGCTTTCTTCCAACTCTCTCCTGTGTTTCTGCCTTCTTCAGCTGTGCTCTTGCCAATAGCCTCACATCCCTTTTTAATGTCTTTTTAGTGGATCCATCCTGCAAACTCCAGTCCTGGTTCAGCCCACAGTTTGCTTTCTGGGCTTTTGTAAGTGAGTCAGCGAGAGCATCTAGAACAGGGCTGCTTTACCTTGGCTATGTATTATAATCCCCTGAGTTGCTTAAAACAAAACTGTAGACCAGGATGCAATTTGGACCAATTAATCACAGTCTCAGAAGTGGATATGTGGCATCAGTATTTTTTCCATTTATTTTGCTTATTAAATTATTTTAGTTAAACTTTTTTATGTTGAGATAATCACAGATATCCAAGCAGTTGTAGGAAATACAGATACACCGATATACTTTCTTCCCTTTTTTCACCAGTGGAAACATCTCGCAGGGTATTGACACTGATACAGTGGAGATGCAGGACGCTTCTATCACCACAAGTGATACTCTTGCCCTTTTCTAGCAATACTCCCTTCCTCCTCCCCCACCAGACCTCTGGCAACCAGGAATCTGTTCTCTGTTTCTATAATTTTGTCATTTCAAGAATGTTATATAAATGGAATTACTGTCTTGTAGACATTGGGGATTAACTTTTTTCACTCAGCATAATGCCCTGGAGATTTATTCATATTGTTCCATGTATCAATAGTTCATTCCTTTTCACTGCTGAGTAGGGTTCCATGATATGGATGTTTAACCATTCATAAATGAAGAACATCTGGGTTGTTTCCAGCTTTTGGATATTCCAGATAAAGCTCCCCTGAGCATTTGTGTATAGGTTTTTTTTTTTTTTAATTTTATTTATTCATGAGAAACAGAGGCAGAGGGAGAAGCAGGCTCCTCAATCCCAGGACCCTGCGATCATGATCTGAGCCGAAGGCAGACGCTTAACCTACTGAGCCACTCAGGTGCCCTGTGTATAGGTTTTGTGTAAATAAAATTGAACAGGAGTTTTCATTTCTGTGGGATAAATGCCCAAGAGTGTAAGTGCCAGGTCATAGAGTAGGTGCGTTTCAGTTTTATACGAAATTCCCAAACTGTTTTTCTGGAGTCATAGTACCATTGTATATTCCACCAGAGTTGTAGGAGTGATCTGGTTTCTCTGCATCTTCATGAGCACTTGCTCTTGTCACTATTTTTTTTAAGGCGTTCTGATAGGTATATAGTGATACCCTATTGCAATTTTAATTTGTATTTCCTTAATGGCTAATAATATTGAATATATATTAATGTGCCTATTTGCCATTTTAAAAAAACCCTTTAGTGAAATGTCTCTTCATAGATTTGTCAATTTTCTAATTGGATGGTTTTTCATATTGTGGAGCTGAAGAATTCTTTATATATTCTAGATACTACTGCTTTGTCAGATACGTGGTTAGCAAACATTTTCTTCCAGTCTATAGATCGTCTCCCAGTCTGTAGACCCTTCTACAGGGTCTTCCACAAAGCAAAGATTTTAATTTTGATGAAGCCCAGTTTCTCCATTTTCCTTTTTATGGATTTTGCTTCAGGTGTCAAGTCTAAGAACTCTTTGCCTAGCCTTAGGTGCTGAAATTTTTTTCCTATTTCTCTAAAAGTTTTCTATTTTATATTTAACTTCATAATCCATTTTCAGTTAATTTTTGTATAAGGTTTTGGTCAAGGTTCTTTTTCCTCCCCCAGGATGTCCAGTTGTGCGAGCAACATCTGTTGAAAAGGCTGTCTTTCCTCCATTGAGTTGCTTTTGTGCCTTTGTGAAAAATCAGCTGAGCATATTTGTATGGGTCTATTTCTGGGATCTCTATTCTATCACTCTATGCCTTTTCCCATTCTCCAGTACCACACTGTCTTGATTACTGTAGCTGTATAATAGGGTTTATATTAAAAAGTGATTCCTCTCAACTTATTCTTTTTCAAGATTGCTTTAGCAGTTCTAAGCCCTGTACCTTTTCATGTAAATGTTAAAATAATATGTCTATAACACTTCCTGTGATTTTAATAGGAATTACATTAAGCCTATAGATCACTTGAGGGAGAACTGACATCTTTACTATGTTGAATCTTTCAAATCATGAACACAATATATTTCTCTACTTATTTAGGTCTTGTTTGATTTCTTTCGCCAGAATATTGCCATTTTTAGTGCACAGATCCTGTATATGTTTTGCTAAGTATATACATATCTAAGCATTGCATTTTCTTCACAGTGATTATAAATAGTGTTTTTAATTTTAAATTCTACATGAAATGTGATTGATATCTGTATATTGATCTTGTATCCTGGATTTTGCTGAATCTAGACCAGTATTTTATAAACTACCCCTGGAAATTTCAATGTGCAGCCAAAACTGAAAACCACTGTTCTAGAAAAAGACCACTGGTGAGGTTTGGGTGCCCTTAAAAACTTACGGTTTCCAGTTTCAGTACCATTCTGCAAACGTTGTGTGCATGTTTCTTCTTTCCAGTAGCCACAATAGTCATTACAAACATTCCCTTTTTTCAGCCCTTCTGAATTTACCCTTTATCCTGCCCCCCTCCCCTTTTTTTTCTGGTCTCCAAGGATCTTGCTTTCCACTCAGCACCACCTGATGTCAACACCAGCATGAACCTTTCTGTTCCTCTTTCCCTAAATACTGAGTTAGCTTAAATAATCTGTACCCATTCATTTCTATTCAGTGGTCAGAGTGAGAAGTATCCTTTTTCCCATTAGAAACAATACAATTTCTACCTATGATTTTCATTCTCACCACCTCACCATGGCCATCATGTGAACATTTGCCCTATTTCTTTCCTGTCTTTTTATACTACTCTATGTGTACTTAAATAATTGTAATATACCTATTATGAGTTTTATCCTGATTTTTTTCACTTATCAGCATTGCTTCATATTATTAAAATTTCCTTTAAAATGTAATTGTAATGGCTACGTAGTAGCCTTTCCACAATTCTTATAAATAGGTTGTTTCTTTCTTTTTTTTTTAAATTTAAATAATGCTGGATTAACTATCCTTATGCATATGTTTTTCCAGGTCTAAGATTGCCTTAAAATAAATTTCCCAGAAGTAGAATTGTTAGGTTTAGGGCATAACTATTTTCAAGATTCCTGACAGACATCTAGATTATAAACACAGCTGGGAAGAGTGCAAGTCGATACATCTTTTTTTTCTTTTTGTCCAAAATGAGGCAATTTGGCAATATCTGTTAATTTTTTTGCCTCCTGCTCCAGCAATCCTATTTTCTACAAATACGAGCACTAATGCATGGATTGATGGTCTAGGATGCCTGATGCAGCTCTTAAGGGGAAACAAAATTAAATAGTCTAAATGTTTGCCAGGGGGATTTAACAAATTGTAGTACATTCATTATCTAAATACTGTGTGCTATTAAAAAAATGATCCGGGAGGTCTATATGCAAGGATAGAAATGATATGACCATAATCTAGTAAATGGAAAAAAAAAAAAAACAATAAGAAAAACGGCTGATTAAAAAAAAATGTTGGTAGAGGGAAAATATTTTAGCTCAAGGAAATTTGGCAGGAAATGATATGATATAGCAATGATTATCTGTGAAGGTAGCATAACAAGATTTGGAATCAGTTGGAATGTGTGTAGAGAGGAGAGTAGGAAAATAACAAAAAGTTACAGAGCTTTATGTGATTTTATTAAGAGACCAGTAAAAAAATAAAGAACAAATCATTGAAATAAATGGTCTAGGACAGCAGATATGTTGAAACATGTTAAGTGCGTAAAAGTCTGGATAAAACTGAAGTCAAACAGCATGGTAAAGCAAACACAGGAGCACTGCATTCAGAGAGAGAGAGAGAGTGTGTGTGTGTGTGTAGTGTATATACAGAGACATACACATAAACCCACAATATTTATATATATACAAATTTTGGTGGTATGAAAAATGTGAATGTTTATAGATCAATGTATTTTATAATACACCTGCAAAGAAACAATTAGATATAAAAACACGAGCTGTAAAAAAACTTTAAAGTTTACATTGCTACAAATGTGGTTTTCTCCACTCCTCATGTAACACGGTTGAAGAGAAAAGATTATTATATTCTTCTGCACTGTCGTCTCAGATTTAACAAGGTGATGTCCTAAATTAGGCATATGGACAGAAAGGCAGATGCATTTTAAACATGGTTAGTGGGTGAGAAACCATCTCTATGCAGGGCATGTGCTTGTATTGTCCTAGGAAGAAATGGTAATACCTGGAACAAAGTGGTTACCTGTTGAACTGAGATGATCCTTTCTGAGTAATTAATAGGTGGTACCTTCTATATTAAACTACCGGGTTAAAACGGGTACTATCATGTCAAAATAGTTATTTTTAGAGCCATCGTGGAAGAGAAGCAGTATAGATAATATCAATCCTATGGACTAAATGGTATTTGTCTTTTTCTCATTCTAGGGGAGTTTGTATCTGTAATCTGTTTGCCAGGGAAAGATGATAAAATAAACTTATTTTCCAAATGTCTGACTGCTGGATGGGGAATAACTGAACCACATCGTGAGTACATTCACTGCCTCTTCTAAGATTAGAATCCAAACAAATACTTGTCAAGTCTGAGTATACTCTTTGCTCATTTTCAGTTTTTCCGTCTTTAATAGGAATGATAGTAGAAAAAGTCTTTTTCATAATGGATCTAAAGGTGACTACTTGGGTTTTAGGACATCATATTCAATAATACTAATTCACGGATACGAGTTCATGGATACTTGTAAAAACTTGTGTTGGAGAATATCTAGTGGTTTTTTTGCCTAATAAATATTTATATGTAATTTTTACCTAATAAATATTTATATGTACTTACTCCCTGGTTGCACTGTGAACACACACACACTTGCTTTCACAACAGTGTAGGTGCCGCTACAGTGAAAATCTCTTCTTAAGGTTATGAGCCTATTTCCAAAGATGTAAGGCATTTTTCTGAAATGAAAGGCTGGTATAAATGGTAGAGTTTATCTGAAAGTAGTCTACATAAAGGTCAAACCCGTGACTCTGGTCTCATTTCCACCATATTCTACAACTGAGTTAACAAGTTGCAAATATCCAATAAAATAAAGAGTAAGTCAGAATGCAATTTCAGTTGTCACCTCCAGTGTCAACACTTAAATGTGAAGTCAAGTCAAAAGAATAAGAGCACCGTGAAACCAGTGAAATCTAGACTTAACATGTAAAACATGAAATGCATTGTTTGCTTTATCAACTGATTTGGGTGCAGACTTCCTTCTTCCTTCTCTATAGTGGTGTCCTCTTTCTATCTTCTTAGGACTGTACTAAAGACAGAAGAACCCACATGGAGTGTCCTTTGTTATTCCTGTTGTATAAGCTACCATGGAGTAATACTAATTTTTTACACACCACCTAACATCATTACAGTGCCAAGAGGGAAGAATGGGTGGGATGACCCTCAGAATCTGTCTGTTTTGGGGGCTATTTTTGTTGTATCCTATACAACCATTTGCCTAGGTTATATGTTTTATTCTTTTTCTACTAGAAGATGAATTTTCTAAAACCGTGCAGGAGGCAATGGTACCACTGATCAGCAGTACATCTTGTCGAAGCTACTGGGGACTGGATATTAAAAACACCAACATATGTGGAGGGGCTGTGGGCTCATCCTCGTGCATGGTAATTCCAGGACGCATTGATGAATGTGGTTTTCTTCTCAGTGTGTCTCATCAATGGGTGTTTGCTGACCATAAAGAGGTATAAATATATGCTAGTTTTAAAATGAAAAGTGAGAAGAATAAGTACATTGCTAAGCTGATGTACTGTCATTGCAAATTTGATACTTGAAGTGAACACAGTTCTCAAAAGGAATTGCTCATTCATTTGCTTGGTTGACTATGTGAAATTGATGATATTCAGCTGTTTTTGACCTATAAAAATAATTTATTATGGCTCACCTTCACAGCTGAATCAGGCAGTGTAAAGAATCTACTTCTAGTAGCATTGAAAATATAAAGATATTTTCATGTAACTCAAAACCGTCATTTAGTCATTGATATTTAGTAGATGCTTGAAACTTTCTGCAAGGCACAGTCTGTTGTCAGCATTAAATGACTGTGTTAAATGTACCTTCTTAGCCACCCTTTGAAAATATAGATTTTGATCTGAGTCAGAGACCTGTAACATCTGCCAACTGCCTAGTTCCCTCTGCTGTTGTGAGCAGAAATCAGAGATGAGGGAATGACTTCGGCACTGTCTGATCACCTCTGCAGTGGGGTTAGCATTGACCATGAATCAAGCAACCAGGAGAACTTCTCTTTCTGCGGGTTGCAGGGAGATTCTGGAGGACCGCTGCAGTGTGCCCACGACGGACAGTACGAGCTCATCGGTATCGTGAGCTGGGGCAGCAGTAACTGCCAGCCTAGCGCACCCACGGTCTTTGCCAGAGTTTCTGCCTACAGGGACTGGATCGCATCTGTCACTGGAGGAGAAGCGTGACTGCTGCAAGAGTAGCCTGGTGCGATTGTGTTCATAAATGTGGAAGGAAGTCCCTAGCAATATACCTGAAAAATAAGGCTCTTGTCAGTGCCAAAGACTCCGTGTCACTTGGATTTGGTGTGCACATACGTCTAGGATTAAACACTGAACACAGAAAGCTAATGTTGATTCATGCCTCCTGGGAATGTATAACCTGAAATGTCATTAAATTTATATTTAGTGTACCATGTATATGTAATTATTTGAATACCATCATATACACTGTTACTCTTTTTTCTGGTTTGGTAAACATTAGAAGATAAGAAGTGAAATGTTATTCAGTCCATATAATTCTTAGTTTCACTCACACAGGAGAGTGCCCTGAGCACAGAAAGGAAAGGTCCCTCTACGTCTCAGAGTTTCAATGAACAATAGACCTTTAAGAAATTATTTATCAAGCTTATCACTTGATTTTAAATTTTTAGATAAAATTTTAGGATATCCCAGTTGTTTACAAAACAGTTAATTTATCTGAACCTCAGCTAACCAATACCCTCATCTTTCTAAGCTGTAGCCAAGCGTAAGGGGGAAGGTACTAAGGAAGACCCCCGAGCCAGAAGATTAAATGCCAAAGTCCACCACAGAAATATAAAATATAGAATGAGTGAGGGCCTGTGGCAACTTTTTTTTTTCTTATTTTATACATTTCCACCAAAATTTATCATTTGGTTTCCAGGATTATAGCATTCAGGGAGAGAGTATTGTTCAACTTTAGGTAAGTACCTATATAATCTAATGAAAGAACACCTCATAAGGAAGTAGGCAATGTAAATATATATTCTCTTTCTCTGATTTTTCTTTCCCTGTCATTCCTTTGTCCTCACCACACACCCTCCTTCAATCTCTGCTCTCTTTTGCCAGTGCTACAAAGTATTATAAATGTCCTAGCATTTAGTAAAAACTTCTATGAATATTGCTCTCAACTGCCTGCCTTGATTTAAATTATGATTTTTGACAGGGGCTCTGAGTAAAATGGAAGAGGAGATTTGCAATAGCGATTCTCTAATTCTTATGTTAATCCATTTTGTACTATTTTTACTTTGTCTCTTGTTGAATTTTTCTCATTTTTTTTAATCAGGTGACATGAAAGGGGATTAAAGATGGGCTCTATTAAAGTGTCAGACCCGTCTAAAGCCTTTTTGCTTCACAGTATGATTTGCTGGTGGTGAACGTTGGTGCAGCCACAGTCTCCACTGTGACCTTGTAGGACAGCACCCTGGTGGTGATACTGCAGGGCCCTGTCAGGAGAGGGTGCAGGGTTGGCAGGCCGTGTACCACCTAGAGAAGCTGCCTGATTTTCCTACAAGAGTCAAACTATTTAGTGCTCGGTTTTCAGCTTTAGTTGGCAGTAACTTGTAAATTCTTCCATATGTAATCTTTCCTCTGTGGAGCAGGACCGTTAGACTGTTTTACTTGCCCTGCCTTTACAATTCAATCGAGGGGCATTCACTTTCCTACTCTGGTCTTTTCAAGAGCTCTCCTGTTTGCATTCATTGCAAGGTCAAGCTGTACATGGACCAGATTGCAATCCACTGTGTAAACGGGTCTATTAGGTAGGGGTCACAGAGCCCAACTTAAAGGAATTAGAGACCCTATCACCTAATTCTTCATGTATGTATTAAAAAATATTCTTTTTGAATACCTACTATGTGGCAAATGGCACCAGAAAGAAGCTTCCCTCATCTTTAGAATCTCATTGTAGTGGAGACAAATGACATACAAAGATAATTACTAGCCCTGGGAGCTGGCAGCCTAGGAGAGAACAACCAACACTTTCTGCAGGAATGGGTGAAGGTTTGGCAGAAGTAAGATTTGAGCTCAAGTATTAGTTGATTTTTGTTTTAAAGTTCTATACACCAATCTCTTATGTTAAATCTGTATCAAGCTATTTTCCTATCAACAACTCCACATACTCTGAATTTCTCCTGTCATTTAGATTATTGGGACATGTGTTTGTTCATTCTGAAGCCATAAATTGCATTACTTCATTTCCTCTAACCCCCCACCTTGTTTCTTTCATATGATTTTCAATAATATAGTTCCAGCATTTTATGCATGTTCTTTGTCAATTCAAGAAACCATCAACAACTTAAACCTAACAAGTATCTAATTCTCGCCAAAGATTAACAGCATTTGGCACTTATCCTGATTTTATCTTGGTCTCAACTGTATTATCAGATTATTACTTTCATTTTTCTATTCCCCACAGATATTTATAAAATAAGTAAATTATCAAATTGTCAAATAATGGCAACACAAAAAACTGCTGGGACCAAAACATCTAAAAAAGTCTTAAAAAGAGGCAGAATAAAGTGGGAGAACTGTAACAGGCAATGAAGCCACCGTAATTAAGACGAAGATTATAGTATTGCTGCAGAGATGAACTGACCAATAGAAGAGAATACAAAAGCAAGAAGCAATGCCATTTTGTATTCTCTAAGTTGGTAAACAATTGCAACAGTGTGACAATATAAACATACTGAGAATGTGGAGTCAGGGAACTCTTCTCACTGCTGGTGGGGCTGGGGTATAATCAGGTGCTCCAGCTTTGGAAAACTCAGTATCAGTAAAATTGAAGATGCCAGTGTCCTCTGAGTCTGCAATTCTACCTCTAGGCGTATGCCCTAGGGCATTGTCTTCAACCATGGCTGCCATTAAATGTAAAGTCTGGAGAGTGGGGAATGATTTTTTTAAAGCTCCTGGCATGATTCTAATGTGCAGTCAGGTTTGAGAGCAGTATCTTAGAGGAAATGAGGCAACCATAACGACTGAACATGTACAAGAATGTTTAGAGAGGGGCGCCTGGGTGGCTCAGTCGTTAGGCGTCTGCCTTCAGCTCAGGTCATGATCCCAGGGTCCTGGGATCGAGCCCCACATCAGGCTCCTTGCTCAGCAGGAAGCCTGCTTCTCCCTCTCACACTCCCCCTGCTTGTGTTCCCTCTCTTGCTGTGTCTCTCTTTGTCAAATAAATAAATAAAATCTTTAAAAAAAAAAAAAAGAATGTTTAGAGAAATGTTAGTATCAGCACAAGCTGGAATTCCACATGCCACCCATAGAAGCTCGGGTAATCAAAATGTAGTATACTCACAAAGCAGTAAAAAAGAGAAAACAGTCCATAGGCTCTTTACGTGAATCTTAGAAGCAATGCTGAGCTTAAACGAATTTCAGAAGATTAGGTACCATTAAAGATCAGAAAACAAGCAAACTTAAACATGATTTTGCTTAAGCTTACATCATATATGGTTTAAAAAATGCAAGGGATGTAGCTTAGCATTTGGAGTAGTGGGGAGGCAGTGGAATACAGTGGAGGGACCACACACAAGTCCTTTCAATGCTATTAATAATTTTCTAGTTAAGTTGGGCGATGGCTTCACAGATATTTATTATCTTGCTTCATAACTTATATATGCTTCTGTGTACATGAAATACTACACCATATAAATATACTTAAAGGCCTTTTTAAAATTTTATTGCCTTATTTTATATCCTTCCAGTGTTTTTATGCAAATAAATGCAAACATGAATGCACATTCTCATTTTCCCCCCTTACACAAAAATAGCACATAAATTGTTCTAAACCTTGATTTTTTTCCACTTGATCATATATGCTGGAGATCTTCCCATATCACTGTACTTTTTTGAAAAAATATTTTTATAGTATAATTAACATACTGTTCGTTTCAGGTGAACAATATAATGATTCAACAATTCTATACATTATGCGGTGTACTTTGAATCTGTTTTATCTCTGCCCCCACCCCCTCCTTCCCCCACTTAAAGGCCTTTTTAATTACACTAGCTCCTCAGAGTAGAACCTGTCCTTCCTGTCCAGGTGCTTAGAATGTTCCACACATATCTAGAGCATTAAATCCTCCCATTTTTTAGTGGTTCCCTTTGCCAAGAAAGCACAAATTGTCCTTGTGACTTGCATTTGCTGTTGCTGATGTCACATGTAACAATCAGCCTATTTGTTAATTTGTGCTTAGTTAACACTGGCAGTTACACTTTCTACCATCCATGCTCTTCTAGGGAAAAAGGGCTTCAAATGTGTCTGAATATCTTCTAAATGCCAGATGTTACCCGATATTTCCATTTAGTTCTTTTAATCATTAAAGCTAATCTTTATGAAAACATTTTGAATGTAGCATTAATAACCCCTGCGCATAGGGATTAAAAGTGTTCTTCTGAAGCCAGACTTCGTGGGTTCAAATCCCAGCTCCATCATTAATTAGCATTATGACTTTGGGCAAATTACCCTCTGTTATACTTCCAATTCCTCATATATAAAGTGGAGATAATAAAAGAAACCTGTTCATAGAGATATCCTATAGTTAAATGAGTTCATAAATTTAAAACATTTAAAAGACCGGCTGGCTCCTACTAAACTTTTTTTTTTTTTTAAGATTTTATTTATTTATTTGACAGAGAGAGAGCGAGAGCAGGAACACAAGCAGGGGGAGTGGGAGAGCGAGAAGCAGGCTTCCCGCCGAGCAGGGAGCCCGATGCAGGACTCGATCCCAGGACCCTGGGACCATGACCTGAGCCGAAGGCAGACGCTTAACGACTGAGCCACCCAGGCGCCCTCTACTAAACTTTCAATTCATGTTATCTTGTGCATTTTCCTAAAATACAGCTTTCAAAGAGGATTCCCCACCCCCTGAATCCTTTAAAAATATTTTTTATAAGACTTGCTGTTTGAGAATATAAGTACCTGTATATCTTTCCAATTACTCATTCCTTTATGTCTTCACTTCTTTTTCAATAATTCCCTTCCTAATTCCCAAAAGGATTTAACTGGAGAATGACAATCTCATCAGGCTACCTTAATATCCTTCTATGTACCAACTACTTTACATATATTAATTTAATTCTAAGCACAATTGTTTAGAAAGGCATGATCTTTCCCATTTTACCAATGAAGAGATTGAAGCAAGAGAGGTTAAGTGTCTTGTTTCATATTAAAAAGCTGGTTTCAGAGCAGAATTAGCACATAGGTTTTTCTGATTATAGACCTTAATCACCATACCACACTGACAAGTGTTTTCAGAAGATAATACTAGTGCAAGTGTGGAGTTTGGACTAAGGAAATGAGACTGGAAGTGGGAAATATTGGAATTGGGCCAGCTTCATGCACACACTTGAACATGTGAATGAAAAAAAATGAACAGAAATAAAAATAAGGCTTACATGTAATAATGGAGGTCTGTTTTCAGAGAGGTTAAAAAGAGTATACATTTCTTTGAATCCATTAGGAATTA